AGCAAATTAATGAAGTATTGGCTCTCTGTACACGTATGGATTCATGCGATATGAACATCTATGGTTTATACTTCAACAACAAAATGCACATTGTTATTCGAAATTACCAATTTTCCAAACTACAATATTATTACCACAATGTTCTAGTTAATTAATTGATCACATGTAAGTCTTTGAGATGCCGCATAGTTTTTTCTTTCTTCAATTTAATGCTACTTAGTTTCCATCTCATTTTCGCTGAACATTTAAAATTGTGTAAAAGCCAACTTTTTAATACTTTAACCATTATGGTATGGTGATGTGTCGTGTAACGCAAATTTTTAGCAGTAAAAGATATTTTTCAGTTCAGAAAATTCAAAACTACTATAGATTGGAAATAATTATTTAGATCGAAATTGAGATTGAGATTAAACTAGCAAAATAAAGTCATAAAGAAAAAAGTCGACAAAAAAGAAAGCATAGCATTGCATGGGTTTTATTGAAATTTCCAATGAATTTCAACAAATTTTTCATTGAACTTAATAAAGTTGGTTCGAGTTATCTGATTTCTCCATTTTAAATCAACATTTTTCGAGCTATATTTATAAATATATGTGAATTTAGAGTGCGTATCGAGGTATTAAGATGTTGAAAACCATAGCCCATCAAATCAAGTATAATTTGAAATTTTCCTTGCCATTGAGTAGAATACGCAATGCAGTCGAGCTGAATGAATGAATGAATTTAGCTCCAAATTCGGAGAGCCACTGTGAATGTCAATCCCTCTCTGTTCGCTTGATACCTGCACAATGCGTATGAATTGCGCAAAGCTTCCATAACTTCTGCTTCCATTTTCCTCTTTCCGTGCATTGGAATTGGTGGCATGGGGAAAAGTCTCCACAAAATATGGCTAGGGGAACCAAGCCGGAAGTACTGGAATGAGTTTGCGCATTGACATTGTCAAAAGTACAGATAAATCTCGTGTATCATCTCCACTTGTATTGTTTTTTACATTGAAGGGCGTTGCATGCACCTTAAAATTCACAATACAAACTCAATGCGAGTGGAGACGCCTCATGAAAAATGGCACAGATTGCTAGTGCTAAGGTTTATCTGTACTTTATTATGTTCACCTTTATTCCAGTGTGTCAGACACTGTGCAGAGAAACAAGCAAATAAGCATGAAATCTTCGTGGCTCAGTCATTCATAGTGAATGGCATCTAACTCCATGCCTACGAGTACTACGACACAAATGAATTGTCTTTTTGTTTTGATATGATTTCTTCTTCTCAAAAGCCCACACACATTTTCCCTACTTGAACGACAAGAAAAGCCGATGCGAGAACAAGGTATGCGTAACAAAAATATATACGGAAAAAGAAGTGCTGATGGAAAGGTATCTATCTCTTTGCGTTGAGATTTGTGTATTGTGTGAAAGATACTTACTTTTGCCGCTTTTGAAAGGAAAAAAAAACATGATAATAAAGCGTACGACAAAATAAAAACAAACGATTATTTTTTTCGCAACTTTTACTCATTCAGTCATTTGTTCACATGTTGAACCATGTTTGTCGGTGTGCTACGTAGTAAGCGTGAACGTGTAAGATAACCTTTATTTTGTCATCACAACGCGGCTAAACGCAAATTGGATGTAATTCCTTACGAACGGTTTGACTTTAACCAAAAAGCGAACAAAAAGCAAAGATGATAGAAAACATGGAGGCAAACATGCAATTTTTTATGCATAACTAGAAACCATTGTGTTGCAAAGGCGAAAGAATATTTGAATACTTTCTTGTAGATACTTTATTATTTGCAGGATTTTTGAATGTACAATGTACATGTATTTGTATGTGTGTGTTCGCGAGGTTCGTCGCGTCAACAATGGACGGGAACACAAGCAAAAGCAGCTTTTTCTCTCCCCATTTAACTTTTTTTTTTCGTCAACATATCTACAATCTTTATTCATCGTTAGCTTGTCGCCGAGTCAATCCCATTTCGTGTTGAAAGCCAAGTGCAATGATTACAGGCGGTTAAATTTTATGTAAGACATATTTCACATATCATACAATCGCAAATACATGCATTATTATGAATGGATAATTATCTCAATCCCGTTTTAACGCATAGACCCTCTGTCCTTCCTTGCTCGCTCGTTCGTTTGCTCGCTGTGTATGTCTCTTTCTCGCCTCGCCTGAACACTGATCTGGAAAATTTCTCCATTTTACATATTTTTTTCCCTTGTGCAAAGAGATATTCATCATTCGCTTCGCTAACGGGATATTATACGCCTCCATCTCAATTTGTTGGGAGTTTTACCGTCTTGGCATGTGCTGTAGCCAAAGCGATGGTACCAAATGGGAGAGAAAGAGAGACAAAGAACACATGAACGACACAAAGTATATTTACTTTATCGTTATCTTTATTGCATGTAAGTGCATTACTGAATCATCGTTTTGCTATACGTATATACATATAACTCCGGCTAATAGAGCCGAATTTCATTCACATGCTCGTTTAATGTGTGCTCTTTGAGCAAATTTTCACTTAAATATTTGTTTTCTACATGACACAGAACGAGCGACAGTATTGTGGCGAAGGGTGGGAGATGGAATGGGGATAAATCTAGTCTCAACTTGAACATTTTGAATTGATAAAAGGATTTGGTGATACGCAACCGAATTCATTTGCTTGCCATCTTGTATATATAGCTGAAATGATATGCTGTCGCAAGCTACCGAAATAAGTTGATAAAGTAACGACATGTCAATTCATAGACAAACAGCCCAGGTTGAATTATATTTGCACTAACCCCATCAAAACGATAGATTAATGAATGATTCAGGAGCACATGCCCCGTGTGCTCATCGAAGCAAATATCTCAATTAGTATTATGTGGCAAGAATCAACCATTTTAACCAATTTCCTTGATGAACACTGCAGCCACCACACCCACACACACAAACACTAAGTGGCAATTTGCAGAACTTTAGATTTTAAAGATAATTCATTCAAATCGATTTAGTGCGGTTGACGGAATATTTGAGAGTGAGTTAGAGAGTTAGAGAGTTCGCAGTGTTACCCGGCTATGTATGTCTAAAGCGATGAACACCATTCAATTTTCTCTCTCTGTCTCTCTCTCGATTTGTCTATTCGAATGCAACAGAGATGAAATTCTTGTCGGTGTTTGCCGTGTAATTTATTATTTATTCGCACTGAAAATTGCACCGTCGCATCGAAATAGACGAAAAATATAGACATTGGGTCATAGTCACTTCAATCATTCAGCCTCTATCCCAAATGCTTTTAAGAGTAAATTTTAAGTGCTTGGTCGTTTGAAGGTTGCAACATCAACGCTGACGCCGCCACCACCACCGCCGCCATCATTTATTATTCATTGAACCACGAAGTGCCAGCCAACGAATTCTTATAATAAAAAAACGATGGTTTAAAAAACATTACGAGAAATGGATATCACTTTAATAATTTTAAATGCGCACGAAAAAGAAGCAAAAACCATATTAATATTAAAAAACAAATTCCAAGATTCATCATTACAATCAAACAAAAGAAAAAGAACGGATGGGAATTTTTCATCTGCTCAAAAGTTTGGCGCTACAAAAAGAAGAAAATGTATAAAATTAAAAGGTAAAGAAATGGTTTCCCTTAGAAAAATATGCACTTACTGAGTAAAAGAAACGATGTAATCAACTTAAACTTCCTATCCGATGAAAAGGAGGCAACAACATTGCAGTGGGATGAATTACCATTTTTGATTTATTATGCGACGTGTTTGATTCGGTTTCTTTTTTTTTGTCCTCGTGAAGAATCACTGCGTTTTATGCGGGTACAGTGATATACGCTCTGCTTCGACAAGGAAAAAACTTCATGAGATGGGTAATGGGAATTAGTCGAAGGGAAGTAATGCTACACAAATAAATGAGTCTGAAAATTAAGACACATCATACTTCCAAAGTAATGTCGGGATGTTATTCATTGCAATTAGAAAGAGGGAAAAACACAACATGAGCATTGAGAGCAACTCTTGTTCGTTCATCGTATGCGGTGTCGCTTGTGCATCACTATGTCGTCAGTGAATTGCTTTTTTCGTTAAATCTGGAATCACAACTCCTCTCTCGTTATACCAGAACATGTGACGCAGTATCGCTCATAAAATATTACACACAATTTACTTCATTCACAATGACAATCATTACAGTGCTGACAGCGTCACGAGTTGTGTCTACACTTGTATGCGTCGTGAATGTTTGGCGCGTTTGCATGAAAAAGGTAATTCATTCATGCACTTAATAAAATTAGAAATAAATGGAATCCACATTTGATCTAGTGTGCAATGCGCGGAACTATGCATACGCTTTGTATGCAACCATTCATTTCAAATGAGATAGATGCCTGCCTAACTGAGCTAAAATGTCAGCACTCATCTCGTGCATACAATGCATAGAAATGACGTTCTAATAGAATAGAATAGAATGGATTCATCTTTCTATCGTTCCATTGTTGAAGATTTCTTGTCACATAGCGGATTTTTTGTGTCGTATGGTGAATGGCCAAGTTTCTTCAGCGCAATGTGAATAAATTATAAGTTAAGAAAAGATAAACAATTACTTTGAAATGTTGCTGCTTGTTGTCATTTAGTCTGATGCATGTGTTGTTCCAACAGTGGAGAGAAGCCTCTCAAGAGAGCCCCACATATTTCCCCAATTCTGAAATAAATCAATGCAAAGTATTTCAGAACAGCAGTTTCGACCGGAATTCGTCGAATCTCGGTCATTGATGCTCAATGTCAACGCTGAAAATATTTGCCCATATTCGAATCGATTGCTGTTATGCGCCCATAAATTTGATTATCGATAAAGTTAAATGGAGCATTTTGAATTTTCTACTTCTCTTCACGATGCTGTAGCAAACTTTCTGAATCATAATGCGTGTGTTGAGCTTGTCTCTCTTTCATTGGCGTTGTATGCAACTATGAGAGTCAAACTCATGAGCGAGACATGGTTGGGAGCATGAGTAAAGTTTTCAGTGTGTATCCCACTCATAGTGGCAACTTTCAACAGCTTTATTGTTACTGCTTTTGATGCGAACTGACAACACAAAAAACAACAACACGCCACACCAAACTTGTAAATATTTCTTGCTTTTGTTTTGTCAATGCACATAAAATATATTATCCCTTTTTCTGTCATTGCTGCTGCCGCTCTGTAGTGCACAAGTTGATAATTCTCCGAGGAGAAATATGTATTTATAACTGAAGCACCGAGAGGACGACGACAACGACGACGGTACACAAAACTCCAAAGAAAGTTAACTATTCTCGCTGAAGAAACAAACACCACAAAAGGGGAAAAAAATGTTTTATGTGACAAACAAGGCAATGGGAGCAAAAAACGAATCAAAAGGAAAATGTGAACAAATTCGGAACGGTTACATAAAATAGTCGAACAAAAATGAATCGTATCTCCAAGTTTTGTTCGACAGAAGTCGACGTCAACGGTGGAGCCATGTCTCAAACTACTACTCAATATACTACCCATACTTTTCTTGGCCGACGAAAAGTTTGTGAGTGTTTCATGTGTTCGAATACATGCACGTGCATAGCAAACATACCGAAATATCTAATATAGTTCATAGAAACTTTGGTACGTGTGACAACTTCGTGATGGATGAAAGTGTTGCTACTATTTCGGCATCGATACTATTACTTCTTCGTCTTTTTTTTTTTAATTCGATGTAGTATATTGGGATCATTTGTCGAAAGAGAACATTGCTGGAATTAATACGTGCCAATAACGTCGTTGGCCCAACATATTTCAAATTTGATAAATTTTCCGAAATCAAATTTTTAAAAACAGTTTCCAGTTGCTTGGATTTATTTGAACACCCATCATAAAATATTAATTTCTCGTGAATAATGGTCGCAATCAAAATTCAACGACAGCAGAGTAGAAGAGCTCCGAACATTCTTGATAGTATACTGTATAATATTCTCGTAGCAAAAATTCTTTGGATCATATCTTTTAGTCGGAAAGTGTCGGGAAGTGATATTGGATCTCTGCTGTGCTGTGCTGTGCAGAGAACGATACGCTTCGCTCTATCAACAACTAATTTGATTTATCTGAACAGTCAATCTCAATAAATTATAATAACTCATCTCTGTAAATGACCACTGGCAAATGATTCCGTATTATATGATTGGCCAAACCATACCATCTATCCAATGTAAACAATATTTGCGCAGTTCATATTTATTCATTGAATTATTATGGAATGCTTTTCGATAGTCCGTTTCGGCTATTATGGAGGAAGACATACGAGAAAATGATCCCATGCTGAAATTAAGTGAATTCCTCACTTGATTGACATATTATTTGATCATGATTAGTTTTTCTTCTTCTCTGCGATGAGTTGATACGTTATTATTGCCACTTCAGAAGTTCATATCGAAAAATATTGACCGAAATTTTGTTCCATTTTTATCTGAACAAACATATTTTATCGAAATGAATCAGATAGGTTCGGTGCTTACTTTTCTGATTAATGAAGAATGAACGAAGCAAATATGAGCAATAATCATAATAGAATAGCGTAAGCGTTAATATGATATAATCTGTATTATTATTATAGCTACAATGCTTCACTTCTCCTATGTGATTCAATCAAATATCGTTCCATAACTGAACTTTATTCCAAAAATATTTTTATATTTTTTAGCCTACTTATTTTAACCCAAAAATCACTACACTCTAGCAAAATGTACATAGATTTGTACAAATGTGTGCTACACACAGTATAAAATAACAACAATTTATCGCACCCAAAGTCATATCATAATGCTATGGTTGTGCCGGTTGTCAACCGGCGATAAACAGCAAGGGTACGGACAATATGTTTATTACAGTTAGGCTTCTTTGTTGGTCTAATCTTCCATAAATTTTTCACAATTTTCTTTTCTGCATAATTTTTTTCGTTTCTCATCATTTGATCAAAATTTTGTGTTTGCACTCAATCAATGGTTCATTTTTTTCATCATCGTTGATAACACTAATCACCCTTAGTTTTGTGTGTAACAAATTCTTCGGTACAAACGGGTGTATCCATGACGAAACGAGCTGAAAATTGAAATTGCTAAGATCTCGACCGCCAGTAAAATATGATATCGATACACCCGGTAACCAGACGCAAATCACTCCAATCAGCGTGTACCAATGGAACGAAATGTCATGGATAGCGAATTCTTCATCGGCATCACTGAAAAGAATCGCTTCAGGGCTGAAACAAAAACGATGTAGAAAAAAAAGTTTCTGAAAAAATGATTAATCGATTTATGTTTTAATTTCAAAACAAAAACTTACGATGCTTGAACTAATGTAAGGTTTACATTACGGCACCCGTCGATTGATGTTGGCATTGTGCTGTGACGCAAAGCTCCCGTTGCAATGTGATACTGTGCATTTGCGATCAAGGAAAACACCACACACATACTGAACACCGTTCCGGTTAACAAACCCTATAGATTAAGAACAGATTTGTTGTTTTTTTTTGCTCTACCGGAACTCGCGTTTAAACCAAATGATAATTAAACATGTGACTTACATTAATATTGGTCCATGGCCTTGAAAAAATCAAAATATGGAATTTATTACTACCGCAAATCGCATATAATTCGAATAAATAATATAATTTAAAGCATGTGACTCACCAAAATAAACCCATTGTAAATACACCGATTTTTGCACCAGTCGTCATACCAGTGATGGCATTTAAAATTTGAAAAGTGGAATGAAATTGTTCTACCATAGTACTGCTCAACGCACAATATGTGCCGACGACAAAAATGATGAGGCGCATTACGAGATTAGCATTGGCATCGTTGTCGGGAAATAGTTTTAATGGTCGAATAACATCTTTGTACAAAATTCCAGACAATGAATGCAGCATAGGAGAGACGATACTGAGCGATGCACAAAATAATGCAGCGACAAATAGGCCAGACATCCCGGAAATTTCGCTAGCAATGCTTTGAACAAAATGCGGCAACAATATGTCATAATTTGGCAAAATATGGCTCTTAACTGGGTCACATTCATAGTAATATGCATACATAGTCAAGCCAATGCCACAATTTATGAAGAGAATTACTGCTACAGCAACGAAGAATATCACAACTGTTCTAAGAATACGAAAAACTAAGAAATATTTAAGAATTTCATGAATATCATCAGATGAAACCGGTACGAACCGTTTTGCATCTTGAAGTGAAGGCAACGAAACAATTCGTTGAATCATATTTTGACTGAATGCGACATGAGCGACCCAAACCAAAAATGTGTTAACTGTTAAATTCCAAAGCGTTGTTCGAGTCGTCAAATTCACTGAGAGACTATTTTCACCGAAAGAAGAAAGAAGATTGCGGATCAAGTTCACGGCAAAAATGCAGTTCTTTTAAGCAAATTCCTTACTCAGGTGGAACAATTCGACCACCAACTACCGATCGAGTCCAAATTTCTGCCAGCCCCACATGATAAACTCCAAGCAATGCAATTGCAACAATTGATGCTACCAATATTAGGGCATGGATCAGCCCTATCGATATTATCGCCTTGAGCCCACCCTGAAATTCAATTTTTCGCCAATGAAAAAAATATATTCAACATTTTGCGGAGACAATCCAACTTACCAGAGCCGTGTACACGATGCAAACGTAACAAACAATTGCATTAACCACATGCACATCGAAATGACTTACTGAAATTGACATAATCAGCATATAAATAATTTTATCACGGAATTTTGTTAAACTGTGAATCGGCTTCATGCGTATGCTATAGGCGATTTAAAAGCAAAAACGTGAACATTTTAAAAACAACGGTTGCTAACGCGAATTAAATGACATTCGTCGAATTTCTAGATATCGAGAAATCACATGAAATATTGTCGTTGATAGGCTCATGTGTTACAGTAAATACAAATGAGTTAATACTTGAACGTGTTTTACATATTCACCAGTCATTACCGCGTTATTATTGACAGCTGTGTCAAACATATGATACAAGTTATTCGGAATACATACGTTCGGCAAAGGCCAGAGATGGAATGTACATTATCACAGGTAGATACAACAGATTATTTAGTGTAAAAGCCACAATATTTATATTTCTCGCTAATGGACCAAATCGTACATCCAGATACTGTAACGAAAATGTCATTTCAATTGAATTCATCAATCATTCCGTCTATTATCAATGTATAATTGCATGTAATTGTCAAGGAAGTATATTTTAATCACCGTATAGCAATTGTCCAATTTATTGTTGTATAGTATCGGCAGAAAAATATAGCACAGTGCTAGCATTACAAGAAATAGTGCAGGTATGAACAGCGTGTATTGCCAACCGTACGAGTATATTTCGACTGGCATTGTTAAAACCACTAAAGGTGTCAATTGACTACAATTGTAAACCACAAATTACTTTCTCTTTCAAATTTTGATGAAAATGAAAATTGCAACAAAATAAGCGAAAACAAATGCTGAGAATTGTTTGTGTCACCTGGCCGACGTTCATCAATTTCACGGCCAAAACGAAAATGTCAAAACAAAAAAGAGAAGTGCTTAGAATCGAATCGAATCACCTGGACAGCAACGAGAGTGCAACCGGTATGCTCTTCATTTTGAAACTACCGAACATAAAATCATCCGTTGTTCGCCCACCATTATGGAAAAATGCAATAGATACTCCGATCGCCAATGAAATGACCATTAAAGAAATTATTATGACATAATCGATTTCAGTAAATTGAACAGCTGATGAGGAAACTGCATTGATAAGTGACACGCTTTTATTCATACTTGTTTTTACAGAAAAAATAACAATAACAATAAACACTCAATTATTTTCATACGCTCCAATAAGCTGTGTTCTAAGTCGAAGATAGTCGCGAGAATCAAACTTTGTATTGCGGAAACGAATGAAAATTTGTTGGGTTAAAGCAACTGTTCAGTGAAAGGTGGCTCGATCGACTGAGGATGATTATTTGAAAACCGATATCTCCGTTTGCAAAGCCTGAAAAACTAATACATCGAAATTCACGCTGAAAAATGCACATTCACAAAAATTTTGCAAGCTTTAAAGAGGCAAGAGAGAAGTGATTATGAGGAGAGAAATGGAGAGAGAGAGAGCAGCAACAGCAACAACTACAAAATAACATCACTTTTCTGTTGTACATATTATACCAACAAAATTGTGCCATTTAATGTGATCGTATTCAAGAACCTCCATTTATTATGTTAAAAGTCACGTGAGTTTCCAAACCAGAATTTGATATACCAGACAGTGCGCCAGTGTAAGTGTATACATTCAACGTAAACATAAAGCACGGCTTGAATGAGAAACAAACGAATGGCAACAAACGAGTTATGAGCCGCTATGAAGTTGTGTACACGCGCACGCTGACGATTTTGATGAGCACTTGGTTCGGTGGGAGAGTGTTAGATGATTGACCTCTAATATGGAAAAGTCGTTAGGTTTGAAATGTTTTTTTCGAACAAATGCTTGTCAAATTGATTCGCCACTACCAATCTTTATCATTCCAGATATATTCGTTATTTTTTCGGTTTCGAGCCCGGATGGGCCTTTCTCAAAATAGAAGATACAGAGAGATATTAAATTTAAATTCATGATATCTTAATTTATTATGGGTCAAATTTAAATACAATAAATAATCGGCCGTTAATCGTCATCGTGAACATCGTTCGGGTAATGATCGGGTTTGGAACGAACCGACAGTTCGGGCTTCGGTACTTTTCGATCGATTTAAAATCACAGCTAGCCCGAACGAATGCAATCAGTAACGTTGATTGAATTGATCATAACTCACTGTTTGGTCGCGAATTCATTAAAAATATGAAAAATAAGCGATCGATGTTGCGAACAATCAACAGCCAGAATCATTCGATTTTACAGCGAATAAAGTTCGATTTAGTCATAGTTTTTTCGTGATAATAGCAACGAATACATTTTTGAGATGTCTTTGTACAGTTTTTTAGTATATAATAAGACGGCAGAAAACAATTGAATTTAAAGATTGTATCGTGTGCAATGTGTTTATTTAACTTTGATTAAATACCGCTGCAACTTGACATTTGATTTTGTGCAATAAATAGTGTGCGGTTGACGTATGCACGACCGGAATCGATTCAATGTTAATCGAGCTTCAGTCGGGCTCTGGTCGGGCTCTATCATGAAAACACGTTTCAAATACGCAGTGACCAATATTATCGATGGTTGGCTAACGGTCGGGCATGAATGGATTTTAACACCAACATGAAAACACTTCTTCAGGCGGCAAAGTGAATGGAATATGATCTTTTTCGCCAAACATCACTTAAAATTCATAGTACGAAAAATTCATATACAAAAGAAATAGTGCTCGAGAAAAGTGTACTAGTGATTTTTGCACGTGTCTCTTACATTTTGCAACATGTGCCAATAGCATGTATTGAAACATGATCCGCATTTTTGTTTGCTCCACTTCCATACAAAGCACATTCAAGAAGACAGAAATTGAGTGTATACAAAGCCGAAACATATTCTTGTATCAGAGGCAAGTCGCAGATTTTTTTAGTTCCATTTTGATCAAGTGTCAAAAAATCGATAAAATTTACTCCAAATCCATGACATGACATGACATGAGATTGGGATTACCCAAATTGGGAATAGGGCAAAGAAAAAAGCAAAACAAGATAATAAGCTCAAATATACCGAACGCAGAGTGATAAACACTGACAGCCCTGTATTGATAAGCATATGATCAGCGATCACATTGCCGTGATACGTTCAACTTTGATTTCAAATTAAATGCATACATATTGTAAATTGCAATTGACTCCCTAGATAACAATGGTGGGCTGAGCAGTGGTTTTGTTAGGTGAGAATGAGTAATAATGCGATGTGTATGTGTCAGCATCAAACTTCGTTCTAATTTGCAATAACTGGAATTAGCGAGTATCGCATACGCATTACGAGATACGGTGAGAATGCAACACCGTCGGAGAAATAATGAGTACAATTATAATAATAATGACGATCCGCCCACAGTAGATAATTGGAGAAGTTCAAAGAACATCTGAAATTTACCAGGAATAAAATGAATTGCGTTCTTCCGGAACATTTTCGAATGGCACAAGATATTTTGTTCTGCTTGATTGTGATATCGAATAATTCGATACGTTTCGCGTGACCCATCAAGTGCATATTTATTGAAACAATCATAGCAATTTGCGCCAGTGATCGCAATTTAATCAATTATCTTTGCCATAAATCACTGAAATAGGTAAACAGTCGCTGCGTTTGAACTTGACTGGAAAAAGCCGAGACGACAATGTAACCCATTCAAGCGGTTTGAGCGCACATCTGGTAATTTGCATAGTCGGCGATAACAATCAACAATGTTACAAACATTTGCATTAATATGCAAATTCATCAGTCGTGTGTGTATGAGTGTTTTTTTCTCCTTTATTCATGTGACCATCTCTAATATACACAGCATCTCCGTAAGACAAACAATTTACTTTCTATTTTTTTATGTCTTCAAATGAGAAGCTTCAGGCGATGTTGAGCATCGTTTTGCTTATGCGACGATCATGTGACTTTAATAAATGCAATAGCTTAGAGTTATACAACTTAAATTTAAATTCTATTCAAAAAAATATATGCAAAACAGCCAAACGACGACGATGAAGAAGAAGAAGAAAAAAAAAAAAAATCAACTAAAACTTGTTCTTGAAATATTCCGCTCCCACTTTTAACACTGGATTTTGTACACAATTTAAACGCAGACCCAGCAAAGCATTCGACCGTTCCAAATTTAGATCTAGTCCAACCACTTTGTGTATGCACAGAGCATTCGGGCGTTTTGCGATTGTGATGAAAAAAAAAATAACATGGAAAAACATCGTACCGTGTCGATGATAATTATGAAGTATTTGATGGCGGTAGCTGAATACTGTACAGTCAACAAACAATGAGACTTTGACGCGATGCTGGCCAAAGACGTCAATGTATTGTTGTTTATTGCTTGAAAATATGGATAAATTCGGCAACCACCACGGACCGCATTACATTAGACAATTGGATACCTGACAGTGCAACCGTCTTTTGAGCTTGTATTCTGCTTTTTCGTGTTCAGATTCAGTGCAAACATCTTTATTTACATTACGTAAGTCATCATAACCCGTGCAAATATTTATGATTTATTCGGTTGAATTCTATACAATTTCGCGCAATTTCACGCATTTTAAACGAAACTTTACGACAAGCCACATAACGAATTTTGCGTTTAATGAAAGTGAAAATGTTCCATTCGGAGGAACGAAGTGCTAAGAAAAGAGAACGTGCCGGTGGAGCGAGAGATAGAGAGAGAGAGAGATAAAACATTTAATACGCCACGAGCCAAAGTGAATGGAACAATTTTATCAAGAAAATGGCTATTATTGAGCATAAGGAGCGAGATAATCGCAATTATGTGCCCGTTATTATGTTGTGCCATAATTAAATAAATAATAAAATTAGATCCGCGTCGCACGAGAGAGAGCATGACCTGCGTTCCAAAATTCATACATAAATTCATATACGGCAAGTTTATGCGCTTGGAGCCGAATCGTAAAGATTGTGATGTGGGGGGACTCAAGCTGTTCATAGCTATGTTACTTTTGTTTTGAGCTGTTTGCTCACCTCATCATAATCCTTTTTGAAAATCTCATTCACCTTAACTCCGTTTCATATGCATCGCTGGACAACCGAAACGAACCGACAAACATGAAAGACTATTATCCTAGTCTTTTTGGCTCATTCCATTTGCTGCTCGGCGCACGAAATGAATTTTTTTTCCAAATAAGAGTATGATTTTTTTTCTACGTCTCATCATCTCGGTACACTGAAGAAACAAATCCAGTTGCGAGAATAAGAAAAAAAAGTTCCCCACAGCAAAGAACTTCAACCGTGCTCATTTTTATAATCGCATTTTTTTTTGTTCGTTCTTATCCAGCGCCATTTTGTATCCCTTCTCGCTTAAACTGCTTTCTACCGAGCCATGCGTTCGCTCTTTTTTCAACTCTTTTCCAAACTGTAGTTGCTTTTTATGAGTTTCTTTTTGTTTGTTTCAGTTGTCAGAATCGCAATTACAATGAAATTACTTCTTTTGTTTGCGCTTGATGAGGCAACTTTGGATGTTGTTGTCGGTTTTCTGCATCGGATTTAAGATATGCGATGACGACGATTATTTAATAATTATTCTATTTTTTTCATCCTCTTCAAAAAGAAAGACCCATCAAATGTATATACGGGCGAAAAAGGGCTGGTCATTTGATACAAGAAACAAACAAAAAACAGACTCGAAAAAGTTGAGTTATAAAGAGTCGATTTAAGTACATGGGCAAATAGGGTTTTTGGTTGCTCACATGCACAAACGGTCACTGAAATGGATTTAATTGTCGACGATTCTGACGCAATTACCACAGATACCGAACGCATCAGATAGCGCAATAATTGGCACATTATATGCGTGTGCACGAGAGAAGCACAAAAAATGGCAACAGCCAAATGGATAAAAAAAAAATTACAATCGGTGAACATTGTACAATATTATATGATTCCAACGGTATTTACACATTTGCAACCCATTTTCCCTGGTCGGAGTGTTTTTTTCCTGGCGCGTGTTTGTTTACATTCGGTTTGTTACAATTTCGTTCGATTGCAACATTCAATATTAATAAAATTTATTTTTTTCTCTGTTCATTTTTTCTGGCTCTGGGTCAGATATGCACGTGAAAATGAACGAATTTTTTTTCTGATGCCAAAGTTTGACACTCGAACGTGCTAAATTGCAATGTAAAAATGATACATTCATTTGATACAGAATCAATACAGTTTTTCATATCGTATCGAAATTTGTTTTATTCCGGTGTTTGTATGCATTACGTCAAAAGGTCTCTCTCTACCTTGTTTTTCTCAGTGTTGTTATTTATGCTGATGTTACTGTTGCTGTTGTTGTTGTTCATTTTTTTTTCACCCGGAAACTTGATATTTCATAAATTACATTGTTTGTTCGGTTCTGTTGGATAAAAACCGCTCGAGTGTTTTGCTCGTCCATTGCGAAGCAAATTAACACATAAAAATCGGGACATACATGAAAATGTCGAATATGAAATGGTCATTTACAGTTGGAGGGAAGAAAAAAATGTGGAAATAATTGTGAAAAATTGCTCGTTCACTACGGCAAACGGGCAAACGTGAAAATAAATAACTATGAGAGTGGCATGCAGTAGTGTGTACATTGTTCGTCGCTTGCGAAAGAATGAAGACAACAACAAAATTTAAGCGCGCATACACAACTACTTCAACTAGACAAATGTGATTTTTGCGCATTGATTCATTATAATAATTATTAGTGACAAAACGATAAAAATGTATTTATGCGTAGCAAATGTGCACGCGTCGATTTGATTTCGCTAATGGGCCCAGTGATTAATTTGTACTTCATTTAATTTTGTTGAATAATTTATAATTTGTTGCACCGTGTACAATCGCACCATTATATTTTATATACAAAGTGCAATCGAAGCCGCTGTCAATGTGATCAGGGAATTTTTCGGTCGCTTTGCTTTATTTTATTTTACGCTTGACCATTCTCTATCCTGCTCAAAACAAAAACCCACACTCAAACCAAAATCCATTCCATTCGGTTTTAATTCAATGGAATAAAATGTTTTCAAAATGTTGAAATTATGTTGACACGAACCATCGAGAGAGTGAGAAATAAAAGAAAAAAAACAAGCAAACAAGAATAAATAAATATAACGATCAAAAGCAATCAAGCAGAGAATATGTTGCTTTGTTGAATACAATAAAAAAAATTGAGTTCAAAACACAAAGCTCAAACAGAAACAAATCGTAATTTATTGACTCATTTGACTTTAGTGTCAACGTGAATCGATTAATTTGAATCGAGCCGCTTATTCGTTAGCACCGTTTAGTGGCCGTAGCAATGACTTTGTAGATTCATTACTGTTACGGAAGCTCGATAAATTAGTTTATGCTTTTAGCTCGCATTGATCGATTCATACGCGACATTTCGACTTTGTGACTGAAACATTTAGTGATTTTTTGTGTTTAATTTTTGGCTATTTCAATTTTTTCAATCAAACAAGTGTAAGCAACGGGCTACAATGAAGCCAATTGCATCGTTAGAGGACGTTGTGTTGAGTGAAAAGAGACCGGAGACGGTCGAAGAAGAGTTTCAAGCATGTATTCGACGTATCAACTACATGCAAATGGATTTGGAAGATGATATTTACGAAAAATCAACAATATCCCAGTACTTCAAAGGGAAATGTGTGTTTTTAACCGGTGGCGCTGGTTTTCTTGGCCAACTCTACATTGAAAAGTTATTACGGTATTTAATTTCAATATTATTTGTCTGGATGGAAATTCCAATAAAATGTACAATTTTAGGATTGGTGCAAGTCGAATTTATTGCTTGTTGCGTCCGAAAAAGAATCTCACACCGGAAGAACGTATACGGCACATCTGCTCTGGACCGGTAAGCCGCAAACAGTGTGCCGTATATCGGCAAAATGTGCAAAACCAATTCAAAAAATTCAAACCAAAATTTATTTCACCAGGTGTATCAACGCCTCAGAGATATGGATCCACATTTTCATGACCGACTCAGTGTGATAACGGGTGATTTGAAGTTAGTTGGTGCCGGTATTAGTGCTACAGACGTAGAATTACTGTGCAATGAAGTTCAAGTGGTCATTCATGCGGCGGCCGATGTTCGTTTCAATATTCCGCTACTTGAATTGGTGCAGTCAAATGTGCGTGGTACGCGCGATGTTCTGGAGATTGCCAAGAAAATGAAGCGCTTGGAAGTGTTTTCATACATTTCAACGGCTTATTCGCATTGCCCGCGCGATATTGTTGAGGAGAAATTTTACGATCCACCAATGGAGCCGGAGTTTTGGTTAAAGGTGCTCGATCGCTGCAAAACGAGTGCCGATCGTGAAATTATCGAAATACTCGAACAGCAATTTATGAACCCATGGCCCAACAGCTATACATACACAAAAGCACTCAGCGAAAGCCTGGTCAAGCGTTACAGTGCACATTTCCCAACCATCGTTATTCGGCCGTCAATTAGTATGTGCATTTTTATTGAATTTGTTTCTCTAGTGTCAATTACAAATTATAAGCATATATTTGCCCGTTTCTAGTTGTTTCTACGTATCAGGACCCAATTCCTGGATGGACAAACAACATAACTGGCATAAATGGTAAATATGAATTGAAAAAAAAAAAAAAACAAAACAAAGCGAAAACTTATGTGTGTGAAATTATTAAATGTATTGGGAATTCAGGTTTATGTGTTGGTATCGGCGTGGGATTCTTGCGTCATTTGCACGTATCCAATGATTTTGTAATCGATATCATTTGTGCTGATTTCGTGATTAATACAACACTATCGGCCATCTATTTGTCTGCCGAAAAATATGCAACGCTCAAACGAATTCCCGACCCAGAAGTGTTCCATGTTACAAGCAAGGGATTCTATTTGACTTCAGGTAATATTTATTGTTCGTTTCTACGAATTGAAATGTAATTTTTTTTTTTGAAATTTTGTGGGCAAAATTTTGAATTACCAATTTATTGACTAAATGTAGAGCGCTTGGGGCAAGATTCAATAACAATTCGACGATATGAGCTATTGCATTGTATGAAATGCGTTTATTACCCGGTCATCACGTTCACACACTACGAATGGCAAGATTTTTTGGCAACCATATTCCTGCAGGCGCTGCCGTGCTTCTTCATGGACTTTTTCAACCCCGAAAAGATACGACTGTTGGCCGTTTGCCGTAAAATCAAATCAATGAAGAATGTGATCACGTTCTTCATGAACAAACGAATACATTTCGATAACACGAATGTCGTGCACGAAGTATACGACCGGTAAGTATAACGACCGATTCGTTGTAATTTTCTTTTGTCTCTTCAAATCGATAATAATATGCACATTTCAATTGTTTGCATTTGAACTATTCGTTAATTTTATTGTCGACATTTTTATTTTCATTGTCATAGCATGACCGATGTGGATAAAAAACTGTTCCCCTCCGATTCGCGTAACTTCGAATGGAACAATTTCCTTTATGCATACTTTGCTGGTATGCGCGTTTACGTGCTAATGGATCCATTGGAAACATTCCCGAAATCGAGAGCCAAATTACGCAAATTAAAATACATTCATTACACACTGAAATATTCATTCTTCACCATTTTAGTACTGCTATTTTATGTATTCGTATTGAAATGGCTTTTGCGTTCGTTGTTGTAAGGTAGGAAACGAGAATTAGAAAAAAAAATACTTCAAAAATTCGTTTCATCATCGTCGGAATGCAGCCAATGCATTTGATTTGATAATTATTTACAACATAATTTCTGTTGTAAGCATATTTGTACTCTGTATCAAACGATTTACATCTCTCTCTCTCTCTCTCTCTCTCTCTCTCTCTCCCTTTCTCTATATATTATATCACCTAGTTTGTAGTTCAACGGGCATATTATGTTAGAATAATAAATCGTGTTTTTGTGGTCGGTGTCACTTGGCGAAAATGCAATCCGGAAAACCGCAAATTCAAAGCTCAATAAACATTTTAATTAAAATCATGTTATGTTCGAAAATGTGTTCAATTTAAAATGCGATGAGCTTCATTATGTGTCCGATTTATTGGCATTTTTTTTCATTGTTTGGCATTGAATCGTTGTTGTTATTGCACGAGATTCCGCTCCAAATTCAACAAATACCAAATTCTATCACAAAATAATTGAATTATTCAATCCGGATAATTGTATGTTTTGATATAGTATCGTTACAATTATGTTATTTTCAACGTGAACTCATTCCAATCGAAAAATATGGCAACGAGACAAAAAAAAACAAAGGGAAAAAAGTGCAATTCCACGCTAATTCGGCTCTTAATGTCGGATCACATTGCAAATACACTTCTTTTCGAACAGCAACATTGAAAACAATAATTTCAAATCAAAACAACTTGTGACATAATTTAAGCTAGGCATTGGGAAAACAAATAAACACGAACATTTTTTTTCTGCTTAAATCAAAGTCAATCAAAAAATGAGTTTATTTTTATTTTTTTTTGTTTTGGAACAATTTTTGTCGTATTTTCTTAACTTAACAGGTAACGTATGATTGATATGAAGATGTTGTTTATGAAGATGTTGTTTATCAAGCGTAGCAATCATTAATGCCATGAATCACATTGCAAATTTGCTTGAAGCGTTCTTTGCCCCCAACCGGCTTCACGGGTTGTGGCTGTTGATGACGATGCTGATAATTGTTGTGGAATTTTTGATTGTCGTAGAAAAATTCTAGAAATGCTTTGGCCTCCGTTCCATGCTGAATGACGACAACAAAGACACAAACAATTAATAAAATCGAACTCAATCGAAAAATCATCGTGAATGACGGGTATTCTATTTTTCTCCCAAGCTGTAGTAGTAAAACTATTTTTGGTTTACACTGTTGTGGTTTGAATAAATTAGAAACTGAACTGGCAAGCTACTGTGCCTTCAAGTGAATGCCTTAAGAAAGTTCTAGTGCCATTATATTTGTATGACAGCAATCAAACGGACCGAGTGTTGCTACTGATAAGCCGATTGAACGATTTACATAGACGTAACAGCAAAACAGAAAAAAAAGTCGCATGTATCAGCACACGTAACTTGGGTCTGCTGAACAAATCAGCAGTTTATGTGATCAGTACGGCCTTGGCCATATGTCCGTGGACTTTTGTTTACTCTGTTTTTTTCCCGAGAAAGCGATTTTTTTACTCCAAGCAACCAACGTCGTACTATGAATTCCACTCAATTGTTTGTTTTTGTTACTCAAATGAATGTCACTCAATTTGAATTGAGCACTTTTTTTTTAATGAAACACATTTTGAATAGTTAAGTCTTTTCCACCCGCTTGGATATAATCGTTTTTTTATTTATGAAAGATTCAATTTTAAATGATTTTTTTTTTTTTACATTAAATTCATTTATACAACCAAAGTATTTGACACTCAAACCTTAAATGAGAAACTTTTTCAGGAACAATTGATAAAAAATGAATAAAATCAATGCGATGCAAGTATATTTAAGAGTGTAATGTAGGTATTTGAGGCGTGTCATACGTTTGCAGGCTTGTTCAAAGTTGTCGAATGAATCCCTCAATAAATGTTTACGACCACCGATAATATAGACAATGTAGTATTTTTTCCAGTCAACAACGCGCGGATCGCAAATAAAGTATTTTCGGTCGTATTCCGTCATCCTAAGAAAAAGACTCAAAATATTCAATTCAGTAGGAATCAACAACCTATAATAATAAGTTCAGAGTATATGGCAAATTTCAATTTACCGATTTATGACATCAAACAGATTGTCGTTGGCAAACACGAATTCATTGTGGATGAAGAATTTTATGACCTCGGCAAAGGTCTTCATTTTCCGAACGATTGGTGTCAATTTGTATTTTGGCGACGATATAAACAGGTCCATAATCATCGATGGAATGGCTTGATAGATGATACGCAGCAGGTCATCGTGCCAATCACAATATGTTTTCTGGCACACGGTATACCAAACCGAATTCATGGGAACCACCAATCGTCGGCCAACTTGCACTAAGTAACTCACCGTATTGTCTGCGAAACAAATGAAACCACAAAACACCATTAATTCGCTCACCGAACATTAGCTGAAATAATATTTATGGCCGGTGACACCATCTCATAATTATGAAATTGCTTTTGTTCACCGAACTAAAATGTGGCACATTGTATCATATTGAAAACAATTTAAAGCCGTTTATTGCGTTCGGTTTGTTCGTTCGTTTTTCTCCGTTCCTCTTTTATGCGTTTTATCGAGTGTGAAATTATGGCGAGAGAGTGGCTGGCTGACTGGACAAATCCGATTGCAATGTAATCCTGTCTCTGTTGTCATGCAATAAATATGAGACGAGTTGCGCATTGCGCATACAATTCGTAATTCGTTTAGAAAATGAGTTTAGCAAATGGTACAACAATTATTATCATGTTATTTGACTTGAAGCCATGGCTAAGCACTGAAGCGCATACACATAGACACAATTTCAGGTGTATGATAAACGGATGCACCACTTTCGGTTGCAATATTCAAGAGGATTTTAATGTGCATGTTCAACATTTGCATTTTTGTTTGTTAGCAGCGGTGGTTGGAAAAGCCAAAAATGAAAATGTTTCGAGGGAAATTCGTCAACAGATAAACAAGCATTTTCGGTGAGAGAATGAACAACGATACCGGATAATGCAAGCAACCAAAAATGCAAATATCTGTACAACACTTTTGCACACGAACACGCATTAAATGTGCACATTTCAAAACCGGTGGCTATTTCATGCAAATGCTTTCCTTCCCTTCAATCCTTCTCGCACTACCACGGAACGAATGAATATGATACCGAAAACTTACCAAATATCAATGCTGGGTCGCTAACGCGATTAATATGATAGATTTTCGCCTCAAACTGATTGCGTCCATACTCGTTGCATGTATGCCATGCAGCAGCCAACGAACCATTCGTTACAAAATCAGCACACACAATATTCAACTCGACGCTCTTGAAGAATAAATTTCGCAGCAAACCACCGCCGATGCCTGTACGAAATTGTTATACATTTTAACTGAATCAAAATTTCCCATTAAATAAATTATAACTGAATGTGAAATGCGGTTGAATATGCATTTGAACAAATTGTAGTGATTTATTACGCATCGAAATGTAAAACTAAATGCTTTTAACTCACCGGCCACAACACCATTCATTCCTGATGGTCCAAAAATATGCGAGGAAAAGGATTTGTAAGCGTTAAACGAAAAGTTTATGCAGAAATGTATTTAATTGAACATTTACCTCCGTATGAATTGGACCAGGCCATTATTGGATCAGCATACGTACTTATCACTATGGTCGGTCGAATGACAGCTATCGGAAAATCATTGCTATAGCGTCGCACCACCGACTCACTGAGCGCCTTTGAAAATGTATAATTATTTGGCCACGGTTCAATCAGATTCGGTGCAATCATGTTCAATAGATCCTGATCATTTTCGCTTCGATGCGCCTGAACGTAATCAATTAAAATGTCCGCATTCATTGGTGGTTCGTAGAATTTTTCCGCAATTTTATTCTCTGAATTTTCTTTTGTGTTTGAAAATGCGGTTGACATGTATACAAACACCATTAGCTTTGGCATTTGCTTGGATAGTTCAAGTAAATCGCGTGTTCCCACAAGATTGCACCAAATGAGATTGTACAATGGTTCATTGAAACGAACATCGGCCGCCGCATGAATAACAATTTCGATGTTTTCTTTCAATTCTTCCAAAATGGCATTGCTCTGAATGCCCAAACGTGGTTGGCTCAAATCGCCTGTCACTATTTCAATACGATCCAGAAAATTCGGATCATATTTGGGCAAATGTTGAAAAACAGGACCTTTGCACACTTTTTCAAGCCGTTCACGAGAATTTCGATTCTTCTTTTCACGCATCAACACATACACACGTTTCACACCTATCCTACATTCAAGAAAATTTAATATTTCAATGAAAATTAATTTGAATTCGTTGCAACACATTTACCGGAGTATTTTTTCAAGTAAAAGATGCCCCAAGAAACCCGTTGGCCCCGTTAAAAGTACAGTTTTCCCTGCGAAAAAATTCGAAATCGGCGAATCTTTCGGAATTGATGGATCAACTCGATATTCTCGTTCGCACAGTTCAGCCAAATCCGACTCAGTTGTAATCACTTCATTTGAATCCATTGTTAATTTTTTTTTTCGCTTGATAAACTGCGTCTTTTCCCTCTTCTTCTGGAAAAATTACGTTTTTATCCAACACAATGATCAATTTGAAAAAAAAAGAAGAGTAGAATGTTCGGTCCAATATTGCCAAAAGAGAAAAAACGATTGAAAGAATTAAATAAATGATGAGCAGCAAACGTTGATCGATTTCGAGTGGTTTGTAATCAAATGAGAAGCAGTGTCGAAATTAATTTTGGTTTCGAGCCATCACATTGTAACCTTTTTTTACGGAAATGTAAATTTTCAATCGTATTTTTTGTTACAGTTCTTTTCATTCTGTCAAATGGCGCAATACATAAATTTAATTCATTTGGTTACATTTTTTTTTTCGTCGATGATTTTACATTATTCTTGTGCCATGTTTCACATTTAAAATGGTTTGGCATTCGGTAGTCAGGCGCTTTAGTTCGTGACGCGTTTCAAAGTGACTCTGAATTTTATTTAATTTACATAAATAATTTGTTGTTCGCTTTTTCCGTGTATGTGTGTGTGTGTTTGTATTTTGATTGGATTGCAATTGAAATGAATAGTGACACAGTCAGAAAAAAAAGGCGAATCAAAGTGGAAGTGGACATGAAAAATCAAGATCTATCAAATTCATTGAATTTCAATTACACGAAATCATGATGCAAATTGTTGCTTTTGCCTGGATATACAATTCCATTTGATTAAATTAATGGAGTTTTTAAATCATGGCTTTGGTCAGCAAATTGTTTCTGGCACTTTCGTTTGACAATATTGAGGAATTAATGGGTTTTTTTTTGCGTCGTACGTTATGGAGAACAGAAAAAGAGCATTTTTTGTCTATATAAAAAACAGTTCTAATTGATGCTGAATGATCTTCACTGACTGGTGATAGTGCAATGAAATTTCCTTCCGATTCAATCTCGAGCGAGAGAGATAAAGAAACGACAAGTGCTTGATATTTTCAATTCGAAATAACAGCATTGCCTAATCACATTGACCCAAAAATGTTTCATAGCACTCACTTTCAACCAGAGAGAAAGCAAAGTTCTTGTCAATGCTTACAATCGCCACTTCATACCAACATGTGTTGAAATGAATGTGCGTGAAAGTTGTGTCGCAATTAATATCATATCGCCAGCACGAACATAATAAATATACGTATACAAAAATAGAATCTATTGGGTTAGCCGGCATACACATGAGTGATAACACAGCAAAAATTGATTACGCTCCTTCTCTACTTGTTATGAAAGCAATGACATTCCGAAGAAAGATTGAGAGTGTATTTACGTTTTTTTTCATACTTTTTTTCGAAAATATGAATTTCAAATCAATTTCATCATTAAATGTTTTAGTCAGCTAAAGTTAGGTTCGGTAATAACTTCTGTGATAGTGTTACTCTCGCTTGCAATTGTGAATCATGTGTTAAACAATATTTGAGCAGTGAATAAAAATCAATAAAATGCAATCAGTGCTATTGGAAATGTATTTCGTTTTTCATTTGGTGCCCATCAATAGAACAATGGTTTGGGTAATGTATTGACTTTTGCTCTAAATGGTTCTATGTAACAAGCGGTGGCTGACACTTGTTGCCATCAAATGCTGTTTTAATGAGGCTAAATCATAAAGCAATTTGTAATATTCTTTTGTTTCGCTTTTATCGACTCGAATTGAATAGGTGGCATTATTGTTAGCGTTTCTCAGTAATACGGTCGTTTTTGCTGAACTGCATGAAGGTCGAAACGAATCGATGGCAAATGTGCAAAGAAGTGTGAGTGAGAGTAGCGGCGGAAAAATGCTATACAATGTGTCTGCGAATGAGGTAATATCGACTTTGACTTCTACATTGTTGTCGTCGTCGTCGTCGTCATCGTCGCCGGTCGCAGTGCACCCAATTGAAATGGGGAAAGAGTCAATCAATAATGATGTAAAAGAAAAAGTGACAGTTTCATCACCAGATAATGATTATCAGTCAATGAGGCGTGCCTTTGACACATTCAATGAAAAAATGGAAATATACATGAACTTTTATGGCAACGAAATGTCATTTCTCACAACCAAATTGAACACATTGAAAGACAAACTGAATACCCTCGAGATTTTGCACCATGAAATTGATCAAGTTTTGAATCACCAGAATACGGCCGAACAAAAGTTGCAATTGATTCAGGACGCAATGTTTGGCAGTCAATCGATAATTGGAAAACTAGACCGGTTGGAATCCTCCATGCAACAATTGGATGGTCGAATTGATGAACTGCAAGAGAAGCAATCCAGATTAAAATTAACACCACAAACGGTACAAACAAAGCAAACGAAAGAGAGTGATGATCCTTTGTCGGATAGTGATGAACAATTCAGAAATGTTGAATCGAAAATTGAGCAATTAGTCGCATTTGTTCATTCGTTTGCCGAACTAAACCGCTTGGAAAGCACAGACATTTTGACACGTCTAGGAAATATGCAATCGCAATTAATCCAGTTCTTTGATGTCAAAGGAACGATTGCAAACAATCAATTCAGCCAACGGAACGGAAACGGCACAACCGAACATGGATATGAAATTGTCGAAGAAACCACACAAAATTTGAATCATTTGAATGACACAAATGCGTTAAAAGATGCTGCTAATGGAACCAATGAAATTGCGGTTATTATTGGAAATGCGTCAACCGAAATGGCATCAACAATATCGAATTCAAATGATGACAGAAATTTAACCACTTCAAATATAAAATCCATTCGAAAACGCAAACGAATGACAAACATGGTAAGTTGATGATTAAATTTCCACCGAAATGCGAATGGCTTTTTTCCGCTTGACCCGAATTCAATTCATTCCATTTTCACTTAGCAAAATCGTGCCAAACGAAATCAGGGAGTGAACACATTAGCGACATTTCGAACATTTCATTCTGAAAATTCCAATCGAATCGAACGTATGATGCATCGTGATGGCAACATACATGACGGCCGACACATCACAATACCGAATTTTGATAATCCAAAAATAGAGATTGAGATTGATTACAGTGCAACTAAAAGTGACAAGCAAGTCAATGCAAGTAAATATTAACATGATGCTTTTTTATTGTTGTTATTGAGCGACGAGTCTGTGACTCCCTGCATTCATCCAATAATACAATGTTTTTGTTTTCTATAAACATCAATCTATTAATGAAAATAATTTTGTGCACAGAATACGGTCAACCAACTCACATCGGATGCCATGAATTTTCCAATTTAAATCGTGCTGACGAAATACATCGTTACACAACCAAAAGTGGAGCATCAGAACGGCTTTGTTGCTTTGACAGCGGTGGGCCAGCTTGGACTGTCATTCAATTTCGAGGTCTGTTGAATAATGTGTCAACACCAGAGAATTTTAACCGTTCATGGCATGATTATAAAATTGGATTCGGCAATTTGAGTGGTGAATTCTGGTATGGTAACGATTTGATACATAAATTGACCTACGACGATGACATGGAATTGAAAATCAAACTGGATACGTGGGACGGACGATCCATTGAATTTGAGTATGAAATATTCCGTGTTGATTCTGAGGAAAATCGTTATAATTTGTTTGTTGGTGGCTTCAAAGGACGTAATAAGGATTTGGATGCGCTTGCATACCATCACAATCAAGATTTCAGCACATTCGATCGACAGAATGATAAATCTGGTATTGATGACAATAGAAATTGTTGTTCGTGTGCAAAGTCCTACGCTAGCGGCTGGTGGTTCAATAAGTAATGGTCTTTCAGTTTCAATTGGCAGTTTAATCTGATTTGATTTTTGATATTCTAGTTGCATTGAGGCCAATTTGAATGGTATTTATCAGTTCAATCCTTTGAATAACAACTACGTTGGCATCATTTGGGAGAAATGGCTCGGAGACTACTCGTTGAAATCCACAAAAATGATGATTCGGCCGAAAATCGAGTGGCCAAGCCGAGGTGCAGGACACGAGTTGGATGATGATTCAAGTAAGAAACCACCAGATGATCCATAATTTTTCTCAAAATTAACAACAGGAAGTCGGAGATTTTCAATATGCCGAATGAACAACATTTAGAAAATATGTGAAATTGATACAAAATAAATATGATTGACTTATTTTAAACGAAAATATATTGTTTCTTCTATTTTGGCGAATTATAAACAGCTTGATATTTTTGCTTTGGAGTCCTTGATCGCCATTCGTCTTGTTTCAATCTAAGTTTCTTGAATAGATTATGCATGATCGAAAGGAAAATCAAACCGCTTCATTCAAATGCTGAAAAATAACTGATGTACAGATTTTCTCAGACGAATTCATCATTCACAACGGATCGTATTACCTTGACCGACTTTGTGTAATTGATATATGTAAATTAAATACGTATTGAACTTTTGAACATAAATCAGTTATTCCTTAAGGATATGTTTGGCAACTGCATAACCACCTTCTCATTCTAATGTGAACGATCTTTTAATTGTACAACGACAACGCATACTCGTTTTGCGAGCGTCAAATTTGTATGTTTGATAACCGATTTATCTTTATTTTATAGAAAAACGTTTACCGTGAAACTGGTATTACAATTTGATTGGGGTTTGTATTGAATTCACATGTTTGCGTCTCTCTAAATGGAGATGAATTTTCGAATGCTTCCCAGAAATATTTTCTTCTAGCTGGTAAATCTCCAAGTTCATTCACGTGCGATGAAATTTGATCTAAGCGATCATTCACAACAGACTTTTCAGAATATTTAGTAAATTCCACAGTAAAAACGGCATCTTAAGGTAATTTAGCCCATAAAATTGTAATTCCGGGTTCTCGAACATCTCCAACTTTTGGTGTCGTGTGATCCGGTGTTTGAATTTGTTCCAAAAGTTGTTTTTACGTCCAATGTTTATCTTGTAATCCAATTGTTTTTGTAATTTTAATTGCACAACCACTTCTCGTCATTAATGAAAATATGTTGTCGATACATTTTTTAAATGCACAGAATTTGCAGTTTTACTAAGAACAATAAAAAACGATATTTCACTATGAACATCACCTACTTTAACATCGTTTATGGTTAATTTTTCGACAGCACTCATTTTGCGTATGTTTTACTCGGTGGCCAAAGACTGACTGAGTGACAGAAACACAGTTGGACTGCACTACTTATCGAACTAAAATATATTTCAATTTATAGGAATTGAAGAGAATCTGTAGCTTCGGAATGGTTTGGGGGTTCGACTGGCTGACAAGATGTTGCTTTTTGGAGATGACTAGAAGAGATAATTTTTTGTTCACATCAAGAACTGGAAATTTGCTCAATATTTTCTAGCAAAAAAACAACATCTTGTCAGCCAAAAATCCGTTAATACGAAATGATCCATATAAGAGTATACTACATGGACTCCACATTGTGGTACTTCAGCGTTTATTTTTTAAGGGAGTTGGTTTTCGGGATTGACATGTTCAGCATAGTTGTAGCACTTGATGAGTAGAGTAAATTTGATCAAGACAAGATGTCAAAATAATTTACCATTTGTGAGTTATAACCTCAAATGTCAAATAAATGGCGCTATTTTGACATCAGCTGTCATACTTTCACGGCTGTATCTTTTAAAGTACTTGAAATATTTGGTTGGTTATTATTGCATTTCGTTGGTCCAACCTCAAGCTTCCAAACGCCGGTTAAGATGCTTCAATATCATTCATGGTTCAAGAAATATTCATATGTGTTGAAGGTGATAAAAGTGAAAAATAAAAAAAAAGTTTAACCGTCTCCATTTCCCAAACAACGGTTCGGTGGAGCAAAACATATATACCATTTCGAAGCAACATGAGCTTGTGCATCATACTGTATCCCCACTTTTTCAATTTCCATGAATTTTCTCTATTTAAACAAATATTAAACGGACCGTACGCTCAATTTTGTCCAGCACAAAAATGACATTCATCTACGTTTTTCAATAAAAATCACAAAATCCAAAAAAAAAATTCAAAATTCTCTCGGTTACTATTAGTTCACATAATTACGCAACAAACAGTGCAAAGAATTGATTGAAAAAAATAAATTAGGTTCATGAAATAGTCCGCGATACATTTTTCTGGCAGTCGTACGCTCAATTTAGTCCATGACTGTATATTCATATTTTTGTTGTTTGGATTTTTAATCACTCCGTATTCAAATATTTCATTCAAATTTCCTAAGATTTAGTCTTCTCGAACTCAATCAATATGAATATAAACAGTTTGCGTATGAAAAAATCACTGTTTCGTATTCAACGAACAACAACTTTTGTTCGATTACTTTTCTGAAATACACTTCGCTTGGGTACCAAATAATAAGCTAATTTATTTTTTTGGCATTCAAATGATAATATCTACTGAAAAAAAACTCAAAAAATATAAAAACGTAAAAAAAAATATAAAAAAAGTGAATTCCCCTACCGGGAATTGAACCCGGGCCTTCTCGGTGAGAGCGAGATATCCTAACCACTAGACAATAGAGGACATGTAAGAAGCTACGCTTAATGCTTTCATATTCATGTTCATCAGCGGTTTTCATATACAATGGCGGCTCATATTGAGCTGCAAGCAAGCGTTGTTAAACTTCACAGCGTGCTGTTGTGCAATACTGAATATGAAGGAAAAGAATATACATCGAAAGAGACTTCTTTATGTGAAACGTGAAAAACATTATTCACAAAAATCTGTAAATACACGTTTTGTATGGAGTCCATACTATGGATTAAAAATAAACTCATTGATTCCACCTAATTGAATACAACATAAAAATGTTTAATTGAAAAACATGAAAAATGGAAACAATTGCATACATTGTTATGTAAACATTGATTTCAATATATAAAAAGTCTTTTAACATCAAATTGTGATAAAAAATAGAAACGGAATACGAAAAAAATATATTGCATCGGCCGGGAATCGAACCCGGGTCGCCCGCGTGGCAGGCGAGCATTCTACCACTGAACCACCGATGCTTGTGATAGAACGTATGCAAATTTGTGCGATATGATACGATGTGTAGGTTTAATTTATTAAAATAAAATATTCTGAACGTGAATTACACAAAAAACAAACAAACGTTTATTGGGCGAAGTCTGTCTGTCGGTGTGACACTTGTGCAAACTGTCGACGGTGAGATCTTTCAATATCGGTTTGAATGTTATTCCACGTTGAACTCAGAAACGCCGATTATCGGTTGTTGGCAACGATTCCTTTTTATTTTACAAAAGCGGTTCGAAAATATTTCGACATAATCCATACAGTGAAATTGTATTGTTGAAATTAATTCTACAGCAGTCGAATGCATGAAGTTTCATAAACACGTACGGCAGACATAACAAACAGTCGACAGTTGTAAATAAGGACGAACAAACTGACACAGAAAACATTTACCTAAAAATGAATACAGAACTCGCGTTCTGGCGATCATTTCGCTGCTTTGTTGATAATAAATGGTTGTTCTATCACAAGCATCGGTGGTTCAGTGGTAGAATGCTCGCCTGCCACGCGGGCGACCCGGGTTCGATTCCCGGCCGATGCAATATATTTTTTTCCACGTCAATTATTTCATTTATATTATTTAAACGTTTTAAAACAATTGTATTGAATTTCGGTTTATTAAATTAAAAAAAAAACTTTTTGCCGAAGATTCTTTGAATTTCATTCAAAATATAAAATCGCGTTTAATTTTTGAAGAAAAAAAGTCAACTCTTTCCGAATGAAATATCTTTTTGTTCATTTATTCATTCTACTAACTGATCTAAGTCTTATCATAGCATACTTCCGTATGACATTCCACAGTCTCGTTTCGTACGCATTCACCGGATTACCATTTATGAACTTACGACAATGCCAATAGCTTTTCTGCTTTTCTGCTTTTCTGACGCATGGCGTTTTTAAGTTGAATTTCACAGTATTATGCCCATAAAAGACAGAGAATCGATAAGAACGACTAAATAAAGGAATATGTGATAAACCAATGCTACGCAATCACCAAATCAAAATTACTCAATTGCACAATTCAGCTGATGAATTGAAATTGCGCATACGTCATCGAATGAGTCAGGTGTCCAACATTTGATTCATATGAAAATGAGTTCACAGAAATTGGAGACGAATTCAAATGAATGTGACGCAAAATGCTTATTAAAATGGATGAGTAATTTAGCTTTTTAATCATGTTTGTAAAAACGTTTGCAGTGTCTCCGGTCAAAATCGTATTGCTGCCGCTAAAATTGGAACAAACAAAAAATAATGAGAGAATCACATGTGTTTTGTTTTACTCCAAGAACTATATGATTATGTTCTATTTATTCCAAATAAATTTAAAAGACAGTAAAATTTTGTTTATACATTCAGCTAATCTCATCTAGTTGCGTAATAAAACGACACGAAAAAGAAAATTAATTAAAAGGAATCGGTTGTTTGTTGTAATGTTGTTTGCTTATCATAATTTAATGAATTTAAAATTCTCATACTAAATTCATTTTACACATCGCTGAGTGCGTCCATTCCATAAATTATATAATATTCTCTGGCCACGAATTCATAATATAGCTAAAAAAAATTGATTAATAAATTTGTCTTGGAGGGGGCATTTATCATAAAATGATTTACTCAATCTTGCCTCTTCTAATAAGTGCATAAATTGGTCTTAATTTGCATGCATTGAAACTGTACGTATACATTCAATAATAGCTCACTATTGCTACTATCGAAAATGATTGGCTTAATTTTGTGTTTTGCATTTATTCACATGCATGTATTTGTTGTTGTTCCTTAAATATGCTAACTCTATGCAATAGAGTAAAATTGATCCAAAAAAGGTCGTCTTTCAAAAATTGATTGTAAATACCGTATGAAAAAAGCAGTTGTGAGAATTAGAATGCGCTGTCGATGGGAATTCGAATACAAAAGGCACAAAATGCATGTTTTATGACTTCGTTGTCTGAAGTTGCAATCTGTTTAGTCAGGTGTTCGTTTCCTCTCTATTCACATCATAATACAAATACAATCATCATCTACACAGTGTTCAATCGACCGATGTGTGTCGGCTTTGTTTGTCATGATATATTGTGATTTCATCACAACACTACCTCAATTGATTACAAATTTTATCAACAACAAAAAATTGAAGAGCACAACATTTTTTGCTCGATTAACAAAAGATAGTAATAATAAACAGAAAAAAGTGATGAGTTTTCAAATACGTGTTTGATCATTCTTTCAAACGTTTTAGTGAAAATACAGCAATTTCATTTAATTTTTATATTTTTCTCTGAGTAATCAATCATTTTCAGCCCATCCAGTGGCCTACAACATGTTCACAATATTCTTATGACGATAAATTAAAAAAAAATGCTCGACTTTGCCCTAAAATCCAATTGTACATTGATTGTTCTCCCATTTCTTTTCGGATTTATATCGTTATATGCAAATTTAAACAGCATCGACCAATCGCATCATATAAGGAAATTTAGTGACTGCACCCGTGATACGATATCGTCATCTCTGTCGTCGTCTCCTCTATGAATTGTATATTATTAAGCAGGAGAAAAGAATCATTCATTGATGCGTAATTTGCATTTCATAGAAATAAATAAAAGGCAAAATATCAACAATTTTCTACTCTAATGGAAAAAAATGGCTAATTGAATTAAATCTAAATGATACTTCGTTTGAATGTTTGAAAAAAAAATGATGAAAAAGAAAAAAGAACAAATTTAAAAAAAAAATGCCTAAAAATAAGTTTGAAAAGAAAAATTTACAATTGAGCGTGATAAAATTAATGGACTAAAATGCTATCGTTTGTATTTATGCGCACGTTGTAAGTGTGCTAAAAAAAATTATATGATATAATTGTTCAAGTTGTTCAGATTGAATATCGCGCTGGTTCATCGTATCAAACCCCATCAATGGGCAAATCGATTGACGCGTGCATCTGCTCCGAATGACTTGTCGAAATTCATTTTTCACTTGGACTTTGCATTTTTCTTCTCTTTCAAACTTAAATTCCCAATGATAATTCTAACATTTAATGACTTGTCTTTTCCAAACATATCTTATATGACTATGAAATAAAGCCTTCCTTCGTATTTTCCATCAATGCGATAACACACAATCACTCTCTCCGTCTCTCTGTCTCTCTCGCTCTCGTACACACACACACATAAATCAATTGTTGCTTCTTCAAAGCCAAACGAAAGAATTAGCAAAGAACTAAAGAATTCCAAAAAAAGGCACAATTCACAATCTTTGAAGCGAATTTTTCTGCGGCATAGTTTAGATAAAATCGTCAACTGGCATAAATCAATTAAGCGCGCAATTTACATTCGAACATGAATAATGGAAATGATGAACAATGTTTTTAGTTTTTGTCACTATCTCGCAATATTTGCTTAGTTTTTGTTCATAATTTTAGTTTTTTTTCGTCGTTGTTTTCACAGCCATCAACACGAAAATTCTTTTATTCCTGTATTGCGTGTTTGTAATTCGTTGCAATGTAGCTTCTTCTATATCTCATTTTTTATGTGTTTTTCTTTTCATATTTGGGTGTCAAAACTTAACCGAATGTTCCAGCCAAAAGCAAAATAATAACAAATTGATTTTGGAAAACAAAACATGCACTCATATCTTATTCTACATTCAACTATTTTGTTTTTGTTTCTTCTTGTGTCATTCTTTGCCTGTGAGCATCGAACCGTTGGGAGTGATTTCGTCGATTTCTGTACAGCTTAAGATATTTTGTGTGTGTGTGTGTGTGTGTGCTTTAGCTACAGCTTTCAAAATTGATTAGTTTAAGGGAAAATAAAGAGCCAACGGAAGTGGCGTCTTAAATGTCATCACGTTTCAAAATGCGTCGAGCCGCTTTGATGAGTGGTGTAAGTGTGCGCAGTTCGCTACACTCCTCAAGGAATGGATGCTTCAGTAGTTCTTCGGCTGTCGCTCGTTTGTCTACCTCAACCTGTAGGCATTGATCCAAAAAGTCTTGTAATTTCGGTGATAATTTTGACCAGCTGCTTATCTCCGGTCGGCCATTGGCGGTGATCAAATACAGAGCACGCAATGGTGTTTGATTCAAATATGGTGGCTGCCCTTCGATCATTTCGATCGCCATGATGCCAATTGACCAGATATCAACTTTTTTACCGTACTTTTTACGCGTCACTACCTCTGGAGCCATCCAATCTATGTGAAATAGAGGGAAAGAAAAAATATTAATTTTTGAAGGTTATTTTCAACATATCCATGGCCAAAGCCGATGTGAACGTGATGATGAAACTTACATGGAGTTCCAACCATCGTTTGTCTTTTTTCGTCGCCTTCGATATTGGCACAGAATCCAAAATCGGTCACCTTAACCGAACCGTCCATGCCGAGCAGCACATTATCCGACTTGATATCACGGTGGATTATCCCACGTCCGTGCAAAAAGCAGATTGCATTCAATACTTCACGGCATACAGCTGCTATTTGTCGTTCCTTCATGATTGTTTCGGTTACAACATCGGTCAATGGGCCGCCATCCATGTACTCCAACACAACCCATAGGTGATTTTCTTCTTCAAGGAAGTATGCGTCGAGGAAGTTGACTAAATTTCGATGATTGAAATCCTTCAAAACTCGAATCTCATTGAGAATCAACTCTTTCGACGATTGATTCTTCAAGTCAATTGTTTTGATGGCGACTTTTTGTTCGGTCTTCAAATCTAATGCAATGAAAACAACACCCGAAGCGCCTTTTCCAACTTCCAATTTCGTTTCATACCGCAGTGTTGGATCGTCCAAATTGCAAATTTTCCGCAGTTCATCGTACACTTCTTCATCGGATTTCGGTTGACGCACCACATCTTTGTTTCTTAATATCAATTGTTCATCTTCATAGTTCGGCTGCAGTGTTCGATATTGATCTTCTATGCCTTCATCGGGTATGGTTTGCTTCAAAATCGCTTCAATGTTCTTCAATTCTTGGTCAACGTCCAATTCCGTTGACTTTTCAAAATTATTATTGGAGTTTGAATCATGTACATTGATAATGGTCGTTTGTGGACGATTTGATTCAAAACCGCTCTCGCTTTTGTCGTGATGTTCGCCTTTGGCCGGTAATATAATTGATGACTCATACTTTTGCTGGATTTGTTGTTGCGCTAGTAACTGTTTATTTTTTTGTATTTCGGAAATGACACGCAAATCATGCATGGCTTGATTCAGTTTATTGTTCATCTGAATGTGTTTGGGCTTTGGCATAATTTTTGGCTTGGGCGGCAAACCCATGGTGGATTTTTTGGCGGGCAACGGTGGTGGCAACTGTTCGGATGACGATGAATTTGATTCTTTTTCCGATTCGCTGCTCTCGCGAAATGAATCTTGGCTCGTGTGCGCCTTCCCCAGATTTACATAATTATCTATTTCTTTGGACTCATCTTCGATATCGGCTTCGGTGACAAACGGTTTGAATATCCCCTCTGACGGTCCGTCACGTTTTTTCATCGATATCGAAAAATTGTAGAATTTCAGCGCTTGGTAAGCGGCATCTGGATTCTTTTGCTGTTCATCTTGTGTGATTTGTGAGTTCATTATTCGTACCCAAGCCTTCGGCAAACCTGTTTCCATTGAAAAAGGCAAAGTGAACCAAATAAAAATTGTAATTAACCATGTTTTCTTTTCATCTTTTCGATCGATCAAAAACAACATTTGCATAGCGTACAAATAAATAAATAAAAGAGCAACAATACAAAAATGCCGGCGGTCGATTTCGTGTGTTATTCGAATGAGAAATAATTACCTTCCAATTCGCCATGTGCATTTTTCCCGACATGGATGTCATGCACAACATTTGTCGGTGCTCCGATTTCGGCAATATGTCGATTATTATGTGCGGCAGATTTTTTGCTGCCAAAAAATCCCTTAAGACCTTGAAATGACGTCATTGTGATGATCGTGTGCAATCACTTGCTAGCCCAAAAATCTACACGAAATTTTTTTTATCTCACCAAATTGCGAAAATAAACCAACAATGCGCACCAGCCACTTATTAACTTTCACTTATTTATGTGTGTGTTGGTCTGTTTTTTTTTTAATTCTTCATCAGTCCGTTCCGGTCGGTTGCACTTTTGTCGATTCAGGTATTTAATGCAGACTTCTTTTTTTTTCTGTTCATAAATATTTTCTTTAATTTAATAATTGTTTGATTTTGTTTCGATTTTCCGCTGCTGATTACACAGCACAACAACAAAACATTTAACACTGCACCGAAAATGAAGGGAAAAATTTTTTTTTCTCGGAAAGAAAAACAATAACATTCGAGTCAACGAAATAAAACATTTGCACGTAATCGTATGATAAGTGTGTTATGATGAGTCGCGGCACTGGTGTATATCATCAGTCAGCTAACAGTAGAAGAAAAAAAAGTTCATCAAAATCCGTAATGCAAATCGCTGTTGATCTTCACACTTTATTTCACTTTGCTTTTTGTGTGTTTGATATATGTGTGTATGTGTCAATGTCTCTCTTTCGTATCGATGTTGCTTTTCACACTCTTGCTGCTCTCGCTCTTTTTCTCTCTCACGGTTCGAATAAGTTTTCTACGCTACGATTTTCAGTTAAATTGTATAAATTATTCGCCGCTGTTACAAACAGCTACTGATGCTCACGATCCATATAAATACACGCGAAACATACAGTTGAACTCGGTTTTTAACATCATCACTCGAACTTCATTATCTAGTTCAAAGAAGAAGAAAAAATGGAAGAAAGAACATATGAAAAAAGACGGAATTTAATAAAACATCATTGCTTCAAATGAATTGTACGGAGTTTAATGAAAATAAAAGCGCAAATAAAATTTTGACGATTGAACTTGATGCGTGTTAGTATGCATGGATGTATATTTGTGTGTGATTTGCGAAAAGGAAGAGAAGCTGTCGCTTTTTAATGAATGAATATGGATGTCTACGTAATTGAAGTGCTTCAGTTCCTTCTTCAAAAAGCCATTGAACGATACAATGACAAACACACAAACACATTATCCACCCAACCAGTCAACCATCCAAGCAGCGAAACGAGAATTTATGCAAATATTCACTTGTATTAATGCCACTTCGAAACGCGGCCGAAATAGCAAAAATTAAAACGCCAAAATTATTCGCAACACGCACTCAATTCCAATGAAAAATACATGATGAATCAAGACTCATCACAATCATGTGTCCAACGAAACAAATGATTACACGACAAGCACTAACAAAAAAAAACATTATAAACTAACAAAAATCACAAGAGAACACACGAAGGAACAGAAGAAAAAAAATCAGAGCGACTGTAGGAAAAACATACCGAAATAAATCATCCAACAAAGGAGTGGCACCTACAGCATAAAACTCATCTTGATAGGAATTTAATGTATACCAAAATATGTCAGCGTTGCTCTAGATCTTTTCTACCGACCGAACAAAAAAAAACACGAACCGAAATAATAACAACAACCAAATTTATATTACACTTTTTAATTAAATAATAATATCAAAAATACACGAAGTGATGAATATGAGCAGACAGCTCGTAGAGCTAACGAAACTGAATACAAGACACTACATTGACTATAGACGAGAGAAGGAAAAAAAAAACATACAACAGAACAAGCGAAGAACAATGTATTTAGTTTTCTCTCATACACACACATGTACACACAAAGCATCGACAAACGATATACACTTTTATCGCTGCCAATTGATAAATTTCAACTTACAGTCTTAAAATTCCATATATGTATAAATCCACAATATGTTGTCTCGATATTGCTGCTGCCTCGCTTGCTTCGCACTGTTCAACTAGTCATACTTAACTGCCAACCCGTTTCGAATGTGTGTATATGCGCCTGTCTCTCTCTCTCTCCCTCTCGTTGTGCATGGAAATTCAACTTTGAATGGAATTCACTTCTCAACAGTATTCATTGGTAACTTACTGGCATTTCAGTCCATTTCAACACCACACTCATGCGACCGATTACACTTTGACACGGCAATTCTCGCGTAAATGTATGACTCACTCGAGACAACTAACACTAACCCAAATGCTTGGCGCGCATGTGTTAGTGCTCCGAAGCACTCAAACGCACACAAATACATATTTGATTGTTTATTCACATTCAAGTGCCAACTGTTTAAAAACTGATGATGATAAAATGTCAGTTGAACAAGCTGTCGACGTTTTTCACAGCAATACCAACAATCGGAGATAGTGAAAATTTACAACATTTCTTGCTATGGGCATTTTCTTGATATGATTCGAACGTTCGAACGGGAATACAATGAATACCTAGGAATTGATGTGTATGATTGGTTTTCGAATCAAAATTCAGTCATTTTCTGTTCAACCAGATTATTCAGGCGACTTGGCAATAGGAATTTACCTTTACTTTATTATAGTTTGACCAAACATTTGGCTTACAATCTGTTTCATTGAATCGTGCTATTCTGCAAAAATTCACGGACTTCAAAACTAAAAGTGATCCACAAAATGAAAAAAAATTGCTAAATTTACTACAAGTTTCGTTTGCAAGAAATTGTCGGATATAACTTAACCGCTAAAATTAAATTCACTTTGTTTATCAATTGTTTAGCTACAACTTTGAATAGAGGCGGTTTTGGGATCACTGTTGCCAACTGTCAAAAATCTAATTCAAATAAACATTGTTGATTTTGTTGTATTTTGACTGCTCACGAAACGTCAAGTCATTGTGATACCGGTGAAGACGAGTACAACGCATTTTTTTTTTCAAATAAAAACAATTGGGAATCGATCAATATGCAGGTAAAACAGTGTCTTTGTTCATTTTTGCAATAATTTTTCGTCAATCAAATTGCCGAGTTCACTGAATTAAAGTGTTATTATCGATTGATTTGTAGAAAACATTCGTATTAGATGAGAAAGTCAATTTGAATGGATATTCGGTGGTGTTTCCGAGCGTTTGCGTTGGGAATGCAGCTCAATTGGCTGTGGATTTGCTGATATCAACGCTGGAAATGAAAAAAGTGGGCACAGTTTGGCATGTAAGTTCAATTGAATTAACATTATTTCAAAGGTAAATTAATTTTAATGATCATCAATTTGCAGTCAGCCATAATTCCAGTGCTGGGACCGCGTGCTTTTGACCACAAGACCACTTCCGATGCCTCATCGCCGTCTAGCAACATAACGACAGCCTGTGAATTGTTTGTGTCCGAATCAAAGCGATTGGCATGCTTTCAATTGCGTTCGCCCCTCGTTGCTGGAAAACGACTCGTGGCATTTTTCAATGACTTGGTCACATTTCTGAAGGAGCAACAGGTGAAAGAGATCGTCATTTTGACTGGAATGTTTTCACATGAGCAACATGCCATCGGAACAACGAAATTCATGTATTTGGCCAACGATCAATACCAAGAACAACATATGGCACAACTGGAAAACAGTCAATGGATCAAATGGAGTGAAACCAATAACATCATCCATGGTGGCGGTTTTGCGATGAAACTCCATAAACAAATTGGTGAAACGGTGCCAAGCTGTATTTTCTTCAAGTACACAGCTGAAGGTGATAACAGAAGCGATGCTGTGGAAATTGTTCAACAAGTGAATGTATTACTCGGAGGAGTGTTGAATAGTTCGGACAATGGAGGCAGCTTTAAACTCACTGTACCGGTTAGTTGGCAAGCAATGTTCGGAAATGATCCCACCGAACAATTATATTAAGTGAAAGCAAATAATTTTTAATTGTTCATGGTACTTTGGATAATAAATTTATGGTGAAACCAATTTAATAGCTTGATATTTATTATAATAAATTTTATTCATAGTTAAATCAAATTGCAAAACTTATGAATCAGGTGTGATTGGCTGTATTTCTTTATTGGTACTCGGTAACGATAAGGTATGATGTGCAGATTGCGAATGCGTATCATTGATCGAGCTGGAACTGCTTCCCTCCATTGTATTGGAGAATACTTTATTAATTTCGACACTTATTGAGGATTCTTCTTCGCTGTCTTCACCATCTTCTCCATCACCATTTCTACTATTCAGTGCATCCGAATACATTTCCGAGAGCCTTTTCTCTAACTCATCAAAAGTTGGACGATTTTCTGGACTTTACTCTCAACAAGACATCATAACACCATACCTATTTGAAATTATTGTTGTTTGACATTCTCTTCCATTCTTACATTTCGTCCGTAGCCTTTTCTGGTACTTCTAATCGAATGCCATCCTATAGGTCTTCTTTCGAGATGTTATATGGATCGTCTCCTTCTTATAACGTAAGTTGACCGATCGACCGATTGAACGTTTGGCACACTTGTGGCCAACCACATATATGTTATCACACCTTGTAACATCTAGTATATAAGGCCCTTCAATAAAGATCGTCGTGGAGACGTTACTTAAACATCAACCAATCAACTTGTCTCACTTCTAACGTTTATACTACAGATTCTGATATTAGCTCCCAAAGTACGACACCAAAGAACCAAACATCCGATTTTACACTAAATTTCAGCTCCTTTTGATCTGGATGCGATTCAATGGCCATCCATGGAACTGGATCCGGAGCCTACAAATAAGCCAATTCTCATTCAAAGGCATTGTTCATTTCTTGTCATTCATACCAGACGTGTGCAAGGTCAAAAATTCTAGGGGGGTAAAATGATTTTGCTAGGGGGGGGGGTGTGTCTGCAAATTTATAAATGGGTGTGAAAAAAAATGAAGACCTAAAAAAAAAGGTCCTCACTTTTTAAAATCGATTCTATCTTGTTTAAAATTTTCAAAATCCCAAAATCCCCCCCCCCCCCCCTTCACACGTGTGATCCATACCCATGATTCTTTTGTATAATAATCACTTCCGTTCAATTTGCGTGATAGACCCAAATCGCCAGTTTTAACCGTTTTGTCTTCACAAAGCATGATGTTTCTAGCGGCTGGATCACGATGTATGATGGGAGGGTTATTCGAAGTCAAAAAATTCAATTAGAAAATAAACAAAACGTAATTTTCAAAATATTTGTTTGATGTACAAAGAATTGTAGTCTGCACTTTTCATTCACTAAAAATGATGTAAAAATCTGATTGAGTTTTGTTGGAAATCAAACAAAAGAAATATATTGATCATGTTCCATTTCAAACAAATGAACGAACGAAGAAACGTTTGAAGCCATCACTAGACGTGATGTACGAAAAATGTCTAAGTTTTTCCATTCATTTTACTGTCGGATTGAAATTTTTCTTCGGCACTTTTGATAACAGTTTGAAGGTCCACAATCCACAAGTCCTGTTTGACAAAGAGATTAAAGTCAAAAAAATTATTGTTGATTTAAAACACGATTGCAAACAATTACTTTTCCACATTCGAGAGGAATCTGGCGTCAATCTTCCAATACTAGTACTATTAATTGCAGGTTCACTATAATCAAGCGTTTCAATGGCATTAGTGCAATCTAGATTGCAAAGGGATCAATATTCAGTAGATTATCTTCTGAGTTAAAATATTGATTTAAACAATTACTATGACATTATGTATGAAGGGGCGTTTATAAACAAACCGTTCTATACTACCACGTTCAGTGTGCGTACTGATACTCGATGAAGCTGGGTGCCGTTATATACTGAGAGTGGACAAACCAAAAAATATGCGGATATTTTTTCTATGCTAAAGCATATATCTGTCGCCTGAGTCAAACTCTGCTAGAAAGTCAATATTTTATTCTAAAGATCTTTCATTTGAAATTGGCATAAGATGTATCCATTGCCAACAATACGATTTCAGTGTGATTTGACAGCTCATACAGGAGCGAGGTGTTCGATTTCTTTTTTTCTTTTTCTTTATTTCACCGTTAAACATGTTCTGATGCTGTCTCTGTTTCACTGAACTTGAAACCATAATGTCTCATTGGCGGCAAACCAACACATAGCACACAGTATACAGCAAACCGAACGATTTTTGTTATTGTTCGCATGGCGTCGCAGTTGCACTTTTGAAAAGAACAAATTAATAAATAATAACAGAACTAACACTCAGACAAACAGCATTGAAATCCGTTTGATTCAATTTGCAAGCATAAGCAAAATCATACAAACCAGAACACAGACGCACGCAAAGTAAGTTTGTTGACAGATTTTGTGGTTGAAGTAACAATATTTTTTGTTAAATTTTTCGGTGTGTTTTTTTTTTCTGTCGTGAATCAGGAAGCGAATGAAAATGGATAAGTTGATATTCGAGATGAATCGCAATTCATTTGAAATCCTTGGACAATTGTTCGTTACAAAGATTATGCAAAAGGATCCTGAAGAACAACGCGAAGTGGTCACTAAGATGATCGATGCATTGTACGAGCCATATAAACCGAGGAACCAACGACTTGAACGATTGATTGGCATTTTGCGTGAGATATACGATGATTTGAATGAAGAAACCAGCAAATCGTTGACACGACAAATTCTACAGCTCTGCTTAGACGTTCCATTGCATGAAAACAGTAAGAAAGCTGACAGCACCGCACCATTGCTTGTCAACGGCAGCGACAATGACGACACCAACAAAGCAACAAAGGCAGATAGCACGGACGAATGAATATCACAATCGATGAGCTTGACACATCATAAAACACACAACATTTCATCTCACTATAGTTATAAGAAGCATGAAGAATGAATGGCAAAGTATTGCCGGCATGGAAAATGACTTGAATAAAGAAGTTTGATTGAATCAAAAATAAAAGTTGAATTCTCCGTTTTTTTCTTCAGCTTTATCGTTTCAAAGCTGTCTTATTGGATTGATGGGTACATAATTTGGTGGTTGCATTACATCCAGACTCATATCAACTGATTCTCACAAAGCAATCTAACATAGACTAAAACAAATACTGATGAAAAAAAAACAAAGCATTTATTACCTTATGGAAAACGGAGATTTTCCCTGTCTATTGTTTTAGTTAAAAAACAGGTAAGAAAAAAAAACACAATTTTTAAATGCAAATCCACCCATAGCATTGTAAACCTATAGTGTGACATCTTGAAAAAGGAACACATGCAAAAGAGAAACAAAGAAACGCACTGCAGTAGTCTCCTTCACGATTGGTTTTATTTTTTCAATCAGAATTAACAGTTACATTTGAAATCAATGTAATAATTCGTTTCTGGGAATTTGTTGTGTTTTTAAAAAAACGATCGCTTAATAAGATGTTGAATTGCGTGCTGTTAAACTGGTTTATTGGTATCCCAATGATCGGATGACGGCGGTGTGTGGAGCAGCAACTTTTTCGATGTTTTTGCGTGCTTGCTGTGTCAATTTCTGGTTGACCTTCATTTGTTTGAGATGGAGAGCCAACTTAGCCTTACGTTTACGTTCCAAATTTTTGACAACGTCTTGGTATTGCCATCCGACTTCATGTGATAAACGGCCAATTTTGCAGTATTTGCGATCTGATCGCAAGCACAACACTCTAAGGGCAGTTGGGACGCAGACACGACGTTTCTTTTCGTATGCTGGTGGGATACCGTCAAACACACGCAAACGTTTCAATGCGGCTTGACCACGGAGAGTCTTGTGTGGGATCATTCCTGAAATGAAATTGCGAAAGACACAAACAAAATCATTAGTCACTGATATCAAAAGAACAGAAAAAAAAGCAACGAGAAAAAACTCAAATTGTGAGGTTAGAAATTCAGAATTACAAAAATTGTTGTCAAATCACAAAGTACATCATATAATGTAGGTAAGAAGATGTAATCATCACAAAAGTCATTCAATTATCACTGCTTCAAAGCAGGTGCTGTTGAGCATTAAAATCGTACACAATTCAAACATTTGATGAAAGGCGTATATTTACCTCGGACAGCCTTGTAGAAAATACGGCATGGAGCTCTAAAGTGGAATGGTCCGCGAGCTGGGTTGACATTACAGCGCTTGCGCAAGTAATTCAAGTACTTGACTTTGTTTCTAGAAGAAGAAAAAATAAATAGTGAAATAAAATTAGAATGATGGAATGGTGAAACACCATGCAAAATGACAACTGTCAATGCGACATGCATCTGGATGAGAGTAGAGACGAAAAAAAAACCGCGTCAATTCCATACATACCTATAGAAATGACCTGAAAGGGTCAATTCTTCGCATCGTACAACGACGACTTTGCCACCTTGCAAAAGGTTTTTGGCTACAACTGAAGCAAGTCGACCGACCAAGTGGCCACGGCCGTCGATGATTACTGCCTGCAAATTGTCATAGGAGAGAGAACACAAGTTAGTAAGAATATTGAGGTTATGTTTTACATTGCACAAAAACGCGATTTTATTACACCACAATTCAATGAGAAGAAAATGAAATTTGATTGTATTTCAACTGAATTGTCGTTCAGTTAAATTGCATTTCATCCAAATTCAATTCTTATTTGATAGACATATCGGCTTTTAATTTCAGTCACAGCGCGAATCAAAAACTCATTTCAGCACACCACATACACGTGCAGAGAACACACAGAGAACGATATATGAATACCGATTTTTTTTTTCAACATTTTTACGATAAATTTTTACAATTTTTTCATTTTCTCCACTTGATTGGTGTTTATTGTACACTTTCTGATTGATTTCAATAATTTTTTCACAATTTTTCGATAATTTTTTCGATATTTTCACGACTCACCTTATTGTTTAAACCTGGCATGTTTACGCAGCAAATACAAAAAGAATGGCCGAAAGGCGAGAAAGACTTATGAAGCCGGAAATTTGAGCGATTTCAATATGGCGACCACCATATTCACAATCTGTCAACGATGGCAACATTCAATCCCGTACTTTTGAACACACTCCACCAAGTGCACAGCTGACTATTTGAAAATGTACCGCCAAACCATTCGCATCGAATGCTGAAATTGAATTTGCGTTGCATTTTTTTCTACTGAAATTTTGAATTTTCATACGTTTTATCGTAGTCTTATTCAGAAAGACCGAAAAATATTGATTCAATTCATTGGAAATATCGCATTTAGCTTTTAAAATAAAGTCATATATTCAAATGATGCTTAATAGTACCACCACCAGGGGGCCAGTTTAATATTGTCATTGCAGCTGTCATATGTTATTGTCAATAGACAGGTCAAATAAAAATAGAAATAGGAAAAAAAACAGAACCAGAGTCACATAGACTTGTGAAGAAGAAAGAAAAATATTGAAACAAAAAAAAACGATGAGGACGACATAAAAAAAACTCGTAAATATATTTAAGAACTCGGTTGTAAAATGTCGTTTAACTATCCGACAATAAATGGCAATGGATTACCAGCGATGTGTAAGTGAAGACGATATTCAGTTCATATATGAAAAAAAACAGCGAGCAAATTTTAATTAGGTTTAATTGGATTTGTGCGCATTATGTTTTATTGATTAAACAACATGTAGCTGTGTGCATTGGGATTTACATCAAATTTCGGTCTATTTTCTGTTTCAGTGCCATTGCTAACGAATTTGGCGAATGGGAATCATTTTCTTCCGACTTTGACGACAAATCAAGCTGTTTCGGCTGGTCTATTTACGGCTCACAATCCAACGGTGGCCACATCATTAGGTGAAAATGCCATGGAATTTGGTCGAACCCAAGCTAAACTCTGCCAAATTCAACCGGGAGCTGGCCCAATGGATTTGGAAACGTTGAACGATGAACGTGACACGCAATCGTACATGCAGAGTCCGTCGGGCAGTGAATTGAGCCTGGCATCCACACAAAGTGTTCGTAAAATGGATGAAAATAGTGAGAAAAGCTTTCCAACATTTAATCCATGTGATGTGATGTACAATATGGGGATACCTTCTCAAAATCTTATGATGATGCCTGGTGTTATGAATATGGTTCGTGATGCATCGTCAATGGTACAAACTCTCCCACAATTTTCCCTTCTCAATCAAATGCCCGTGCAAACATCGTCGGTTGTGTCCACAGCCAATCTGACCGATACGATTGCCACACTTACCACGGCCACCACATCGTCGATCAATTCCACTGGAATGATAAAAGAAACGATTACATGTAAATCGTGTGTCTTATTACCACCAAACCCGAATGCACCGCCGCCATCGACCCGCGAAAGACCAAGCGGCTGTCGAACCGTCTTTGTTGGCGGCCTACCCGAGAACATAACCGAAGATATAATTCGTGAAGTGTTCGAACGATGCGGTGAAATAACCACGCTGCGACTGTCAAAGAAGAATTTTTGTCACATTCGTTTCGTTTTTGAAGCTTCAGTCGACTCGGCCATTTACCTTTCCGGGTATCGCATTCGCATCAACAATCTCTCCGATTCGCTGAATTGTGGACGCTTGCATGTTGACTTTGCACAAGCCAGAGATGATCAGTACGAATTTGAGTGCAAACAAAGGCAATGGCAACGTGAACAAAGGCACAGAGAACGCATCGAACGTGATCGATTAAAACTCTCACCGCCAATCGTTTACTTTAGCGAACATGAGGCTGCTTCCATTGCCGAGAAATTGAAACAAGACGACACATTCTCGAAAGCAGTACACATATTTGTTAATTGGCTGGAACGCGGCGATGCAACAAAGAAAAACTCAAACACTTTTTACTCAATGATCCAGAGCACAAATTCGCATGTGCGACGATTGCTGAACGAAAAAACGGCATACGAAGAGGAATTGAACAAAGCCAAAGAGACGCATCGCAAACAAATGCAAAATCTGTCCACACAACGTAAGTATTTGCAAAACAATGTATAGATTGTGTTTATTTACTTTTCGTTCTTTCTAAATTTTGTGTTACGGTGTTATTTGAATGAGTCAGTATAGCGTGTGTATGCGTGGTTGTTTTAATTGTAAATTACAATTGCTAGAATCGTTCAGAATTGAGTGCAAGCTCAGCACAAACATTCACACAAACACGTACAGAGTGAGAGTAAGCAAATATGCGCGCTCCTTTATGTAGTTAATCAGGTGAGATCTTTGAAACAACAGCCAAATTGTTCACCTTTTTATCATGTCAACTTGAGAATATGTATTTTAATGTGGGCCAAACAGTCGACGATAGGCGATATAACAAGAAGAAAATCGCTAAAGGTGCTGATGCATGCAAATAATAATCAAATCGATCATTAGTTTATGCACTTATTTAAAGAAAAAAAAAACACACACACACAAACCGCAAAAGGCAAACTGCTACAGTAATCTTTCTTTTGTACACTATACTTAATTTTCTTTGAATTAAACCGAATTATATTTTCTTTATATCTTCCTTTGAACAACACTAAAAAAATACAACTCTCTATCTATCTCTCTCACACACACACATACAAACACAATAACATTTCAAACGTTCTTCGTCAGCCCCAAATCTACTATTTAGATCTGGATAAGCATTTGCTTTATTTTGAAGGTAACCCTTGAATTTGTTTAAAGATGGTATGCGTGATGGGACATTATGTTCATTTTTCGTTTTTTTTTTTAGTTTAGAAATCAATTGAGAACAGTTAGACAATTTCTTTTCACGAGAGATTACGTTGCGTTTATTGTTGTGGTTGTTTATTTTGAGTATACCACTCATGTATTAGATGTGTCTCGGTCATTGTTTTTAATGCGTTTTTAACCGCCAGCTTTTTGTGAGCAATAAGGGAATGGGTTGCACTTGTTAATTTTATTCAAATGAGGTAAATATTTCACAATCACAGTCGGATTCATTTGAACTTAAAAAAAAACGGTGATCGATATGCACATTTCAAAGGATGGATGCGACTTTCGTAAATTGAAACCACTTTGTTTTACTTTAGAAAAAGATAAACCTGTTTGAAAATTTGCAAAAAAAAATCTGTTCAGCATCAACATTCTATCCAAAAAAAAATCGGTCCAACTCATACTAATATCAATGAATGTTGATAGTTGAACGATTACTACTGTCGAATTAGATAGTTGCATCCATAATGAAGAAAATGTTGCATTGCTTTCTCGCCTCTTGTGGTCCACGATGTCGATGCTATGCATTTTGGATACTCGCTTTCATTGTTGAACCAGAGCTAAGTTTTGTCAAAGTACTTTACATCGTTTTTAATGCTTTTGAATGATGCTAATTTTGTTCTGGGTTGAGAATGGAAATCGAATTTTCTTCGATAGACACTAGACAGTGATTCTACTTGTAGAAAATGTGATTTCTCATTCACTGCGGGTTGAGTTTAACAAATTTTTATATCTGTCAAAGCCAACAGAAAAAAAACTTTGTGTTTTTCATTTTTTCCATGTTTTTTCTTCTTCTTTTTTTTACCAAAAAAAAAACTGATTAAGTTGTAATATATCGAATATTTAATACATTTTATGAATTGTATACAACCAAAAAAAAACACAAAACGAATGAATAAACAAATACATATGCATTATATGGGTCTAGTCTCACAAATTGAAAGAGTATTTGGTGCTGCAAGTCACAAAAAAGTCTGGGATCACTTCACCAAAGCTCAGCGAAAGAATATCGATTTGTGGAAAAAGCAGTTACTGGTATGTAAACACAAAAACCAAAAACCTATCATCCATTTCTTTTGTTTTTGGTTTCATTATTTTTTTCATTGGATTTTCTTTAGTTTTCATTTATTTTTCAATTAATCATTTCCTCTATATATGACGCTAGACGTTGAGTGCTTGTCTATTTTAACGTAGTTAGATTAATTTTGTGTGTTTTTGCATTCATTTTCATAGTCAGATCAACAAAACTCATTATATCAAAACTGTAGACTTTGAAACAAAGACATTTCGACATTCGGGCTGCTTCTGTTTATGCACGTAGTAAAAAAAAATTGAAATTCTTTTAAACGCTTTCATTTGTATACTATTCTTGATCTCTTCAAAAAGAAACAAAAAAATCCATTAAATTAGATACAAAATTTTACATTTCAAGGTAAGTTCTGGATCAGTTCTAGTTGATATGGTCCGATAGCAGCTTTGATTGATTTTTGTTTATCTTTTTTTTTTGTTCATGCCAATTGCAAATATTCAATGTTCTAGTTTACATTTAAGACGAACCAGCGATTAATTTCGCATATTCCGATTTATAAAACAAACAAGAATCATTCGGTTTTCCCACGTAATGCAGCAATGCATCAAATACAAATACAAATTTCTTTCAAACAAATTTTTTTTCCGTTTTAGCCCAGAAAAAAAAACTACTTTTGCCAAAATGCAAACCAACAGCCATTTTAAACGGTCAATAATGATTAATTCGTGTATTTTTGCTCGTGTGATTGAAAACAGGAAATTCAAGTGCCACAGGAATCGCTTGAAAGTCATGACACAGACGAAATGGAAATGTCCGATGACGATGATGCAGCTAATTTACGGTATGGCAAACGATCCAGAATTAATGCCAAGGTAAGCATATTCCCCCTTTTCATATAATCACGTTTAAAACTAAAAATTGGAAGAAAAAAAGTCAAGCAAAAACCTAGGTCTATAGGCCTATTTAAAATTTGAAAAAAAGTTAAAATCGAAGAAGAAAGAAATGAAAATACAAACGAAAAGTAAATATTTATTCAATTTGTATTAATTAATTTCCATTTCGATGATATTTCCAGGATAATGAAAGTAAAAAGTCTGATTCAATGGCCTATGCGAATAGCTCGAAAGCCTTAGATGTAAGGGAGCAACAGCTAAAAGTGTTGCATGAAACGATACGTAATCTTCAAACGCAGTTGCTGGAAAATAAAACCAAAGAGAGGGAGAATCTGACGAGAATCAGTGAATTGGAGGACAAATTGAAGCAGGCAAATGTCAAGGAGTTATTGTTAAAAACGCGAATTGTCGAGGCGTCCAAGGGTTCCATTACTTCGATTTCCGATCATGCATCGGAATCGAGTGATAGCGACAAGGACGTTGTTTGTGTTGATGACGGTGAACCGCATCAAATCAAAGAAGAATCACAAAAACCGACCGATTCAAAAGCTGCACCGAAACCAACGGAATCGAACGCAAGCGAAAGTGTGGGTGATGGCAGTCGTCACATGATTGATGTGGATGAAGCGCGCCTTATTGGATTGATTTCGTCATTTCTTTTGGTGCATCCGTTTGGTGCTTGTCTAAGTAATATCTTAACCTATGTTCAACAAGTTTCCGTGCAATTGCGTGCCAAAGATGTCGAAGACATTTTGAGCCGTTACAAGAGCATCTTCAATGAAATGGATCATCAGCCAAATGGTGTCGAGTCATCATCAATAACGACCGAACGCAAATGGAAATTCTGTGGATTCAATTAGACCAGTAATTCGACAATCGTCATACATGATTGGACATCATTGAATAAGTAGCGCTAGTTCGCTTTTTTGTCACCTTTTATTTGCACACCATCGCGCGTCACTTTCAATCAAAAACTAATTGCTGCAATAGAATTGCATGGAATTTAATTTACAAAAATATCAACCACTTTTTTTAAGCTAAATTTTTTACGAAATAAGTTTATTTATTTAGATATTGTCGAACAAGTCATTGTAATGGTTTCGATTTTCTTCTTGCCCATTCACACTCACCAAAGCTAATTTATATACACAAATACCATACATTTTATGATGGAATCAACGTTTTTGTTCTGTCTTGTTTTTTGCATGAATAAATAAAAATAAAAATTGTAATTGGAAAATGAACGGAAATCGACTACATTTATCATTCGACCCTCATTTAGGAAAAGTTATGATACACACACATACGAAATTAGATGAAAATGACGTCAATTCATCATCTTTCTCACCTAATTGGATCGCGTGCGGTGCATTTCTGGTAAGTTTAACATCGAAAATTACATGTTCCCCGGTGATTTCCGCCATCGAATCTATTTAACGTTCTGATGATCGACGATCCAGTGTGACATAATATTGAAGAAAGGTAATGCACACACATATGGAATCACAAGTGTTTGATTTGAGCCGTTGCCAAGCACCATAAATCAATTAGAACAAAATCAACGGCACAGATTGGTATGTACTTCACCAACCGGATATGCGTTCAACAACGAACAAAAAATGTTGATTTCATTCCAAAAATTTAAATGAAACATGCAGCAGCAAAACAAAACGAAATAAAATTCAAATGCGCAGGCGTTGTTTTGGATCTCTCTAATGATTGTACACACACACACTCATCGGTTGAAATGCATTGCGAATGGTGTTTGTTTTGGTTACGTTGCCGCACTACCGGCCAAATTCCAAAATATTTTCGCTTCCTTTGCGGTATCGAATTTTCGGTGGTTTGTTATTTTAGTACCGCGCTCGTTTCTTCCTTCTTCTTCATTTCAACCGTTGGTTGGGCACAAGCCACATATCGTTTTTCATATTGTCAAAAACCAAAATAAAAATCATTGCACTCGTAATGCACTGACACTTCAGTAGCATGCAAACGGTTTGAACGGAATCGAACGGCCAAATGGTGTTGCATCTTGCATAATAATATATTGCGCGATGCTGGAAATTGGAAAGATGTGCAGCGAGGCAAAAACAGATGGGCATTTCCACATAACGGAAATTCAAAACAGCAAAAACGACAAAGACAATACGGTAAAATGCGAAAAAAGAAGAAGAAGACGACGACGACAAGAGCCAAAGTGTTCTCTTGACTGTGTATTAAGTGTAATTTACATGTAACGCTCGATTTCCAGCACAAGTCGTGTTTTGTTCGTCCTTTTTTCATCAAATACTATTCCGTTCGTGTTCATTCCACCAGTGTTTATTATCATTGCGTATATGATTTATTGAAATGGTTCTTTTCAAGTGATTTAGAAATGTCGATTTCGGCTTCACTTTTTCATCGAGATTTAGATAAATAAACCGGAATAAACACTTACGGTCGGCATTATGAGGAGCCTTTGAACTGCGCGATTTTCCCGAAAGCCAAAGTTCCAATGAACTCGATTGAACACTTGAAGGGAAGTAAAGTCACAAATGCAATTCATTCATTACGTCTCGTAAATCTCATTGCACCCGAAACACAGCACAAGTACAAATTGGCCCATTGAGCGATGGATTTGTCAGTTGCGGTAAATCTTTCAATGGGCATTGTCGTAAATTACCGCCGATCACTGTGCAAAATGTGAAATATGCAGACAATCCCAACTCCATCGCAGAAAGGCGCATGTATACAATACATCTTCAAGAATTAACCGCTCTTGGATGGATGGGTGTGAGATGCTGCGTGCGCACGCTTCATTCTCAATCAACGTTGATTCAGCTGAATTTATGTAGCGCACCGAGATCCAACCACATCCCGCACATCTGTTTACGTAAAAAAAACACACGAAACAAATTACGATTGCCTGGTGTTGTTTTTATGCACTATTTATATGAACTCGCAATGAAAATTACAAGCGTAAACCATTTTTTGTTGTTCACTTGCATATGCTATGACTACATCTCTCTCGCTCACTCTCACTCCCCGCATCCATGCATCAACCTTTTGTGAAGAAAGAATTAAGAGGAAAAGAAAGAAGAAAAAAAACCTGCGACTGTTCAAATGAAAAACAGTTGAAAGAAAAGTGTTCAATTGCGCAAACAGAATCTCATTCTAAATCAACATGCAGTTACATTTCGTATATATACATATAACCAACACGCATATTGTACATTAATTTACACAGTGTTCGCCGTCTTTCCCTCGAACTGTATCTGATTTGATTCAATTGCGCTGCTGCATGTAAGCGGCTGGCTGTGTTGGGCGAGCACGAGCTCCAAATCATTCGTTGTGTCTAATTCGAAAATCTGTGTTGATTGTTTAGATATTCTGTAATGTTCGTTTTGTTTTGTTTCGATTCGCTTTCGTTAGATTTTGTTTGACTTTTCTTAAAATAACGGTTAAATTCGATCCGACCAAAGAGAGAGAGAGAAATGAAGAACGATGATACACCTACCGACCCATTTGACTGATAAATACGATATGTCTTCACACAATTTACGAGACCCGAAACAAAAAACAAGAAAATGTGAACTCTTGATAGTGTGTTGATTTTCACCCCGACATCTGTCGCAGACGGAATTTAAACTGTTTATCAAGTTTCTAAGTCAAAATCAACAGCCTCACATGATTCATTAGCCGTCGTCGTCGTTGTCGTTCGCTTGAAGTGATGAGAGATTAGGATTGACATAATTGAACTGGTCAGTTTTGATTGAAATCTGGCTATGATTCTCATTCAATTTTGCACGCAAATCATGAAGCTACAGCAATTTCCGCGTACTTCATCATTTTTTGCTCGTGAACACACATAACAATAATTTCATTCACTAAATGCTTACGCTGCTCCGGTCGCCGATATCTCTGCGTAAGTTCGCTTAGAGCAAGAGCCTAACTAGAAGAACCGAAGCGCATACTCGGAGTACGATCGCATAAGCGAAACGATGCATAAGTAAAAGCCGAACGAACGCAAGAGAGAAAAGTGCGTTGTGGAGTTGAAGTCGATTGTGTACGCTGCCGACAAGCATGTGTAAACAGTTGAGATTTGATATCCTTCGAGAACGGTCGTGTGGTGACATATGTGCTGCACAAGCAAGATTTTTATGAGTTCGTTATTCGTATCGTTTTAATTTTTCGTTTTGTTTTCATGTGTATGTGTCAGAAAACTAGCAACGATTTTTTTACGCCTTGTATATCTTTGCAACGCTTGATAGTTTTTTGTTTAAGATTCTTTGGGCTATACCGAGTTTCAGTGTTAAAATACATATGTGCACATTTTACATTTTTCGAGCGATTTAAATTCGAATTTCACGGACAGAGAAGAAAAAGTTGAAAACAACAATTATGGGCCACGAGTGAAAGAAAGAGATCGGAGATTTAGAACAGTTTCTTGTTGTTGAGCCGAAAAAGAAGACAAAACTATTAATAAATTAGATACACATTTCGGAGCCGAAGTAAAGTGCATTTTTTCGATAGTCCGAGTGGAATCCGGTGGTGATGAATGTGATTGATATCATTTAAGTCAGTGCCATAAATTCCAACATTTGAACTGGATTTCGAATTAAATCATCTAAAATTGGAACTGAAGGCAAAATCATTTAAAGCTACAAATCATAGTGAAACGATTGCGATTCGTAAAACAATTAAAAACATTCAATTCAAATAGTCATCGAATTAAGACTTTCAATTGAGACCTCAGAATTGCTTATAAGAAAGAGTCCGCCGTTCGAAGTGAATTACGAAAGAAAAATTGAGGTAAAATGAAATTGTGAGAGGATTTTACTGTAAGGAAGTGAATTGATCACACGCGTGCGATCCTCAAGCTAGATCTGATAGCTGATAAGCAATAAAGCTACTGTCGTGTCTGTGGAAGCGAGTTAAAAATCTTTGGTAAGAATGAACATCCGTTTTGTTTTACCTTTTTTCCACCCAAACATTCTTCCTCTTCGTCGTCGTCGAGTCTTAAATCAATCAAAAGGGATAATCAAATGCAAGCGATGAGAAAGTGTTGACTGTATCGTAATCGAATTAACGAAATAGAAGTGAAAAATCGTAAAACATGTTCTCAACTAATAAAAATAAAATCCATCAGCTTTTGGTAACCGCACGAAACCAAAAAAACAAAGAAATAGATAGCAACCAAATGCTGTTTCTTTTTATTTATACATTCAATTTCACAACTTCCGATGCGTCCAAATCTATGGTTTGTTGTGGTAAATTTAATATGCTGGCTGACTTGGTTGGTCGCATAATAATAGCATTTCAACATATCTGAAACGTGATTGTGGTTAGAAATCAGGTTTCTATCGTCGTTGCACTCTCGTCATTATCATTATATGCTACTGTGCACGTGATCGTAAAACAAATGATGTGGAACATCAATTTGTATGTAGAATTCAAGCTTTCCGCCGCTTATGGAAGATGTTGAGAGTCGCATTTTCCACGTAATAGATACAGGTTACGAGTGAATTCACGCATGAAACTAACTGTTTTCGATTGAGATACGCAAAACTATATATTTACTAGGCGGGCAATGCAGAATAAAACATGCGATTTAATTGAATTTATAGCAAAAAGTCAGCACCGTGTGTAATTGGCAACTATTTACATGATGTTCGGCCATTGAGCGTACACATTTGTGGTCAGTCAAGTTGAAGAATGATCACATCTGTTTGACCATCCATTAACGCGAATAAAATACCAATTTTATTTGTTCAAGCTACCAAAACGATTGGAGTTTAATTTATTGTGTTGCCAAAAATACGTGCTTTGAGACGCATTTTTGGTTTTTGTCAGGGATTAAATACGATTTGGCTCGGTCTTAGATAACTTTTCTGAATCTAAAAATTCTTCAAACAACCAGCAACCCATTGTAAATCAGAATAAACGATATCGCACATCGCACGCCTGTCATAAACATATAACATAAAATTATAATCATAAATTCGGAGCCAAAACCAAAAAGACAAATACGAGCTACAGACAACACAACAGAGATAGAGAGTTAAAATCACAGTATGTCACCCTGCAAGAAAGGCATGATCCTTATGACCTGCTCGACGGGTGTTCGACCGAAAAAAGAAACGACAAACTCTAGCTAACGACTGTTTGGTGTATGTCTCAATTTTGTCCGTTCGATGCGCTGAAAATTCGGCTGTCATTTCGGATGGCTGTGTTTATATGTGTCTCGGCACATCCATGATCCACCTACATCACTCTCAGCAATAAAATGTTGTTTATTTTCTGTGTTTTCATCGACAATGTAACGAAATTCGGACTGATGGACGCATTAGACTGATGTCAGTGAAACCATTACGACTCACACAGGATTCGAGTGAAAATTGCGTTTATTGCGATCGGTTCTTGACACAAATCACGGTTTTCTCAATGCAGTTGTAAAGAAAAAACAGCTCACCAGCATCTCAAAGAAGTGGCAAAAACATTGTATTATTTATTTTTCGCAATAATTTCGAGTCTTAAATGACCGCCATAAAATTTAATTTGGGTTGATGTTTTTTCTCTTTGGCTAAGACTGTTCGCAAATGTGTGTTGATCGTAAGAAATGTTTGCTCGATAGAAAAGTGAAGAAAAGTCTTGAAAATCGAACTGGTTCAGCTCGTGAAAGCTAAAAATAGCCGGTAAAAAAGCGAAATATACATTCAAATCATTTTCAATTTTCTATTCGTTCAGGCTGTTCGATATTGCGCATTGAAAACCGATTTCCTTGGCAATTAGCTTCACGGTTTGCGCGTATTCTCGCATTCGAGTTGCTTGAAAATTATGATCATTTGAAACTGCGAAGAAGTTTATTTTCGCACTTATTTATGTTTATCATAATTCTTTTTTTCCTTGCTAGCGAACACACGATCAGTCTTTATGAGCGAAATCGCTTTCCTTACGTCAAACTATCCTCGCTGACGGGTATAGCATTTGGTTTTTGTCAGACGAACGCATTTTTTGTTCCTTTCGGGTTTGGGAAAATAGATCTCGATACTTCAGGCTCATTTTTTTTATGTCGAAACTGTTCGCACTAAAATATTTGTTTACATGGGAATTTACTTTTCCGTGAACATTTACAGTCAGTCTCCTTGAGATATGCTAAGCTAACACACACAACTCAATTTTCCAATTGATACGCACCATTCGCTCCTAAACATGCAATTGGAAATAAACATTTTGGATGGAAATGCCTGATTTTATGGGTAAATATTTATACGAAAGTCTGGCGATCGACCAAAGTATCGATTGCGATCAATGTGAATTTTTGTGGAAAGCAGATAACGCATCTGGTTACCTCTCTACCTGGAATCAGTAGTATTATTGCGACGCACTTTACACAACAGAGGTGTGAAACGGAGATCTGATAAACAATGTCAAACAAACCATATTCGTGTTCATAAAGGATAATTTTTCAGTAGTTTAATAGTAATTTATGTGTGCGTTGCATGTGCGGTGCGGTACTGTGACGTATTTGGATTTATGGAATAGGATGTGTGGGTGAGAGATTCCATGCTGGATTTCGTTTAAATTTGGTATCAATTTATCGATACGTGCCCCGAATCGAAATTGTATTCAAGCTATTTGCGATGTGATTTCAAAATTAGCAGCTACACAAAATATAGCAACAGATGAAATGGTCTCATCGCAATGGCAACAACAATACCAAACGCTTCTGTATGAAAATATGACTTGAATTTCAAATGTAATCGCATTTTGTTTCGTATGGAGGCAAAGAATTCAGTCAGTAGCTGTTTGGAATATGCTTTGGAATGTATATTGTTATGGAGTATTCTTGAAGCGAGCGCTTAGAACTGATTTTAACTGTTGCTATTTGGGCGTTCAACTGTTCTGTTTTGGGTTATCAAAACATAAACGGTCATTTGTATGTTTCAAACGAGCCGCCTGCCAAAAAAATCCGGCTATATGATCGTTCAACAGTTGGCTTGTTCAACCTTTTTCTCTCTGTGTTGAGGATGAGTTTTTATGACAATATTGCAAACATCTGCGATTTATCTGCCGTTGGAAGAGGAAAAAAAAGGTCTTTACACTTTCATTCGCTCAGCTAAGAAATTTTTGCGTTCTTATAAACAAAAGTCCAAATGTTCGTCCATGATGTGGAAATGTGTGTTGTTTGGCGTCGAGTACAAAATCTGCATCGAGTTAGACATTACATAAGCTTCAGCAAAGTAAACAACGTTTTAAGGCGAACGGCACTAAAAAGCAAAATATGAACAAGATATGATCTCATAAACGTCTAAAAGTGCTGCGCCGCATTTTTATATTTCGCGCGCCAATTGTAAATTGTTCTGTTTTTTTGATTGAAAAAAATCGCATTTCGAAGAAAACGCCACACAACACCCGACGACTTTAAACCAATTTCTGGTCGCCGATTGGCTCCAATTGTCCAAACTGCGTGACAGTTTAGTACCCAATTTAGACTGTATCGAATCAGGCGACAATTTGGTGTTGTTGTTGTTTTTCCAGTTTTTCAAACATTTTAATTTATTCGTCAAGAGAATCGTTTGGTTTGAAACCGTTTTTTTTTTATGAATTACAATGAGGGTCTTTGTATTCGAATTACCGAAGGTTACGCACAACTGAAATTAAATTTACGGCCCATTTTGACTCCATGAAAATACTTTATTCAGCCAACTTGCCACGCTACTAAAATATGAACATCGAAATAGCAACGAAAGGAGCAAATTTTTCATTCGGATTTGAGTTCAATTCGTTTATTTGCCATGGCATTGAAAGGAGTTTGCTCTCATTCGCCATCGAATAAAAAAAAAATAGTTTGAATAATTCACTAGCAGATGAATGTAATCAATTTGCAAAATTTCTATTTATAATCCACTTCATTCATGTGATGGAATGAAAAAAACCATATTCCACTTCGAAAATACAATTTTAGAGAAAACTATTTCGCTGGCTAAAATGCACTTGACTCACTTTATTGCATCTTTGATCTTAATAATAACGTTTTTTTTCTCTTCGTTTGCCTCATTTGTGCCATTTCCTTGTGAATACCGATATTTAGATCCGCTCAAGACAACCGCATCGCATTGTTGCGTCAATATTGAATATCATTGAGTCAAAATATGTTCCGGATTGAAAATTGAGAAAATTAATTAAAGTTCGAAAGAAACACGAGGAAAAGAGGCAGAATTGAAAATAAAATAAAACATTCGTTGTCAATTTTGTGTATTGATCATTGGTTTTAGTTGGCAATGCACGTTGTGTTCACACACACCACCAACTTCCATCAAAGGAATTCAATAAGCATTGTCTCATGCATATTTAATCATTTGTTTTTGTACGCGACAACCATTTGAATGTACAATTTCATCGACTCTTTTTTTTCTCTCTACAACCCGAGGTGTACGTGAACAAAGACACATCGCATGCATTTCAATGCTGTTTCCATTGCATCGCCTTTTTTTCTTTCTTCTATCAATGAAATTTAAATTCGAGAATTTCACATTTGAATCGGTGAACACTTTCGATCAGTTTAAAAATTGAACTTCAAAGTGATGTCGTCCCTTTTGATGAAGGGTGCATCCATTTAAAATAAAGGAAAAGGATGTTGGAATCTTATTTGAACATCAAAATCCTGTGGTTGATGGTGAATTCCTGATGACTTGTCACGGTCCTGTCTACAAATTCAAATTCGATTTCGACTTTTCGGTTTAAAGGTCCCGCTTTTTGAAATTTCGTGGAATTTTATTCCGGCGGGACGGTTTCCTTGAATTCGTTAGAGAAAACTCCTTTCGTCGATCATTTAGACATTCTCACGACTTGGTGTGAATTACACGATACAGCCTTTATTGAAATTCGATACCGATTTTTTTCACTAATGATTTTTTTCTCTCGAGCGGTATTCAAAATGCGGGAGCTTAATTCATTTGACTTCAAGGTGGATTCTCAGTGAGAACTTCTCACTATGTAAAAGATCTTCTTCTCCAATTTCACATTTATTCCAAATCTTAATTACTTTTTTCTTTCAATTTTCACCAATCTCAATTCATTTGCTCTACCATGTTTTCTTTTCGCTTCGAATCTGGACAAAACTTCGTAGGCCGATTACGGAAGAGCTGCTTCGAACCTAAGAAAAATTGGTATTGCTCAAATCAAATGAGGAAGTAAAACATTAACGGTTCTTTGTCAATCCATTTTCCCACACTGCATCCATTTACGGACGTTTAGGCCGATTGGTTCAACAAACTTGCAGGTTGCAATGGCCATGCCATGTAAAACAATTGTACAAGAAAAACTTTCTATGGATTTTTAATTGATGTTCCATCAAAAATGAACGCTTTTCCTGTCATGAATTATTAATTGTGTTCTTTTCTCAGTTCTGGAATCTATTTCTATGACTTATTTGATTTTTCGATAAGTTTGATGTGCGCAAGTGTACGCATATGCCGTATCGCTGATGAAATATGGATTTGTCCATTCAGAACGCGTACAATTGTTGAATGACAGAACCGGAAAAAACAATTACACGCATCATCAACGAAAATCGATTTGAAACGAAAAAGACGACAGAATAAAAATAGCAGCATACATGCAAAGCATTCGCATTGCCACAACTGAATGAAGCCATCGCTTTGTGTACCTTTTTTGTTAACAGCCATGTCGTACATCGTTAACTGTCCGCGCGCGCTTAAACAATGGATCTTCGCCAAGCAAGCAAATTATGATAATTGATTTTTATTTTCTCCAATGGAAAATTGAATGAATATGAAATGGCCGGTTGGCATTTAATTCGATTGATCGGAAGTTTTTATAATTAAGCATTTCATTTCAATTTTATCTTCAGCTAATGAGGCTCGTTGTTCGCGTTTGCATATTCCTTTCGATTTATTTGCCATATTCTTTGTTTACTTGTGTCAATTTAAAGAGAGAGACAAACATTAATTTTTTATGTATTCTACGTTTTATTTCCTCTTTCTTTTCTCCGTCCGAACGCAGATTATGTGTAGTCGATCGGTGTCGGAGTTGTTGTCGCCATCGTTGTCGTCATCGTCAAGTGCAAACTTTAAATTTCCTATTTATTTACTGATCCTATTGACGAGCGTTCAGTTGATCGATGCATTTTGCGACAAACACCAGTGGTGGCAAGAGCAACTTGATGAATGTATCCCGTGCACAGTGTGCGACGCAAGTAAATCGATCGTATTGAGACCCTGTCAAAAACATTCGGACACCGTCTGCGGAACACTTGACGACGTCGAACTGGAACTGGACTGGATAAAAGCTGCTGCAGTCTCTGCTCATCACAAACAAGTAAGTCTGACGAGGAATTTTTCCTTGTTCCTTTTCCGGTTTTGGATTTGTTGATATTAATAACAGGGCGATATTTCGTTCATCAGGTTGAAGAACATCAGCATTTGGGAGTCATTGAAAAATCAACGGCCACAATGTTAATGTGGGACTGGCAATCGTTATCGCTTGCTTTGGCTGGCTTAATGTGTTTACTCTTTTTCATTGTCGCCGCTTGCATCTACTGGCAACACTCACACTATTGGAAAAAATTGGAACAAATGGAACGGAGATATAACGCAGGTAAGAGACGAATATTTCAATTGCGGAAGTTTAAATATTCATTTAAAATTTGTCTGAGAAATCACTCGAAAAGTATAAGCAGTTCTTCATTTTCATTCTGTCGTAAGACAGTTCTCACAGTCAAGTAGACATTTCAAGTGTACATTACCCCAAACGCATATTAAAAAGATAGATAAAAACCATTAAAAACAAGCTGATGACTATAAACATGTACCCTTTTATATCATAATAATTAGCCATTAGACTCATAATTTAAATGCTACCTTCGAAGCGAGTGATTAATATTCTATCGAGAAATCCAACGAAATCCGACGATTGTATTCATGAAATAAGCGCCAGAATTCTTCCGAAAATTCTTTATTCACAACAATGTCGTGTGCATTCTACTTTTATTCTCTGAAAATTCCACTAGACCAAACTCCGGAATAAAGCCGGCATTCAAACAATGCGACCAAACAAATTTATTGTCTTCGAAATGGTGTGTGAAAAAAATGTCGGTAGACGGAAAAATGTGCTCGAAAATAAATTCAAAGCTACTAAAAACAAATTTAACACGATTTTTGAGTGAGTGACACTCGCGTGCGTGTGCCCGCGACTAACAAATTAATACGGTTATTGAGTGAGTGTATGTGTATAAAAATACGTAATATGTGCGGAGCAAAAGGAGGAAATCGGGAATCGAGTGGATTCGTCGATGCATTTGCTTATAGAATTTGGCTTGCGCAACCAACTAATCCAAATCGACATAAGATGAGCGCGAAGAGAATGCTCTAAAAATGTCGCAGCGTTTCACTCGACTTGACAGTTATTATCATCGCTTCGACACACGACTAAATGCATGCACTCCACACAGACAGACGGAATGAAATCGCGCGAAAAACCAATTCATTCTCTGTGTGTCGCGCAATGTGACGAGAGAAGAGGAGCAAAAAGTCGAACGGAAAAAATTAAAACATCGTATCGCATGAGGCAACAGAGACAGACGGAGAAAACGCGCACGCCGTACGCGATGCATATAAAAATTAACGAAACTCATAAATTCCGGGTGATGTCAATGCACGACAACATCTCATGTCATTATTACTAAATGTTGGAGGCGAGAATCGCGCGTCCCGTGCTTCAATTTTTTTCTTCGTTTCGTCTCTCTGTGTGTTTTTTCTTTTCTCAACTTTGTATTATAGGTTGTGTCATAATCGTAACGAGAGTGCATTACAGATGTTGAAATTAAAAAAGTCGAAAAAAAATACAACAATTTTCTGAGTAGCATGTGTTCGATTATTGTTTCACTTTTTTTCCTACTTTGGACATTCAATCGATCGCTTTCTTCCCCTCGACACACTCATCGTCACCATTTCCAACGAAAACACATTTTTATCTTGAATACGTACACGAAAAACAACAATTATAATTTGTTCGAATGTCATGAAACCGGGGGATCTCGCGTCGATCGCATTTCACTCAACATAGGTTTATACATTAAACGATACATTTTTATGCTGTGTCGCATCCAAAACCACACGCTTCCTAAAAACATTTTTTTGATGTGTCTTGAAATGACGAAAATGTTTAGAAACAACAACAATGACAGTTGAGATATTTGTGAGAGAGAGAGAGAAAGAAAGAATGACTATTTAAAAGAAGCTCATTTTTAATCGACACCCTTTTGGGCTTTCAAGCCAACTTGATGATCGAATACGATCCCTTTGAAGGTTATCATCTTACGTTTGACGTTCATGTGCTCGGCGATTTTTCAAACGAATTATTATTCTATTTTTGTCCATGAAAAAATCGTTTGAAGTTGAACGGTTTGATGTAATTAACCCGTAAACAGAAAGCGAGTAAAACAAAATCAAACAAAAATTTATAAAAGTTAAACGGTGTTATGATTTATCCCAGTCAATTAAACTATATATTTGAATTCGTCAACTTGAATTAATACTACGATTGTTTTGTTTTTATTTCTTTGTCGTTTGTATGTGCCATAAACGAAAACAAAGACCAAAGACCAAAACTCAACGTGCGACAAAAGTAATAAATTTCGTTTATGAACTGCTCATGAACGTATAATTCTTTCAGCAAGAATTGCTTTTTTTGTTCTCCCTTTCTTGTTGGCGTCGATTTAAGAGCCATTATTTTGGACAGAAAAAGTGTGCTGCAGTCATTTCATAAGCCAACTGAATGGCATTACTCGACTCGAGTAACTCGAGAGACTTGCTCTTATTGTGACTTCATTTTTTTTCCTCAAAATTTATTCCAAACTTGTCCCATACTGGATGAATTTATGCCATATGCACTGTTAGCCAATGTGTCGAGACATATTTCAAACAAAATGACGACAATACGACAACACTATGCTCTTGCAGCAAGTGCAAGTGTTGTTCTCTGATCCTTTGTTTTCGTTCAATTGATGGCCTTAGTCGCCATCGTACATTCGATACTCGGTTCTCTTCTTCAAAACGCAACTAAAAAAGTAGAATGTGTTGAACATATTTTGTCTGTAGCGTGCATTTTCCAGGAGCCTATTCCTCCTAAATAAAACCCAAAACAACCACAAATAAATTAAATTTTCCCAGAAAAAAAACCTTCTCAAGGGTAGCCCAATTACTTTTTATCTGTCCTTTTTTTAATTTAATGAACTTAATTGAATTAATTCTATGCAAACAGAAAAAAAACGGTTTTCAAGAGCAATGCAATTCTCGAACGAGTAACGAACTTAAATTAACTTTAAAGTGGGCCTAGTTGTGTGTTTTGTTGGAACACACAAATTTTCAAGTGAAATTGATAATTTATGTGAATCACATTTCCTTTTTCGGTATGCATTTGGATCGAACGTTGTCAATGATCATCACCAATTGAGAGTGAATGCACCCACTTGTTTTACATTAAATAAACTTGAAAACATTTACCGTATTCCAGTGCATGTTATTGTGTTCATTTGACTAACGATCACCTCCCATATTTCATAATATAGCCATAATTGAAAACATCTCTGACGGCCTCCGAAAAGAACGAGAGAAATGTAGCTAATGAAGAGATTTTTCGTTCGTCTCTTTCGAAAAAATAAAATAAAACCAAATCCATATGATATCCTTTCGCTGTGGTTCCATTCGAACAGTCAACGAAAGGCAACGAACCGTAATGATTATCAAGTTTGTCAACATTTCGAATGGAACGAAAAAAGAAAAAGAAACGAAAAAAATATTTCAAAACTGCTAACACCGATGCTGGGCACATTCATTAATTAAATCATGGCATTTCGGCAAAGTGGCAAACATGTGTTTCGCCCTGCTCGAATGCTCATCATCAGAATATCATTAGTTTTTGGTTTATTTTTTGGTGATTTCATTTCGAAGCCAACGAGTAATATTTCGAAATGGATGAGCATCTGAATTCGCATGGGGTCATGCAGCGAGAGATAGCACATCGGCATCACTTAATGAAGCCAATTTTCGTTTACAAACATTAAAATTTAAGGATCCAAATATAGCCCGTCCGACATATGATAAATCTGTCATAAATTGCTGCGCATCATTATGACTTGACTGCGAGTTTTGATTTCACAGTTTTGGACTTTCCGTTTTTTTACCCGCGCGATAACGGATCACTTTGATATTTCCAACACCAAATCGCCAATTTTACTGTAAACACAGAGAGAGAGAGAGAGAAAAATACGATTGAGGCGTGTTGTATAGCGCTTATCTCTTGCGTATCAGTTGTAAACCGTTCGATTGCAACGTCGTTTTTTTCATTCATTATTATCTAATTTGCAATGGGATTGATTAAGGACTGTTGAACATCGGCATTTTTCGTTGAATTTATTTTATTTCGACAGCGATTTTCTGTCATTTTGTTTTCATTTCGTTGATTTGTGATTGCGTGGCCGCCGAACGCAACAAGACGAACGAGAGACAATGCCAAGAAATGTATGGCTTGTTATGACATTAACAGCATAATATAAATAAAATTCATTTTTGCCTCTTGAATCACGAATTCTTTTTTTCCATATCGGAGACTCTTCTGTCTCTATCTTTTTGCTTCGGTCGCTTGGGATAATTCTTGAGCCAGTGTTGCTGTTTACGCGATTATCCACTTAACGTTGAAGACGATTGAATGATTTATGTGTACTTCGTACATATTTTATTTTATGTGCTTTGAGTTCGAGTCGGTCAATGCTGTGTATATGTGTGCGATATGCTGCCGTACTGCTCCTTGCAGCAACACATACACAACGAAATCGCACTGATGACGACCAAAAAGACAGACAGAGGGAGAGAGAGAGAGAGAGAAAATCACAGACACTTGTAAGTTTATTAAATTGATAAAATAAAGTCGATCTTCGTTTACAAGATTGACTCGCATGAATTAGGCACAACAAGTAATACATTGTTTGAACGGGGCTCTTTGTTCGCATTCGAAAAAAAAACCAAGAACACTACTGAAGTACCATCATCTTAATAAAATAATAAAATGAGATGTAGAGAAAAATAGCGACGCATTCTCCACAGTTTCGGGTCAACTCGAGCAAGATTATGGTTCAGGCCGTAAATCTTATTTATTTTGCCATAAGACAAAGTACTGGCATTTTTAATGGTATTCGCTTCGGTCATAAAACTGATTACTTTGTAGTGTACGATAGAAATGAATTTTATTGACGAAAGTAAAGAGAGTTTGACTCCCGATGCGTATTTTGATACGGAATTTTGCTCGGAGAAATTTTTTTTAATTCAAATAGTGAACCAGCTCCTAGAAGTACCTACGAATAAAACACATCGAGTAAAATACTGAGTATTGAAGCTGCCATAAATTCACAAAAATTTATATGTCTCCAACCAATGCCACTTTTCATGAACAGAAAAGATTTTGAATTTTGAAATGAAAATGCATTTTGAAGCCGCATGCGGATTTTGCTGACCTTTTCGATGCAACAGAATTTGCACGTGATTTTTCCATTGCCTTGTTTAAAAATAGATGATGGGTCGTGTGCTGAATATGAGTAGTAGTCGTTGGAAAAAGAGTGCATTTGCCGATTGTGTACACCGTAGCGCATAAAATGGCCAGTTTATTTCGTATGCATGTACTGATTTTCCGCATGCTCATTTAACGCTTGTGTCGTGTGTTGCATCTGTTGATGCTGCACATATGTCCTCATAAATGCAGAATCAAAATGCTACAGACATGGTACTTGACTTATGTATCCAACTGTTTGCAGTCGAGTCGTCGTCTTTTTCTTCCTATTCTGTTGTTGTTGTTGCTGTTGTATGGAAAAACTCATCTCTTACAATTAGCTGACATGGTATATTTTTAAAATGATTCAATGGAGTTGTTTTTTTGCAACCGAGAAAAATGAACCAAGAGAGAGGAAAAAGAAAATCGGTGGAAAAAGGAATCCCTAAACATATCATCGAAGGCAGGCAAAAGACGACGACTTTGAAAAGCAGCAGGCAAATGTTGTAAAAATACGCATGAAACTCCTAAAAATAAGTCCGTTCGAATCTGCAAAAACAGAGGGAAAAAACAAATGTAGAAAAGAAGATCTCAACTCATCTTCATGTCGTACACAACATAATGATGACCGAAAACAGAAAAGAAAATCGCTTATGCGTACTAAATTTTAATATGATACTTTTGTTTTTGTTTTTTTTTCTCGTTTGGGTCGGTCTATCTCTCTCCATGTGCATCATGATATATATATGTAATTCAATCATTTTGGGTGCTAAGTCAACAACATACATTTTCAGTTTGCGCGCCAAATTCATTGCTTCACTCTCCTGAAAATGACAAATGATTCGTTTTCATTGGAGAATTAGGACAACGATTTGTTTCAATTTATTGAACACATATTCCATAGTTCAACCATGACATTGACAAATTCACTTTGGAAATTGAGAACTGTGCATAGGGAAAAAAACAGATAATAATTGAAAATGATTTACTAAATCAATGCTGATAATTCGTTTTTTTTTTAATGTTTTCAGAAGCGGAAGAGTTATCATCTCGCTTAATGCACACGATTATCGACATTCGAAATGATGACAGCGGACGAGTTGTGCTTGAAGAAGCCAAACGAGATAAAATCACGAATCCATTCGATTTGCAGTGCATTTACTTCGAAGAGTTACTAAGTAAGTGTCGATTTGTCGAACTATTTTTTTTATAGTCAAAAGATAGTCGTATTGATAGTTGAAGTGTACGCCCGAAAAAAAAGCGAATGTTCAAAACGCAGGCTATTTTTATACATTTTCCCTTTATGAAACTTTCAATATGCAATCGAAATGCAATTCTGGGTAATAAAATGCGGACTAATGACGCTTTTACGATAGTGATCTGTTTTGTTGTACCATTTTAATAGCAACCTATTAATAGCCAATATTTACGATGCACCAAACAAAACGTTGAAATTCCTTGAATTCGCCGAATGTTTAGTTTGCTTGGTTTCCCTACTATCTCTTTTCTTGTTTCACTCGTAAATACGGATGATCAATTCGTTTGGTTGAGGAAATTGACGATAGGAACGAATTTACGGGTAGTGATGAGTGTAAAACATTTATTGCGTAGGTTCGAACAATTGTCAGTTGGATGCATTGTAACCTATTGTAACGAAAATATACATTGTACTTCGTTCTATTTTAATAAAATGTTCTTTTCTTTCTGTTTTGCATTAGATAATGATGGCACGAATCGAGCGCCAGTGCCGAAGCCGTTGATCAAAACCAACCCGAAGAAGCATCAACCAATCGAATCAAAGGTCGATCTCAAACAAAAGGTGGAATGCGAAACGAATACAATCAAAGAGCGACCGATCGAAGATGAAACCGTACAAAAGCAAGGTCGTGGCAACTGCTACACCGAACCAATGCACCAGAATAATTGTGTCACATCAGAATTGTACATGCTTACATGAAAATGAGTCGCTCATACAATTTTGTTTGTAAAATTGTCGTTCCGGAGCTGAGCAAGTGAAATGGCAACAGAAACAAAGTAAAAACAAATTCTGAACTAAGGAGCCTCGTTGTATATTTTAGCGTCCATGTATTCGAAAGAAGCGTACCAAATAAATACTATGTAAAATATAATCATATTGTACAAAACAAAAAATGCAAATCACAGATTTCCTTTCATAATAATTTTATAAAACATATATGTGCAAACAGAGAGAAAAACCAACAAATGCTTGACAAAAAGTATTATTAGAACGATAGAGTTAATGTTATTTTGTAAAATTTATAAGTGGAAAATAAAAATTTTGGTGTATTTTTAAAATGAACAAAATAGAAATGCAATGTGGTTGTTTTTTTTTTTTTGATTCCATCTCAGTTTATTGGTGTGTATGTTCAAATAATATTTCCGTATTAATATTTACATATTTTCACAACATTATTTTCTTGTTATTCTTTTTAACGCAAATTAGTAAACGGCCTACGATGATTTCGAAATATATATTGAATAATGTGTGTGGCTATACCGTTGAAATGATTTGTTTTTTTTTTCTTCAATAAATAATTTGCTTATTTTCCATTATACGTAGAGTTTAGTCGTTAAAACACAAACCGCACAACACCTCTCCCATTCCGGACAAGAAAAAAGATAACACCGATTTTGATTTTCATCTTTTACATCAATATATCGGTTATCTTACTGTTGTGCTGAAACCTGAACAACAAACTGAATGGTTTTTTTCTCTTTCTCTCTTTATCTCTGTCGAACGAAAAACAAAATTTCAAATAAAAAAAAAATTCAACACACAAAAAATGTTTTTAAAAAAAATATTGTATCGACTTTTGATTTGCACGGTATTGCTTCTTTTTTTTTCTTCATGAATATCATAAACTAATGAAAAGAAAGTTGTTTCTTCTAGATTAAATGGAGCTGATTTTGGGGATTAAAAGATGAGGAAAAAAACGTTCTTTCACTAAATAATTAGAACAAAAATGTTTCGTACTGCCTAAACGTAAATCGCGCACGAAATATCAAACAAAAGGCCGAAGAAAAAGTATATGGGAAGGTGGATAAAACGATAGCACATAAATTGTTGTATGTAAATAAGGCGCTGAATAAATGGATTTCGTTTATAGATTATTCTGCAGAAACGAGAGTAATGTCGTCTCATAATGTTTACTCGCTTCCAAATTGCGTAGCGAGTGCCGTTCACGCGGATATACTTGCAATTGATACGGTTTATTGGCTTTGATGAGTAGATTTATGAGCTCAGACGAGTGATAAAAGTGCACATTTTCATCGATCAGACCATGGATTATGAGCAGTCGGTTGTCTCTGCAAGTGAAGAGAAAGAAAACAAAACGGAATCCCAATAAGTCATTTGGTGTGTTTTTTAAAATGTAGATTGAATACATACTCATCTGGGAACTGGTTGATGTAGCTCAATACCGAACCATTAGCATAGCCCTCCTTGTTCTGCTCCGGCAAATCCATATACCGTTCAGTATAACCTGTCACGAACAAATGGTTTTTCATGTGAATGAATTTGTACAAAACAATCCAATTTTTATTGGCAATACTCTTTACCTGTATCGTACAGTTCCCAGTTGGTGACCGGCGCACCAGCAATGGCCAATTTGAATATCGATGGATACTGAATCAAGCCCATTAAACTCAAATATCCACCGTAGGACCAACCGTGAATGGCAACGCGATCCATGTCGATAAAGCCCAAATCATTAGCCAACAGTGTTAGTATTTCCACCTGATCCGCCAGTTCAACTGATCCCATCCGTCGCCACAAATGGCTCTCAAATTCGACACCTCGATGCCTGGATCCTGAAAATTAGGATAATACTGTTAGATATGAATATTCAAATTGGATAGAAATGTTGAATAAAAACCTCTTGAGTCGATGCAAACGACACAATAGCCTTGAGCGGCCAACATGTGCATCCGAAGTTGTCGCATCCCCTGGAAAGTATCGCAAAATTACCCTCTTTTCAACACATTCCAATAAAAAAAAAATTGTTCAAAGCATAAATCCAAGTAACATATTGATCGTCGCTTACCTTAAACGTATTGTTGACCGTTTGTACCTCCGGTCCACCGTACACATTCAAAACCGTTGGATATCGTTGATTCGGTTTGTAATTATGTGGTTTGAATACCATTGCGTAAATCAATTCACCCGATTGCAAGTGTCGTGAGTAAATGGTTGGGCTGAATTTCTGTAGCTGTGCCGATGTTGGAATACCGCCTTCAAACAGATAGCCTAACAGTCGAAGCTCAATATTGTCAACGCTCTCCGTTTGCATATCGTTCGTATCAGCCACCTGATACACGCCGCACGTGGGCAATTGGTGAATATTGCAAAATGTTTGAACTAAAATGCTGCAGTCATCATTGAATTCGACCGAATACGAATTTCCCGATTTCGTAAGCAGTCGAATGTGATTCGGTTGTGTTAAACTAACCACATACAAATGTTTTTCCAATGCGGATTCACGTAAGCCTAAGAAATACACTAATTGCTTTTTTCGATCGACCCATAAATTTCGGCCCAACACCTCCCACTCGCCGGAGGTGAGCGCAATTTTGGACACAATCCGTGGCTCCCATAACGCATGCTTCATACTGTCTGCATTGTTGAGTGTGCCGTTTGTGCATTGGCCGTCGGTTTGCTGTTGCAACAGTGATGTAACCAAATACAAATGCCGGAACCCCGTCTCTTCCGATGCCCAAATGAATGTGACTTGTGTGTCGGTTACTTCAATGAATTCGAGTATATCGTTGACATTGATCCAGGTACTTGCCACTTGTGACCAAATCACTTGAATTGGTTCCGAATGCTTGGCCAAACTTGATTGCCAACTGTGCTCAAGAATGGCCGATCCATTTGGTGATGTTGATTCCGTATCATTGCTACAAACATCGGAGAAATTGGCCAACGGTATCACAATCAAATCCAAGCGATTCTGTTGTCGATTCAACAGCTGCGCCCATATGTGCTTTGAGTCTGGCATCCAACCCACCCGCACAATATATTCCAGCCATGGGATGTAGTATGTGAGCGGATGTTGCAGATCTTTTATGCAGATGTTTTGTATTTGAAGCGTTTCGGACAATGTGAATTGAACTAGTTTCAATTTGGACTTGGCATTCGGCGAACCGGCACGTGGGAATCGATACTCTTCATACTCAACACCAACCGGCTGCGATGATGGGAATTTGAACAATAACACATCACTCTCATCAACTTCTTCGTACAAAATTCGATACACTCCATCTGTAACGTCAGATTGGAATTGGGTTAGATTGTGTCAATAGTAATTTAAATTGATTTTGAGCATATAGAATGCAATTACCATCGCTTTGTGGCTGCCACCAGAAGCCCTGGTACCGACTAAACTCCTCTTGAATTACATACGATGGCACACCGGCACTTAGTGGATTATCACTGAACGATTTGTTTTCATCGTGTGCGTTTGTTAAGCGTTTATTATGACCACTCACCATATTTATTACCCAAATATCACCCGACGCAATGTAAGCGACTATTTCGGAATTCTCTGGACATATTTGAGGATCGAGAGCACCACGTAATTGCACTAGCTCCGAAGGATATAAGGGACTCGACTGCAAAAACAAAACAAAAAATGAATGAAAATCACATTAGTTTTTTGTATTAAATGGAAATAAAAAAAAATCTCATCTTAACAATAACTTTACATTATAGCCCGTGTCTAGGCATTGATAGAGGGAACTTGATGCGGGAAATATCATGCGTCCACTCTTTTTATGCAGTTCATACGATGTGATGCCAAATGTTGAGAGTCGTTTTCGTTCCAATAGCAACTGAAACGCTCGAGCATACGAACTGTTTGACGCCAAATTTGGGATTGAAGGTTCAAGCAATAATTGCCATTGTAACCTAATTGAATAAATCTCCATTAAAACATTCTTCAAATCATATCAATGTCAGAGAGATGATTAGTGCACTTGCAACGAACCTCGTTCGCTGTAAATCATGTTCATCGTTTGACTCCAATGACAGCATAGCGGGCGTGATATCAGTGCACAACAGTGTTGTTTCCCATCCGTTCGGCGGTGTCCCGAGAAAATAGATACGAGTTCGTGAATCGCTCAATTTGCGAAACTGTATGTTCATCGGTACCATTGTTGAAAGTCTTGATAATTGCTTCCGTAGTTCGGTGACTGATTCTTTCAGTTCTAGCCAGGTTTTCTTTCGTGCGACCGGTTCCATGTCGTTGGTTTGCATTGGTGGCGATTGTGAGGTGCTTCCATTGCAGTGATTTTGCCATATGTTTGTAATGCTTGTGCTCACCGGCATATTAGTCTCCATGGCGGACCCTATAAAGTCAAGCCAAGATAAATTCACTTGAAAAAAAACATGATATTCGAATTTCAATCTCTCTTTGGCTTCATTCAATCGCAATGAATGTCGTTTCATTTCTGATTTTGTGCAACAAACAACAGCAAAGAAAAAAATAAAATGTGAAGAACCAAAAAACTGCAATGACATTCCAATTTTGTTACACTCTTAAGTGTTCATTCACACCTTAATTGGTTGTTGCGAATTGGAAATGCATTTGTTTTTTCTTCCTTTTTCTTTTAGCAATGGTTATTGGAATGTGATTATATTACAATCGCAAGCACTTTATTTCAACGTTTCGATGTTCACTGTTATTGATTCAGCTATTTTTTGATCGAATTCAATAAAATTTATGCAAAAAGTGCATAAATTTTCAAGCGATTCTGTTGCAAACGCAAGGTAATTTCACAATGAATTTTCACTTTGAATACATTTAAATTGTGGTTGTGAAGAATCTTGCGCGCGATTGGCTCTTCGAAAACACAATGCGCTGGTGTAAATCGCTGTTGAAAGTTACCGTCGATAAATGTCACCGTCACATTTCCATTGTAGCAAGAAATGGCATGAGCTCGTAATAAGAAGGAATCAATTTTGCGCGGATAATTTCCATGCATTTGCAACGAACGGGCAACGACTTTGATATCGTTTTCTAATGTCGAACGAAATTAAATTGTACACAGACACGGCAATGAGACCGAATAAACACTTCATCGCAATTAGATATGTGTAATCGTTGAATTGAAGGCACTAAATTCGACGATACACTGGGTCAAATGAAAGCCAAAGACACTCTTGCTATTTGTTGTTGACAAATTTATCTGATAATTACTTTTTTTCGGTGGCTGTTGATTGGATTGCTACTGCGATTGGCAGTCAACAGTCAAAAAAAATTGTATATATATGTATATGACGCGATGACGATATCTTTATTCTTTTTTCCACTTTTTTTTTGTTTATGTATTGCAAGTTCGATGTCGTTTCTCCCTACGATTGTTGGTATTTTGTTGGTTCTACGTTCGGCTGGTGTGTCACACAGATGATTCTTTTTTCTTTATTGTTGCTTGTTCTTTGTATCGACGTTCAAAGAAAAAAAGATCCGAAATACTTTGGACCTCATACACAATTTTTCGATTACTCTCCGTGTCGATTTCGATTCAATGATTGTTTTGATCGCTAAACATCAACACTCATACGACACAGCCACATCGACCACTATCAATGCAAATTATATTTCGCACAAATGAAATTCCGTTCGCTTTAGTCGCTTTATTTAGTTCACCGCACCGAGAAATTGAAATGGCAAATGTGATTTGCGGAGCGACAGAGAGCAATCAGATGATGTGGTTGTGTGTACCAAAAACTGTCTGCGTACTGGTATCGAACGCGTCAAAATCACCAATGGATGCGTTTCATGCCGTTTGTTTTGAATCCGATTGAACATTTGAAATTTGGATAAAAATGAAAATCGATTCAGTTTTTGTTTTTCGTAGGACCAACGATGGAATTTACCAATTTTGCGTGGATTTTTTATTTGTTTTTTTCTTCTTTCTGCAATTTCCACAAAATGTTCGTAGTTTTGGATAATAGATCAAAGCGATGGCATAGTTTGAAATACGTTTCATCCCATTCTGAGAATTTCTCATCGATCTCTTCATTTATGCTTGTTCGTTGTTGCTTTTTTTCCTTTCAGGTAACGGTACAATATACACGACACCAATTTTGCACATTCATCGTTTGTATCTGTACCATATCAGTTTAGTCTCATTGTACTGTACCATATCATTAGCTACAAATTAGTCACAGAATTGTTATTCGTTTATTTCTTTCGTTAATTCCTTTTTTGTTTGTTACCGCCCAATAAATTTATTGTTCAAGTCCCTTGTTTTAAATCCGTTGATATGTCGAACGATAGTAGTTTGTGTGAAGTGGAGGAGATTTTGGACAAGCGAGTCATCAACAACAATGTAATTTTTCGAGAAAACACATTTACTGCCTACTTTGAATTGATTGTTGTTATGTTCAATTCATATTGTTTCATCTGAAGGTTGAATATTTGGTGAAGTGGAAAAAAAGTGAGCGCGAAGACAACGACGATGACGATGACAGTAACCCCGATGATGATAGCAGTGACGACGACGACGACGATAAAGAATGGGTATCAGCTGAGCTGTGCAATTGTCCGACTGCAATCGCCATTTACGAAAAATCGCACGGGGTGATTTTGAATTGATTTTGCCTTCATGCATTCAAGTTTTTACATTAAAATGTATTTTGTTGTTATCATAGATGTGGAAGGAAGAATACGAAGTGGAAGGCATCGTGGATTCGATTGAAGATGAAGATGGAAAAGTATGTCCCATGTCAATCAATGATGGGAATTTTGCATTTTGACATTTTGTTCCATATATTTCATATCCGTTTCAAATCAATGAATTCTTTTCAGATGGAATATTTGGTTAAATGGAAAGGGTTCAACGTATCGCAGAATACTTGGGTGAAGGCAAAAAACATGAAAGACTGTGCACAAATAATCAAAGAATTTGAAGATGGTGACCGATACCATAATGAAGAAAGTAATACAATTCAGATGCTTATTATTTCACCGCAGTGATTAATTCTTATGTTTGATTATTACAGTGTTGGAGGTGAAGGAAATTAGTGCTTACGAAGGCCGTTTCAATGGTGTGGTAAGATCAAACCGTGTATGATCCGTTTATTAAAAATATCTCGTGATCAAATTTTTTTTTATTTGCAGCCAACTTTTACCATCATTAAAGAGAATGAAGAGGAAGCCACCGAGGAATTATTCACCATCGATGAATTATATATCGCAATAAATGGCCGTAAGGCCCTCATTGAATTCGATGGTGATTTCCCTCAGGATTTTTAACCCTTTGATGCGCTTTTGAATGATTTTAATATCATGTTATGTGCCATGATAAATAGGGAAAAATTCCATACTTAGATTTTTGAAAAATTGGGTATTTATTGAGGAAATCGGAAAAGAGACAAAAATGTCAAATTGCTGTAACAGCCTAAAAAAAATAAATTTCGTAAAACTAATGATGCACAAAGTTAAATTGATGTGTTTTTGTCCTATGAATCTTAATTTAACAATGAAACGAACGTAAAAACCCATTAGATGAGAGGAAGAAAAATTAGGAATTCTGCTAAAATTTCGCATTTTTCTACAGCATGAACAGCATACTGCATTTCAACAAAAAAAACTTTCGATACAGCTGACAAATTGATACGAGTAAGGTATCAAACGAAAGCTGCTTCAATTTCCTACATTTTTTTTTCCAAACAAGTATGCAATAAATATTAAGTGGTATCGTAGTTACAGCATTTGCCGTATCTGGTTACTTTAGGAAGGGTTAAAATAGTTGAAGAACCATTTTTTTTGGCAAAAAGTTATTATTGCTGTCATGAAAAAAAAACGTCAATTTCATTATAACATTTGAAAAATAAACCGCTTTATTCTTTAGAATCTCGAAACATACGTATTGTTTGTTGCTAAAAATATCTATTCTTCGGCTCCAACTAAAAACCATTTGTTGCGTGCTACAACAGCAGCATTTCGAACCAAACGCTTGTGATCGTCTAAAGCCGGCTGCAGGCCAAACAAAACATCCTGGGCAAACGGCAGAACGATGAACGTTGGATATTGTGTAATTGCTGACAGAATATCAATTGCCTCAATGCGAATATTCTACAGGGAAGAAGATATAAATAGGAAACATGATTTTTTTTTAATCAAAAGTGTCTTTGTTGACAGATTTCATACCATTGAGTCTTTGCATGTCGTCAATTTGATGCATTGTGGAATCAAATTTTGCAAATGATCCCGGAAGAACTCATTTTTTTCAATTATGAAACGTTTTACAATGGTCAAGGCTGTCGAGACGGATTTCGTGCTCTTCAAATTGAGGCAATTCAGCAAAACTGGACCAATCTGAAATGTATTTGCATGAGAATAAATAGCTGATAACTCAATAAGGGACATAACCTCTACCTTTTGTAGCTCATTCTTGAGCACTTGATGCGGTGTCATCTTGAGCACAAAGACAAATGCCGATAAATGCTTTTCTGAGTACGTTTCGAGTTTGTGCCACAGTCCTTTCAAGCAAATTTGGAAGAATTTCTGTTTGAAAAAGTGCTTCACTTGCGGCAAATGCAGTTGCGGGAATTCAATGGAGAGAACATCAAACGCAGCCACGGCGGCTTCCGAAAGGGTTGGATGCTCGAGCAATTCAATCAACTGTAATCACAAAAAACCGAATGATATGGAATCAAATTCAGAATAAATCGATGAAAACAAAAGTACCGTATCAATGAGTTCCGATGCTTCAGTGTGACCACGAGTCAGGAGACCTTTTGACAACCATGACAACACTTCAACAGCCTTCTTGTTGTGCTTCTTTAGTTCGTCTTTAATCAAATTGATGATCTTTTTCAGTATGCTCTTGTGGTGTGCATTATCCGGGCACTTGTTGAATAGGCTGCACAGCAATTGATTGCTGATTTTCGTAACATCTTCGTCATCCGTTTTCAGTGACAATTGCGTGAGTTCATCGACGAGTTTCTCAAAATGATTTTCCAAATCGACCGACTGTTCCAAGTACCCGAGCAATCCCAATGCATAATACAAATCACATTTCAACTGTAAATTAATCGACTTTAGGTATTTTTCAACGAGTTGTTTCTGCGTCTCCACATCCAAGGCTTTGACGACGATGCGCAAAATTTGCGACATTTCATACAGAAAGTCATCGGCACCGGTGAGTTTGTCGGCGTTCGTTTCATCCAATTGCTTTGAGTGTATCAATTCGAGGAAACGATCGAAAATATTGTAACGCGTGTACATTTCCTCGTGAAGTTGCTCATTTTTGTCATCGTCGAGAATGTGTCGCAACACACGAACGCCAATCAATCGAATCTGATTGCGTAGTTCGATTTTCGAGGCATTCTGTTCGAATATATTGTGAAACAGAAATTGTAGAATCTCTTCACGGAATTTTCGAATTGCAATCAAACAGCATAAATTTTCAAATAATTCAGCAATGGCATCTAGAGTCAGTTTCTCGGCAATGTAATCGATATTCAGGATTTGATTCACAATCTCAGTGGACACCTCATCTGGATAGCGAGCGGCGAATGAGCTTAGAACGATGCTGCAATCAATGGGAGTTGTACTGATCGCATTTGCCTCCAGCAAGTACGAATTGACGGCGCGATAGATGAGAGTACGATTCGAGTCAACGATGATTGGTGCAGTGATGGCAAGTGCTTGCAACCCAATTTTGATTAATTTTTCACTGTCTACGGTTTTTGGCACCAAACAATTGATGAATTCGAATTGTGCCGTTTCCAATAGTTTCTCGTCGATTTCGTTGACCACTTCATTTTCGATGCACGTTGCAATCAGCTGGGCAGAGAGTTCGATCAATGTGCCTCTTTGTACTTGTTGATCGGTATTACCGTGATTGATTTGCAGTAAAAATGCCGGAAGACATTTCAAGGTGACAATTTTAGCAGATACCTTGCTAGTTTCAACACATTTCAAAGCGATGGCCGCTGACGGGGCAAACATTCGGCTGTTCACATCGGACAACGACGGTAGTATGGCTGCGAGAATCACTGTGAGTACATTAGTGATGACCGTTTCATCCTTGCTCAAGCTAACCAACAACACTTGCAATGCATCGAGTGTTGCCACAGTTATCGCTTTGCTGCTTCCCGGCAACAATTCAACCTTTAACGCCTTCCAAATGTCCGGAAATTGCTTTTCAATCTGTGCTGGAGGGAATTTTTGTGAAGCCTTTGACAATAAGTACAATGAATCCAGTTTGGCAACACTCAACTGACTCTCCATCTTTTCGACCAACAAATTGATGCAATCTTCTGCAAATGATTCGTTTGAACAAAGACAATCGGCCAATTTTTCCGCCAATTGATCGCGAGAAATGACGCCGGTATCATTTGGCGATGGATTGAAATCAATTGGAAAATAGCAGGCGATCACTTCGAATGCTTCTTCATTTAAATGGCCCAATTGAAATGTTTCCAAGAAACCCGGAATGAAATCGTACAGAAATAACAAGATACGTGGATCTCGTTCACCATCCATTGCATTGATAAAACCGTACACGAAATCTGGACCCATATTTTGTAGTTCTGTGGGAGAGAAATATGATTGAAAAATGTATGAAATTGATTCTGAATCTACATTCCGTGTGACAATGAACGTTCAACAAGTTGTAAATTGCTGACCTTTTGTTTTGGTTTTACACAGTCCCGAGATAATGTTGAAAATTTTCGTGCGATCGTCACGCACTTGACTTTGACACGGAACATTTTGGAAAATGGCTTGTAGCAATCGTGCAGCACATTCATCTGGCAAATTACTCATTTTGATGAGTGCTTCAACACCCGTAAGTGTGTTTGGCACCACCGAGTGATGATCCTTCAAACGATCGCAATAGAATGTCGATATGAAGTTCAGCTGAACTGGATTCAAAAGATCTGGTGGTAGATTAACTAAAGTCGATGATAGTAAACGCATCGCTTTTGCACGAACATCCACATCGGTTGATGTTAAAAATGGGCCCAATGCTTCGACGAACCCAGTCAGATCAAGCTTCTTGCCAACGATATCTAAAAAAGAACAAAAAAGATTTTCACATAGGAGAAAAAATTCTGAGACGAAAATCGCCAAAAAAAATCGCATCAAACCATTTGCAATATCTGTAGCAGACGATGTGATGCTTTCATCGGTTCTTAAGCAGCTCTCAATATCCTTCATTGTGCAATATACACGTCTGCCTTGGTTCACTCAACAGAATTTTCTATTTCTAATGTTCCTATCCAAAGTACAGTATCACGTTTTGCACTCTTATCAACGTTCCGTATCAAACACTTTTGTCAGGTTAAACGAAAACAAAGCGAATCTTCCTTCTATTCAGTATTCGCTGTACTGCGGTCGTTGTGTGTGTGTGTGTGTATGCGTTTGACTTTGACTTTATATTCACATGTTTCAAGTGTTTCCAATGTGTCAAACAGCGTTGACAGTTTACACTGTTGTGAATGCGACAAGGTTTTTCTTTGTGTATTTCGTTCCAAAAAATGGTGTGCGTTTAATGCTTTCAATGCCGTCAAGTGACTGTATTCGGTCGTTGTCATTGTGGTGATAATTCCTTAGTTTTCTACTCTATGCTCAGCATTCATGTGTTGCCATTCGTAACAGTTGCAACTTATTCATCGTTCCTGTTGTTTTTTCTATCTCTTTTGCGTTTATTTTCGCTTCTGTTAGATTTTCTTTTTTGTTCGATTGTTGGTTTTGTATGTGTGTTTGACTGAACTCCGATCCCAAGCATCGCACTATTTGACTCAGTTATTTTTTTTAAGGCGTAACACTTTTTCGTGATAAAATTGTTGACATTTTTTTTAAATCCAAAATCTCAAGTCATTCTGTGCGATGGCATTTACAAATTATCAAATATTTCTTGCGCTTCTGCAAATCACTACCGGTTCAATCAATACACTCAGTACAAAGTGAGTATTATAATTAATAATTTTATGGCGATTATCATTGCGAATACCTTTTGAAGTTAATGATATTTTGAGTACCATTAAAATCAAGTAGCAATAAATGAGGCCGATCACATCACACATGGATTGGTTTCGAAACAGTTCTTAGGCTCTCGATCAACAATCGCTTGGCCTGCATTTAATTCAACAATTTTGTTACACAACTCCTCTCTTCTTTTTTGCTGCACTAGCGCTAATTCATAGCGCCTGCATTATTTGCTTTCCCCTATTTGCCGATTTTTTTCTACTGTGTGCATCGTATTTCTTCGTATTACACAAATCAATGGCCATTAATTAAATGCATTTATTCATTCAATTGTAATATATTTCAGATGGGCTGATACAGTCGAATCGGCCGATTCTTCTGGTAACAAGAAGGAGTTTAAACATCCGTTTGTGCAAGCATGTGCCATGTTTTTGGGGGAATTCCTTTGTCTTCTCACTTTCAAAGCGGTCTACTTTACATTGCGTAGAAAACGGGTAAGTTATACAAAAGTTTTTTTTATAAAAATACAAAAGAGAAAGCAGCAGAGTGTTTTCACATCAATGAAATCAATGGGAAATTTGCTAGAGATTTCAGTTTTCATTTTTAAACTTATCATTAGGATGGATCCGAAGACGAAAATACATTGACTAAGGGAACGCGGGAATTCAATGCATTCACTTTATATATCCCTGCTATCTGTGATATGGTCGGTGAGTAAGATGACCTATTTTATACCTCCAATCTGAATCGACTCATAACAATTAAAATGAAATGGTTCGTATCAATAACAACGAAATTCAACGAATTGCCATTGAAAAAAAAAATTATTTGAATTAGTGATTCATTCGGTTTTTTTTCACCTTAATGCAATCTAAGCTATTCAGGTTACAAAACGTCGCGCGTTTTTCTAATTGATTTATGACTAATTATGTTTTGCTTTACATTTTGCTCTAGGTACGTCACTCATGTACATTGGCTTGAATTTGACCTTTGCATCAAGTTTCCAAATGTTCCGTGGTGCCGTTATTATTTTCGTGGCATTGCTGAGCGTGGCATTCTTGCAACGTCGTCTCGTTGCCCGAGAATGGATCGGCATCTTTGTCATTGTACTCGGTTTGGCTATGGTTGGTGCAGCCGATATGTTGGTGTCCACGGATGATTCAAAACACTCTAGAAACGATATCATTACCGGAGATCTACTTATTTTGACCGCCCAAATAATCACCGCCGTTCAAATGGTCTACGAAGAGAAATTCGTTGCTGGCCTTGATATTCCTGCATTGCAAGGTAACATTACTCAAAAACTCGAATAATTTCTTAATTGAAAGTGATAAAAACTTTAGTTTTTACCTTATCACATTTCAGCCGTTGGATACGAAGGACTGTTCGGTTTTGCAACACTCGGTGCACTTTTGGTGCCATTCTACTACATCAAAGTTGGCCCACCGTTCAGCGACAATACAACCGGCTCATTGGAAAATGTCTTCGATGCCTTGTATCAAATTAAAAATAGTTGGCAAATTTTGGTCTCCATCTTGGGTACAGTCGTTTCGATTGCATTCTTCAATTATGCTGGTATTAGTGTGACCAAAGAGATTTCGGCCACTACACGTATGGTTTTGGATTCGGTGCGTACCCTGGTGATTTGGGTCTTCTCAATGGTCATCGGCTGGCAAGTCTTTCAGCCGTTGACATTGTGTGGTTTCGTTTTCCTTCTGTTTGGTATGTGCCTCTACAATAATATATTGATTTGCCAAACGTATCGATTTATTCGTGATTCGTGCACTCGTCGTATCTATGGTAATGTTGTGAACGAAACCAATGTCATCGTCAATCGCCCCGCCGATGATACTTCTAATCCATGAATTGTTTTTTTTTGTTAAAACTTTTGTTATAAAAAAGAAAACAAGTCTGATCCCAACTCGAATTTCGTTTCAACCGGCAAACTTAACTAAATATTTTTCAGATAAAATGCGCCACATTAGTTTTAATTTAGAGAAATTGTTTATTGAACTACAGATTTTATTAGAACAATAACAAACTACGAATTATAGAGATATTACATTTTTTGATTTCTGACGTCAATAAATAAATGAAATTTTTACTTTATATCGATAAAATGTGTTTTTTTTGTATCATTTTCCCGATGTCGTATTCACTCCAGCAAATGTGCGACAAAAAATGTAGTAAACATCTGTAACAGAATTCGTTCTTCACTTTTGCCAACAAATCATCCAAAAAATGATTTACAATTTTTATTGTGTTTTCTTTCTGTTTTGATTACGATCGAATGATCTGATTCTTAGAACAAAAATTTATTGCCTCTTATTCTGTCCTGTAATCATGATGGAAATGTGACGATAAGAAATGCTTAATTAAACTTATCTGTGAAGCATTATTGTCACATTTCATCGAACGGTATTCGGAAAATTGCAAACCAATTCAAGTGGCAATTATGGGTGGTGGCTTAGCAGAAAAGAAAAAGTGTTACACAATTCATATTTGTATTCTATTTCTGGTTAAGAACATGAATGAACAAACGTACCGCTCAGTGTGTTTGGTTTATTTACAGACAAACAATCGCGCAGCCAACATAAATGTTTGCTTGTTCGGTCGAAACGTTGATGGTCCTTTGGATTTGTTTGCCTTTTCTGCTGTTAATAGCCATTCACTATTGCTATTGTTTTCTAGAACAATTATCACGTTCTTGTAATCAGTTCATTGTTATGCTTTCTGCATTGTTTCTCTCACTTGTTGATTGGGATATTGATAATATGCTTGAATGTACTTACTCCTCTCAACTTTTTTTCTAGTATCATTTAACCGCTTCGAGTTGAGAAATATTTCTTTTTATTATTATAGAGAGCGTATGTGCGTCAGAATAATAATGTGAAGTTTATTGATAAGACCAACAGAGTGGAAGTGTTGCGAGATAGAAGTTGTGTGCGTTTTTTTTGTAGTTTTTTTTATATAAAAAAAATTAAGATTTAGTAAAGACTCTCCAGTGGCTCGCTTATAAAATGAATCGTTCGGAAGCGTTCAACAGTTCATTCGGTGTTAGAAGCTATTCACAGCCGCACCAAACGATAATCAGCATGGGTAAAAGTAAAATTGTATTATTTCTATTCATTGTGCTGAGCACGGTTTGTTTATCAAAACAACAGACAATCGTCGATTCAGACTATAAATATGTGTATACGTTGGGAAATTTCGCCATTCAAGTTGATAATACTGCTCAGAATACCGTTTACACTGTACAAAAGTTCGGCCGACAAATACAACGGGTGCATTTGAATGCTGATTTTGAGAAAAATTTAACGAGAACCGAAACAGCTGATGGATTCGTTCTGCATGGCTTGGACAGAGATGTTGAATTTAAAGTGATTGAAGATAGTGATGATTTTACGTTGGTGAAAGTGTCAAGTTTATTGAAGCGAAACCAACGAGACAGTCACTGTTTCAATTTATATACGGGTCGTATGAATTGGTTTGGCGGACCACAAATTTTCTATCAATATTGGCCAGTGGAAAAATTTCGATTCCAAGATTATTCGTACGTTCCAAAACAACAGGACAATGTGGGTGTTGCTGAACGTTACTGGTTGAATTCAGAAGGTGGTTTCATTTATGTTGACGATAAAGTGCCACTGTTCTTGGATCAAAATGTCAATAGCAACCAACTGTGTTTCCTGGTTAAAAATGAACTGCCCTACAACACACGTAGAGAATCAATCGATTTTGTTTACACATTGGGCTTTGGAAATGATGCCAAGGATGCTCAGCGAAAGGCTGTGGCCAAATTCCTGGAAAAACCAACCGCCGTTGCAGATCGTCGTATGGTGGAACATCCCATTTGGTCGACGTGGTAATTTCTTTGTTAATTTTCATTTTGAATCAGTTGTTAACCCTTGCTTTTAGCCTACTTTTTCATATTTTCCCAATTTTGTATGTTTTTTTTGTGTGTGTTGAACACGTAAATAGGGCAAGGTATAAAGCACCAATTGACGAAAAAACGGTGGAAGAATTCGCATCGGAAATTGAAAGGTACGGCTTCAGTAACAGCCAATTGGAAATCGACGATGACTGGGAAATTTGCTATGGCGCTCTGAGCTTCGGCAGCAAATTCCCGAACATTCGAAATCAAACCGATGGTTTAAGAGCTCGCGGTTTCCGAGTGACATTATGGATTCATCCGTTCATTAATAAAGGCTGTGAACCATGGTATACAGAAGCCAAAGACAAAGGGTAACTTTTTTACTCCCATTTACTCATTTCCATTCTTGAATTCATTTTTCTCTCTCTTGCATTTTTGCAAACGCGAATAGATATTTGGTCACAAATTACGAAGGAAATCCCGACACAGAATGGTGGAATAGCGTAGCAAATGACTCGGCCTATATTGATTTCACAAAATTTGAAGCAGCTGAATGGTATCAAAATCGATTGAAAAAACTACAAGAAGATGCGGGCATTGATAGCTTCAAGTTTGATGCCGGTGAAACTAGCTGGTTACCGAAGGTAACGCTTCCATTTGAAATGAGCTACTTTTCTTAGTTCAACAATAAGGATTTGAATCTAAAATTGAAAAATGTTACAGGATCCAAAATTAAACACAGATTTGGATGACCATCCATTGGCCATAACAAAAGCATATATTCGAGCTGTAAGCAAGTTTGGTCCAATCGTTGAAGTACGCTCTGGCCAAGGCACACAAGATTTACCGATTTTCGTACGATTTATCGATAAAGATTCCGAATGGACTTATCGAAACGGTTTGCCAACGTTAATCACATCGTTACTTCAAATGAACATTGTTGGCTATGGATTTATTCTTCCCGACATGATTGGCGGCAATGGCTACAAAGGAGCACCTTCTGAGGAACTGTTCCTTCGATGGCTTCAAGCAAACGTGTTTATGCCAAGTTTGCAGTATTCGTACGTGCCATGGGATTACTCAGAAGAAGCAATCAAAATCAGTAAAAAGTTCACTAACTTGCATGCCCAATACACCGATGACATCATGGCCGCTTTCGAAAAAGCAGTCATATCTGGCGAACCAGTAAATCCTCCAATCTGGTAATACTTCAATTTGAAATGATTCACTTTTGTTTGTTCAACTGCAATTGACTTTACTCAACTAATGTGTGACATAAAAATGTTACAGGTGGATCGATCCAAAAGATAAAGTTGCATTGGGCATCAGTGACGGTGAGTATTTTGCTTTTGCTTTATTGACAATTTTTGTTTCAACCTTTGATTTTTTTTTTAACATTTAATTCAATCTGATGCTATCATTGTTTCAAATTTTTCAGAGTTCCTCTTAGGAGATCGCATTTTGGCTGCACCAGTAATAAACAAAGGTGAAGATTTCCGTGACGTTTACTTGCCCAAAGGAAATTGGTTTGATCCAAACCAGAATAAAACGCATGCCGGACCAATTTGGTTGATGGAATATCCAGCTCCGATTGATGTTTTACCATACTTTATTCGAGAAAAACCATAAGAACAAGAAACAAAATTGTTATACTATTTTCCATTGTTTCAATATGACCAAATTTAAAAGAAACCAAATGAAAAACGAACAAAATAACAAGCCAAAATTAGTATTTGAATAAAAAAAAAGTATTTGAAACTCAAATTTAAAAAAATCTTTGATGAGTATATTAATCGAAGGCTTATCGAAACAAATATTCGATTCGAAACAAAACGAATGACCAAGAGATCATTTGCTTTAAAACGAATGCAAATTAGTGCGAATAACGATGAGGAGAGGGGAGTTCAGCGACACACAAATTCTTATCATCTTCGACCGGTTTGACTTGATATGACAGATTTCATTATCTTTTTCTCGAACTAGTTCGGACACAGCTGTGTCTCTTATTATTCCATTTGATATCAATCAAGTGTTGGCATTTATCGGGCATGAAAAAAAGTGTCAAAATATGTTTTTTATTCTATCAAAATGTTTAGAATTGAAAAAAAATTATTTTAATGTTTTTCGATTCGAAGGTCACCTTTTCCATTCTTCAATCTCATATTTTTAGCTCTGTTTCAGTTCAATAGAGATGGTCAATAAAACCTGAGTGCTGATAACAAATCAAGTGAAATTTTCTAATATAAGTGGCTTCTTTTCTGGAAACACTTCACTAATTAGCTATCAATGTCACAACATGAAGTGTATTTGGTTCACTCTGGCCTTGTGTTATTTGACACAATCGAAAGTCTCTTAGCAGTATCCGTAATTTTCTATTCAATGTTGAAAATTCGAAGGAAGGTTCATCATATAATGTGATTAAATTCGGGCGAAATTTGAAACAAGTGTATTTGGATGATGAGTTTATACGAAACTTTTCATTGACTGAGCCTGACAACGGTTTCACTCTGTACGGTTATGGACGGCATATCGAATTCAGCATACTGCAAGACACTGAAAACTTTACATTGTTGAAAGTGTCTAGAGTTTTGAGTGCAACGCAACAAAGATCCGATTGTTTCGCATTGCTAACCGGAGACGTGCATTGGTATGGTGGGCCTCAAGTTGATGTGCAATATTTTCCCATTGCGAAAACTCAATTCGAAGATCTGCCATTAGTTTCGAAACTCAAGTACAATGCCGTTGTGGCGTAACGTTATTGGCTGAATTCCAAGGGAGCTTTTATTTATATTGACGACAAGGCGCCGTTGTTTCTAAATCAGAATGTGCATGGAAACACAATGTGTTTTGTCATAAAAAAATGAATTGCCGTATAATACCCGAAGAAAATCGATACAGTTTGACTATTACTTGGGCTTTGTAGCCGATGCAAAACAGGCGCAAAGAAAAGCTGTGCAACACTTTAAAAAAAACCAAAAGTAATTCCCGATCTTCGAATGGTTGAACATCCTATTCAACCAGTGAATGAGCCTATTTGGTGGCTTGATCTTTTGGATGAAGTTGCGTTGGGCATAGGCTACGGTAAGCTTATTCTTAGTGAACAAAAAATGAAATTGATTTTTCTTAATGTTTCCATTTGAATATTTCTAGAGTTCCATTTAAGCGATAATATACTCTCGGCACCAGTAGTGACCGTGGGCGCTGTGTCTCGTAATGTTTATTTACCAAAAGGCAAACGGTTTGATCAAAATTTGAATGGAACACACATAGGTCCCAGATGGCTAATGGACTATTCAGCTCCATTGGATGTGTTACCGTATTTCGTTCGACAAATTTGAAGAAAAAAATGCTTATTGCTCAATAACAAAATAGTAGCGAGTTTAATTTCGCGTGATAAGAAAGAATATTGATAACAGCATGCACATATAAACATCAACAACGTTCAATAATAAACGTTGGCTGCATTCGTATAAAAAAGGTGTAGACATGAAGAAATAAAACCCTTCAAACGAGACACCATTGGTTGCTCAATTTGTGTAATGTTTTTTTTTTTGTTCTCTCAATATAGATGTATTCAGTGCTATCTGGAAACTGTTAATAAATGGTAAATTATAGCGATGACAACGATTTGTGGGTTTGTAAAAGTAATAGAAAAAAAACAAAGTGGCAATGACTTATATTTCAGCGAGGGAGTTGCCTAATGTCTACGGCAAATGCAGTTGCAAACTTAATCGTTGAAACCGTTGTGCAGCGACACCGTTCAAAGTGTTGCATTTAGTCTAATCCGTGCCAAATGTCAAAATATTGAAAAGAAGAAAAAACGAAACAAGATAAAAAGAAGGGATCTGTCAAACGCGTTCACTCACACAAGCACACCGACGGCGAACCCATGATGAACATTTCGGAAAGAATGAGAGAGCAAGAGAAAGAGAGAGAGCCGTCTAATTGGATATTTATGTGAGCGTTTTGTTCATTTCATGAGCCAAGGAAACCATATGCACCACCAGATGTATGAGTCATTGCGCGTTAAACTAGTCTTACTCTCACTGAAACACGCAGCACCATTACATTGGTGTTGGTGTGATTAGTTTAACTCTTTTGAAGTGAGAGAATTTCTTCGTTGATAATTTCTTTTTGTATTTCAACTTGCGAATGAATTTGAAAAAAAAAATTTAACCTAAAAAAATTTGGAATTATAATACCAAAATATTTATTAATATTTTTATGATTTTGTAAGTATTTCCACATTCAATACATGAATGAATGCTCCCAAAATGAACCGCTCTGCAATTCGTCGTCTTCGGTTCGATTCTCTCTCATACACATGCTCCGCATCTGCCTCGCATTCAACAGCAGTTAATCATGTATACACACATATATATGTGTGAGCTTGTGATTTAGATGTAAGTTGCATCGGGCACGACTAACGGCTCACACTGAACTTACTCTCTCTCTCTCTCTCTCTCTTTTCAGTCACACACACACACTCACACATACATACTTACGATACAGCGTACGAAAGAAGCCACCATACGAAATCATTTCATACGTACGCGAACATAAAACAATTTGCGTCCGCCCAAAACGACACACAGAAGGCGAACTACATATTAAAAACTCTCTCGCTCTCGACACAAAAACTCTGGCAGACATATTCTTTTCATTTTTCTTTTTCTTTTTTTAGTTAGTTCAAATTGATTTCAAGTGTGTGAAATTTGATTTTATTGTGAAAAGTGAAAATACATTTAAGACAATTCCATAAGAAGTAAAAGAGAAAAAAAATCCACGGGAAAAAAATTGTTCGAACATGTAGTGTGAATGCTCACTAATCAATTCGCACAAGGAACAAGGAAAATTGTGTGAGCATACATATATAATACTGTAGAGAAGAAAAAAAAACGACGAGTAAGAAGAAGAAGAAATTTACAAAGAACGAGTATCAAATGGAAAGATAAACTTCAATCGGACCACATTGTTAAAAGGAAAAGAAAAAAAACTAAATAAATAACAGAAACGAATATGGATAATGTTGGAAATTCAAGTGTTTTGTGTAAAAATGGTGGCTACGCCGAGAAAGTGAAGTAAAACTTTAGTTTGTACATTCTTTTCCGACCGAAAAGAAGAGCGAAAAAAAACCTTCAACGTTGAGCTGAATATTACATTAATTGTGAGCTAAGGAAAAAAAAATTAGCCACAAACACACCGAAACTTGTAAAGTGTACGTATTTTTATACAAAAAATTTCATAAGCATCAAAACGAAAAATGACATAGTATACACGAGACAGACGAGACCAGGAGGACGACGTACCATGGAAAATAAAATCGATGAGTGTTTCAAGACAAAATATTTTGAGGAAAAAAAGCAATTGAGAAAAAGAGAGAATGCTCAGTCGTGGCGTGAGGTCGTTTTACTTGGAGACTACAATTCGATTTCTTGATCGTATACATACAGAAAAAAAAAAACAAATCGCTTGGCATACATTTGTTAAATGGATTAATCGCTCTAATTTGGGCGAAGAAAAAAAAACACACATAAAAAGTGTGTAATGATTTTGTCCAGCCATTAGCCAACAAACAGTGGACGCAAAACGATTTTGTCAACCATTTTAACTGTTTCAATATGACACTTCATGTCAACCTATCTAATTACGGCCCAAAATTTTATCGTTACAACACACACATACACGACCTTAAATTTATGTTTTATTGTCGAGAGAGTCGAGATTGAAAAAAAAGCGAACAAGAAAAGGGATAAAACCAACGACAACGACAACGACGACGACAACAACAATAACAGAAGCAATAACAACAATAAAGTCGGCAACGAAATTAAAACGTTACGAGTTTTGAGTGTGTCGAATATATATAACTCCATCTTACACACAGACACTGTTTCTAGCGTGAAAAATCCATTCTTCATGTGAATATTGTTGTACGTTGCTTCGATTTTGGCTTCTTTTTATTCTGTGCTGATGGTTGTCTCTATCCCACTCTCGCTCTCCCCATCTTTCTTCAGGTTTTTCGAGCGATTTGGTTTATATCGTGTCTAAATCACGTAAACATTCGATCGAATTACCGATGTGGAAAATCAACATATATCCACCGAAAATGAAAATTTTATTCACGACAAAAGACAAGAAACACGACACCACTGTACAGTGTACACAGTACATACATATTTGAGTAAATATAAAAATTGGTGGAATTTATCGAGAGAGTGAGAGAATAAAAACGAGTTCCACACGATTTTCACCCAATTGCAGCCCACTTGAACAGTAAGCAAAAGTCACAGTTTTTTTTGTTTGGCTACTGCATGTATTGCCAACCGAGAAAAAAAAACTCCATTAACGAAAACAATTGCCCTGTGTGTGCGGTATGGTTCTTTTTTTCCTCAATTCTCCGTGTGTTTTTTTTCGCTTGGGCTCGTATTTCTTCGTCTGGTGAAACATTCATTCTGAAACATTCTCCTTGTTTTGTGACGAGTCGTATCATCACCATCTCTTTTTTCTGTTCACAGTTTCGAAATCTGCGACAAATGAAAAGAAATCCGTCGGCAAATCGTTTCATCTCAAATGTTGACTAAAATAACAAGATTGCGAATCGATGAAGCAATAAAATCGAATAGAGAAATAAAAACACATAAACCATAGTTCATTCGTAAGCATTGTATTGATTCCTGAATTTCTAACATTTCTCTGTCGATTCCGCATTCGTTTCGCATTACATTAGAATTTATGCAAATGTGAATCAACTTCAAATCTTTTTCAACTGCTTTAATTGTTCGTATTTTCTTTTTTCGAAACTTGTATTTGAATACCGAGCATTGGAAATGTGTTGCTGTTTCTTTTTTTCATTTTATTTTGATAAAATTTCATCTTAGAATTGGAAGCCATGTATGATTATAAAACTTGGTCTCGGTAATAATAATCATCGTGAAACAATGTAATGATGCAAACGTTTGTCTTCTACATTTTGGTCAAAACACACGTCACTCGGTGTTGATTTGGTTGCTTTGCTCTACTTGCACTCATTAAAGCTAAAAAGTAATGGTTTTTTACGCTACAAATGTGCCGTATTGGGTCTAGCGCTTCAACATTTTCTCTCTGTCTGAGTTGAATCGCGTTAGTGTCGCCTATGGTATGTGCCGGCAAAATACATCACATAAACAACCGAAGCGATAGCAGAAATCGTCTGAAGATACAAAAAAAAAAGAGTATTCAATTTGTTGAAATAATTACATTAAATGCTATCATTTTTGTGTGATTTTTCTCTTCTCTTCTGCTCGCGTTCATAAACCGTTCCACTTCACATCGCATCAGCGATCCGCTCACACAAACACACACTCACATACGTCATACATTCAACAAACATAGCGCGCACGAGTGTGTACGCGAGCGCGTTGAAAAGCCGTTCTTCAAGCAATCTAACCGATTGAAAAATACAAATTTGTATCAAGCAAGATGCGGATGCTACAGTAATCCACACCGTTTTATTACTCGGTTCGTGTGTTGTTGTTTATTGGCGCATCTGAACGCTTTCCGTCGTTAAATGTAATTACATCGAAGTGACATAACAAGCAAAGTACGTAGAGCGAAAGACAAAAGCGGCTCTACTATCAAGTCTTCGTACCAATGCTCTGAACATGAATTGATTGCGTTGGCTGAAGAATACGTGAAGGTTGATGTTCAAGATGGCATCAAAGATACAAACAAAACTTTAAGAAGAAGAAGAAGAAAAAAGAAAAAAAGAGATGCGACAATTTACGAAGCGAATAACAAAAAAGACAGATACAATGTGCACACAGTGACATACATTAAGGGTCATTTTCAGAACCATTTTATGCGTAAACAAAACGAAGAAGAAGAAAAAACAACGGTTTAATTGCGTTGATAAACGTCTTCAACACTTTATGCGACTTGATAGCGCACAAGTCGTCAAAACGGCGACGATTGCAGCAGTTAAAACTTCAGTTGTTTGCTCTCGATTTGTTGTTGCTGCTGTGGCCTTTTCATGATAATCTAGCGAAATTGGATATATTGTCGTTGGCCATTCATTTTCTTGATCATTTCATTTCGGTGTGATTCATTTGTTTCCGCGTCGCTTCATGAACGTCAGTCAGTTTCATAATGTCAGTGCCTGATTTTTCCGATATACATTCGAATGGCCTGCTTTTTCCGGATTAACATCACATCGATTCAAATAATGTAAATTACCGACAATGACAAAGCACACACATACTCACACCAAGCTTATTTTGCTTCAATTTTCGATTTGAATCAATGTAAATAAGCAGCGAATTAAGTGTTTCCAGTTAAAACTGGAGCTATTGTACCTAAATAATAATAATAAGAAGAAAAAAAAATAACAACAAATACTCATATCATCATGCGCCCGAGAGAGACAAAGCAAAAATATTCTCTAATTCAATGACGCACGCTAACGTCTACCTTTAGCCAGTTAGTGAGTTGATTCGTGTGTTTTGATCACTTACAAAATTGAACACACGGTTTCACTGTTGGCTAAAGTGAACGTCTCTCTGTGTGTGTATGTCGACCGGCATTTCCAATCGTACCGAAACCGATGTGTATGCGTGCGCTCAACAAGCCGTAAGAGAAGTAGACAAAGACATAGAGAAAGAAATAGAGATGCCGTCACCAAGATCTAGCAAGTGGAAGGGGATCCGTTTATTTCTTTTCAGTTGCTGCAATGACTATTTTGTATTGAATACGAAACAGTTTTCGAGCCAATTCAATTAGCAAGCAGAAATGAAATAAAACATACACGGAAAATTAGATCGAATACACAATATTGACGCAACAAAAAAAAAACACAATTCGAGACGAAAAATATACGTGTGATTGTATCGAAAACAGGAATTCAATTTTCAACGTTTCGAGCCACAATTTAATAATAGTCAAACATAAGATAATGACGGATAAATTTAAATGAATTCATCACTGGCAATTTATTTGCGTCCATGAAACGTTTTATTTATATGTCATTTGTGCATGAATCGGTGAGTTGATGCTGAAATGCGATTTTGTGTTGGTTCTTTTTTTTTCTCTTCATTTTTCGTTCATTTTGTATGACTATTTCAAGCGTTTACCCTCAAAAAAATCGAGAAACGGAACAAACATGAAAATGGTAACCGGTTTTGCACACCGAACGGTTGTGTATTATGAATTATTATATACAAGTATATCGATTTTTGCAATGCTAGCTCGATGCGTTGTGTGCTCTCCTTTGCTCTGTATGTCACATACACTATTTCCACCAATTTTTGGCCTCTTCGCTTTGCATTCGATCGATCAATGCAAATATACAGAAAACCGCACCGATTAAACACACAGAAAAAAAAACAACAATTTTCGCCAAAATAGTCATTATACCAAATTATTGCGATTTATTGTTGATTTCAACGTTTTGAATGGGGCTATGGAATGATAATTTCGGTGGTGTAAGTTATTCATAAAATACCAAATAATTTTGTTTGGAAATTGTTTTGGAGCCCTCTCTCATTGTTCATTGGCATTTGCGAAGTCAAATCCAAGTACACACACAAAGCCACAACACACCACACGAAACTACTTCAATTGAGGCACAAACGCTCCGAAGACTCCGAAGAATTGTGTTTTTGTTGCGAGCAAAAGTTTTTGGTGCCACACAGCCACAGGCGAAAATATTCATGGCATTTTCCAACTGAACTACCGACTATTATTCCATTATCCATGTGGAATTATCTGCACACACGAAAAAAAAAACCGAGAGATTCATTCACTCAACCGCCGAGAATAAGACAAGAGCCAAACAAAAACCGACCCATTCACACCATATCACGCACAATGGGAATTTGCTGTTTGGCTGAAACTTATCAATGCAGTACTTTTGCCACAACAAAGACACAGCGCACCCCGATAACGCAACACATGGATATAATGTTAATAAAGTAACTGGCGTAATGTGCTCTTTTTTATGGCATTTCGCTTTTATTCTTTGCTTTTCATATATTTTTTTGTTGTTGTTGCAATTATGCTCCATATATATATATTTAATTATCATTTCATTCAAATCGTATCGAGCAAAAACTTGGCTGCCTTTGTTGCTTCAGTTCAAAATCTTCCGTTGTTTGCATTTGGCTTGGAGCGAACGCCAACCACACACTCATTCGTATGACAATTTTATATCCCATTTGCGTGTGCTGACTACTCAACTGGCGTCCATTCAGAGAGCATTGTTACTAAACTTACAGATAGTCACACACACACACACACACACTAGATTCGGATTTATCTTATCATATTTCAGATTTTTCGATCATATTGCGCTCGTTTCGCTGATGGTTTTTTTGCGTTGTACGTGTGTCATAATCATACGCCTTGGCGTATGATAAAGCGAAATTTTCTTCTCTTAAAAAAATATCAAGTAATTATTTGGCTTCAGAGATTTGTCTGTGCTACAATTGTCTGTGCTATCGAATGTGACAGAAAAAAAGTTATTTGCAAAAAAGAATTCGTAAAAAAATGTGTACATGGTTTTGTGTCCGTGGAATGTCATTGGAAGTGTTTATATGTGTTTGATTTTTTTCGTGTACGGTAAATTGAACATCTTTTGGGGAAAAAACAAAAACACAATCCGTCATCTTATTCCATTGAAGCCTGTCGACCGTAGGCAGAAGACCTCCTCGTTTCATAAATGGCATTTTGTACAAAATAACAACATAATGCACAGAGTAGTATACACTCTTGGTACGGAAGTACTTTTGTCGCCTATTTTATGCTAATAGGCTTGTGTCCGGACCATCGAGCGCCCGCATGCATATAGCTTTTGATCGATTTTTTGTCGAAGCACACTGTAAATCCACGAAATGTGTTGAATACACACATTCAGTCGCATCGCTCACGAATGAGTAGTTATCGGTTAAAATGAGCATCAAGTCATTCAGTTGTTCTTAAATAACCTCAGCACAAAATATCGATTTCGTAGGTATACTTACCTGTTTCAATCGAGAGAGTGAAAAAAAAGATGAACAAAATCATCGAGCGCTGGTCTGGAAGGCCTATCGATTATCAATACAAGCAAATGGCAAATATGTCCATCATCTCGTTTTTTTTTTACTAAGTTAATGGACTATGATTCATGTTTAAACACACAAACACACGAATTAATCACACAGAAGGATCTTACACACACAACTCTCTCTGTGTCTCTCTCTCTCTTCCTCATATACATTTGTACGCTCGCTGCTCGAGTATAGATCTCATACAACGTTGGTTTGGCGTTGATGCGAATAACTCTGCACTACGAAAATAACACTGAAAAGAAATAAAAATATTTCCGTTTTCTTTGGAATTGGCACCAGTTGTCTCGAATGTGTTGAGGCGTACGGATCGCCCTCTGCTTGATGCATATATGTGTGCTTTCCGTTCGTCTGTTCAGTCTCTGCGTTTCTTCTTCTGCTGCTTTTCTGTAATGTGTTCGCCTTTCTTGCTAAACGAGCGAGCGAGCGAGAGAGAGAGAGAGAATAAATAAACAACAAAAAGGGAATAGAAGCCAGTCGATTGTTTTGATCGAACGACAGCCGTTGACTAGATGCATTACGAATACATATATATCGGGTCATTGATGTGCTTAAGTTAAAAAAGATGTTTCGCACAACTGTGCTGCTGTATCAAAGAAAAGTAGATAATTAAAGCGCAAAGCAGCAGCACCTCCATCAGCAGCACCAGCCAAACAAAACGGAATGATACGTCCCTGTTTTTTTCTCTCACTTCGTGAGTGTGTGTATGTATATGTGGATGAATTATTGGACAGTTTTTATTAGTTTCGTTCGGTTGCGTGTTGTTGCCTGTTTTTGCATGCGCAGTTTATGTCGCGAGACCAACTCTTGGCTGATAGCTCATCGCACAAAAATCCAATAATAACAAGTAAAAGGCCATTTTTCCCATTGAGCATGTGTTGTTCTCTCATTGACCGAAACCATACAAATTGATTTGAAAATATACGTGTCTTTTTGGCTCGCAAAAAGAAAGCAATTTAAGAAAAATAACAAACCGAACAAATTTTTTTATTTTCTACCTGTTTCTGTCATAGTTAATAGCCATATTAATTAATGCAAAAACGATAAGAGAGAGAGAGAAGAAAAAAAATTCAGCAAACATTCTCTGCGGTGCTAATTGTTTTATTTTTCTCTGATTTGTTCCTCATATTCTTTTGTTCCAGTCGGTGTGCAGAAGAAACAGCTCTAAACAATCACAGACCGTGTGCAGAAAACGTAGAGGCGAAAAGAACGGCGACGCAAAATCAACGAAAGAATCGTACAAACACAGAAATAAAGTCCATTAGACCGATTTAAACGTATCGACCTTATCCAGAGAAAAGAAGAAAAAACAACAAGGAGAAGATAACAAAAAAACATAACGTTTGAATGGAAAGTCAACAAGTCGTACCATTGTTTCGACGCGAATCAATCGAACTGTCAATGTGCGACCGTTGTATTGCAAACATTTGGTGAAAAGAGCCATCCGAGTGAATAACAGTGAATTAACGGGGAAAAAAAGAAAAAAAGAAGCAACGAAAAATTCCACATATAAAGGAAATATCAAGCGGGAAAAAAACACGCAGTAGCGGAAATTGTTTTAGTGTTTATTGTTTGCAAAACTAAAAGCAGAGAGAGAAAGAGAACCAGAACGGCAACGGTGATGGCGTCTTATATTTACAGTTGGACAATACGATAAAATTTACGGTGTCGGCTTTCGATGGTTTCTAAGCGTGTGCGTGTGTGTGCCGTTTCTATATGTGTGTGGTATATTCTATGTGTGTGATTTGGTGCCGTTGCAGTTTTGGTCTCGAGCCGAATTAGAGATTCGTCGCGAGTTTTCGATTGTCCCACAAAGAACAACAACAACAACAGATACCTAAAGAGATCGAGGGAGAGAAAGAGTGAGTGCGACAGAGAGAGAGAGAGAGAGAGAGAGTGAGAGAAAAGGATCGAAATCGAGCAAAACGCCAGCCAGAATTTAGTCATTCAGTCAACAAATTGGATCTGTATGTATACAGATAACATACCATTCGGCAGCACGAATTTATACCGCGATCGCGAAATGAGTCGACAAACAAGGTAATTTCCATGTTCACACATCCACTGTTTTCTGTTCATTTTGTTTTTATTTTCATTTATTAACCAAATTGCTTAGTGCACCATTAACTGTCCGGTGTCTATATTTATAATAATGGCTGCAAATGGCTGTGCAAATTGAATGTAATTCTAATGTGTTTCTTCACCTCAACAATTCGAGCGCAATTATTTGTGTGTGCGGTTTCTATCTTTGGCATGCATCCGGTCAATCGCATTGAAACTGTTTGGTATTTCTACTATGTCGAGCCGTATCGTGGTTTGGCTAATATGCTTTTTTTTTCCTCTTCTTTTTCAATTGTTGTAGTTTAAATGCCACTTTTGACATTGGACTTTGCGTCACAGTGTGTTGTTTGTTTGTGTTGTGGTTCATGTGCATATGACACATTTTAAATTTAACCCAATTTCAAAGAGGGCTCATCTATCAAGTCTAATATGAGCGACAGTGTGCTTGATTTAATTCAATTGCAAGCACGTCATCAATCGTTGCCTCGATTTGGTGTGCACATTGTTATTGTTTGCGCTTTCGTGTTTGTGTGTTGTTTTGTATGGTCGCGAGCGTCGCTGAAATTTGCACACAACGTGCTCGCCATCATTCAATGTGGTTGATCACCGCCATACGCGCGCCTTTCATAATAATAATAATGTATATGCCACATATCGCCAAGCACTTGTCGATGAAATGAGAAATCCCCAACCGATGGGTGATTCATATATTTGACAAACAAATTGCGTCAATGATAATATCAATGCAGGAAAAAACAGATGCATACGAAGAAGGAAAGAAAAAAAGAGCAACATCAATTTATTCCATTTTTCTGAAGTTTATTTGATATCCACGTGATTTGCAGCACATGAACACACCCTGTTTCGTGAATAAACATTTTTCATTTCAATTAGAATATTTTGTGTTTTACATAAGTCTGTTTCGACAAAACTGAATGCAAGCAAAGCGAAGACAATGCGCGAGAAATGCTTGTTCACAAGCAAAACTCTCAATAGCTAAAGGCCCCGTACGAATATTTGAATGGCTTGAGAATGCGAGAATTTGATCTGTTAGCAGCGCATTGAGAATTTATACGCTTTAATTTGAATATGCGCTGCATACATTGTGTGTATGTCGATACATGTGTAATGAATGATGTACATGTCTTACGCCAATGCGAAGAAGCAGCAGCAACAGCAGCAGCAGTGGGAGCACAAGTGCAATAGAAACACAGAGATAGAAAGAGAACGAAGCATTTACATAAAAACGCTCACCTTCAATCAACGAATTATTTAGCACTTGAAATGTATTCGGAATGTCGCTATTACATTGCCATCAGTAATGTACTCCAGTAACTTCGGCGAGATCGTGCGCATACATAAGCACGGAATTTTCGAATGTTTCACCGTCATTTATCACACATCACAGACATTGAAATCGAAGTGAAAGAGAAAAAAAAACACACACACTTAGTCGAATACTAAATAGAGAGCTAACGAATTAATAATAATGAAGAACATGTGCGCAGTTCGATGTGACCAACGAATGTCTTATAGTCGCGTGTTTCTACCGCATACACGAGCTGCGCCTCTCATCTAGCTCGCTCACCAGCCCATATATATTCCAGTCTGGCAAAGGAGCAAGCAAACGAACGCCCGTTCCTCTCACACCATTGCAATCCATCCGAGTACTGAACAAATAACTCCAATAACAAGGAATATTGATCGCATAAAACTGGTCACATTATGCATCTGCTTATGAATACACCATTGTGTACACCGAACCGAACTGAACCGAAAAGACACCACCAACAAAGATATATAAAAATAGTTGGTATTTATGACGGTGTGTATTACAAAGTACACACCAATGGGGAAAAGAAAATCAAATGAGCAGCAAGCGGCAGCTGATTTGTCGAAGTGAACAATGCTTCGATTTCGATGTGTCTTCAGTTGGAATTGTTTTGTGGCGTGGATAACAGCGCGTGCTTCATGTTCGAATCAAAAAAGGCAACGAAAATGTGTTGAAAACTAATATATCGAATCGAAATCAGCTCTACACAATAAAAAGGGAAATTGCTTGTTTCACTTGCGTACGCAACTGAACAAATTGAATGAAAATAGAAAAAAAAACTGAAAATAATACGCGTGTTTCAATTCTTATTGTGCTTTATTCATTGGCTCGGGTACAAAAAAAATCATAACAAAAATTATTGAAAGTATTTATGAGGTTGTAATTTTTTGGAATTCGAATATAAGCTAGTCGTTGCTTTGATTCATGTATTCCCCCCTTCGAAAGAAGAAAAGAAAATCAACTTACACACACACACACACACACACAACTAATCCAATTTTATTTTTTTTTCGGTCGCTGTCGTAACGTTCGTCAATCAACGATGGATTAAATATAATTGAATGATTCATTATTTATTTGGTAGAAAAAAAAAGGTCCCCGAAGACCTTTGTCATTAATTGTGATTCATGAATCCAGTGGATTCTGTGTGGTCGATAAAATTCAACCATTTTTCCTACAAGTACGAAAAATCAAAAGCGATAAAGAATCCAATAATTCCACGCAACGGTGGGAAAGTTGAACGAGTGTGGTCAAGGTGTTATGTTTATTTTACGGATGAAATAATTAAATTTTCATGCGATGTACAAGAAAAACTCATCAATCCATTAATAGTGTACCGAGTCGTTTCGGTGAATTGAAGTGAATATCAAGCGCACACATCAATTCGGTTTTAGTTGCTAACGCCGAAGAAGTGGAAGAAGAAAACAGCCAAGCGTATATACGTAATATACGTTTTTCTACTTGTTGTTCATTTTCTTACCTCTGGCATGGTTTTATCTCCACTTGAATGTATTGTTCTTAGCTCGCGTATCTCTTGTGTACTCTTGAGATGTGTTAACGGTTAACGTACTGCGAAAAAAAAATCGTGATGTATTTAATGCGAGTGCCTGAATTAAGGTGGATAACAATTGAAGCGCAATCGAATTTTCTCTCTGCATCCGTCGCAACTCTTCGTCACTTCAACAGCAAACGAGATGGGTTTCATCATCAAGTGCAATGAGTTCCGAATTGAAGTTTGTACAAAACACACATAAGTCTCTCAATTCGCCTCTATTGACCTGTTTCCGGTCTGTTACCATTGAATGGCAATCGCATATCGATTTGAATGGAAAATTGAAAGTGAACGATGACAACAGAGCGTATCGTCCATCGGCAAACACAAATTCTCAAATTGAAATCGGAAATGAAAGCGGAGTGTGCTCATTTTTGATATTGAATTGAAGTCAAGTTTGTTAAAATGAAAACTAAATTGAAAATGTAATGGGATTTTTCCCCGAATACTTGGAAAATCTGCCATTACTTTGGCCTTCGACTCATCATCGTAATTTAATAAACGTGTCACAACACACAAACACAAACCGACCAACCGACCGACCGACCGAATGTTACAATGAATGATGATGAATGAAAGAGAGAAAAAACATCGATAAAACGTTTTAGCTCATTGTTTTTTTTTCTCCATTGAATTGAAGAAAATTGATGTGATTTGTGCCTCTTGGCTGGATCGATCATATGAATTTCATCACAAAACGTTTACACAAAGTTTCGCCCATCGATTCTGTGTAGGTACCCCACACGAACTTAGCTCGCACATACAATAACACATCTCGCTCCATCTGACTCTGCTGGCAATAATAGTTTCTTTCCACTTATTTATATTCATAGATGATACAAATATTATGTTTATTTTATATCACAAATGACGTCATAGATTCGCACAATTGAAAGTAAAATCGGGATTCGACGCAAGTGAATGATTTCTGTTTTGATTTTCTTCATTTCGTTATTAATCCTGCTAACGTAGGCACACAATAAATCCACATAAACGACAATTTAATTGGAAATCTATTTTTATCATATAAATAATTGAAAGTGTATAGTTGAAATGTTCGTCTCTATGGTGTGTCTTTTGTTAGTGTAGTGAATGCGTTTTTGTTGTTATTGGTGATGTTTTTTTTCGGTTCTCTGTGTTTGTCTCTTTTTTTCTGCGTCTACCCCTCATTGTTGTCATGAGCTGTCGCATGTTTGATGACGTTAACATTTATAGTTTTAAACTGAAATTGATGTGACTTCTGAATAAGCGGCTTATCGTGTACATCAATCGATGAGATACCTTTGAAGCTCCAATGCTGAACGCTACATTGAACTGAACGAACAAAAAACTGAAACAAAAAATATCGGTTTTTATGTTAATTGAATAACAGCGGAATACCGATCCGTCTTTTTGAATGTCACAAACAATGTAACACCTATAATGATATTTTGTGCTCAACGAAACGAAAGAGAGAGAGAGAGAGAGAGAGAGAGAGAAAAAAAGAAATTCATAAGCCTTATGATATTTAATGATTGTCGTCGTCATCATTGTCGTTGTCGCGACTGACCCGAATTTTTATGAACTGTTTCATTCCGTTTATTCATTAGAGTGATTGATTTTGTGTTCCGCTGTTCTCATTACATAAAATCTCGAAATTAATTGGAATTTTATTGGCATTGTGTGCCGAATGTAAAGCGTAAAAATGAGGTAAAGAAGAAAAAAAAGCTCAAATCACTTTGCAATAAATCATTCGAACGACAGAAAATCACCGAAAAGGGGTGAAAACAAACGCCATCTAATCTGGCTTCTGATTTTGCATTCAATACCGCTTCCGACGATGTGCTCCCCACTGATGATGTGGAGGGTGTGTTTGCGAAATTTCGCTTTCGCATTGAATATATGCTTATCAGGTTTATGGTGCAAAATCAATATTCATAAGGAACGCGGGCAAAATCAGTGGAAAGAAAACAGCCGCTTTTCCACTTTCCGTGAATACATTGTAATGCTGACAGCCATAGTATCGTTCTATTTTCGGCACGCTCAATACATAAACAAAAATAAAACCATACGTTATAAAAAAGGGTCTTGTGTGTAAGCGTCATTTTTCAGTGGATGAGAGCGAACGAGTGAGAGAGAGAGAGGAAGAGCAAGGGCAAGAGAAATAGAATATAACGATAAGCACCATAAACGCATTTTCCCAGCAAAAACACAAGCATACTTAAGCCGCATACACCATTTTAGCCTTTAGTTATTAAATAATATTGTGTCATAGCTCATCACAAAAAAAATAACGCGGATTTATTATCAACAACGACGAACGCAGACGAACCAAATTATGGGAATGGGAACGGAAAATGGGTGCAGAAAAAAATGGATAACGGCAAAACAGAAAAAATATGCATGAATCGAACCGCGATGATACACCGAAAATAGACTCAAAAATATTACGCATTGTATTTTGACTGGTTTCATTATAATAATCTCGTTGAAATTGTTCCAAATGTCCCTTTTCATCGTATGATAATACCAATTGAACATCGCTTACTGAGCAAAACGCACCGACAGAAGAGAAAGAAAATGGAGCACAGGGAAAAAAGAGCCTTGTATGCGTCCCCGTGTACATTAATCCTTTGATCGTTGAGCAAACAATGATCCACTCGGAAGTGAATTGAATGGTTAGGTCTGCATGTTATTGAATACGTTGTTGCTCTCTTTGAAGGAAATAGCACGGTAATTTAAAAAAAAGTGTGCGTGAGTAGCAAGAGAGACCGTTGCGAATATTATAATCAATTGAAGTCACAGTGTATTTTCACATCATTTGCCAATAATTAAGCAAATACTTGAGCAAAGATTATTGTTATTATCATCATCATTATTACCGCTCGTTATTTATATATAGCCATCACAAGTGGAGCGACCAAAGTGCTTGTTGTTGGTGGTTGTATCCGACGAAGTACTTGCTATTGCTTCAATTTTTGCACGCAAATCGATTTTTGCCGCATCGCAACCCACTCGACCCAACTCGATTGGCTTGAGCCATCATCAACAGCCAATCGAAGGAAATACCACCTCGCAATGTTGGCCAACGAAGCAATTTTCACCTCGTTATATTGGTGCAAAGAAAAATTTCAATTCCATCACGAGACGATAATAATGAATTTGATGAAACGGAAGGTCAAACCAAGCGTAAAATTACCCGAAAATGAATTTATCGTCAGCATTTTCGGTCGGGGAAAACACAAATACTCTCTTTCTCTCTCTTTCACCCACACAAACACATAAACGCATACACAATCAGTCCAGCAAAATTCGCTTGGGACCAATTATTTATTAGGACTACGAAAAACCCATTAGAACAAATGGCACTAGTAATAGCAGCTTGCACGTTCCATCATCCTGGTTCCTCCAAACGAATTTATTACACGTTCGTTCTGTTCTTCGTATTCATGGCATGACTGGGAATAAATCAACCACACAACGATGCACACAGTTGTACTCAATCGATTTCATATTAACGTCACCGTATTTTGTGACAAGAAAATTTCAGTTTAATAACACAAATCGAATGCCAAAGTCCTTCTCTGGAGGTCAATCAAGCACAAATTATTATTAGCTTGCAACCCTCATGAATTTGGTGTAAATGTATTTTTTTTTTTTTGGTTTCGTTTTGTATTCGGTTCTGTTTTCTTGGACACATTGTGTGAACAATGTCACAATTTTGATTGATCTTACTCTGGCGCACACCCAATACGTTGCGCTTCCAAGATGTTTCCATTAAAAATTGAATGCTTAATGCATGTTCCAAATTCTTTTTATTTTACACGAATGCAATCGATTCGAAACTCGGGATCGAAATATTTTATTCGATTTAAAAACGGCAAAGGATACCAATTCGATTATCCAGAGCGTGAACAGCCTCTCTGATCGTCTGTACAAACAGATAGGAAATGTCAAACAAGAACAATAAAGCGACACCTGGAGACTGGTTGCAGAAATAGAGAATCATGCACATAGTTCGCTATAACAAGGACGCGTCGGTGTTAGTTTGAACATTAAAATTATGACACATTGCACTTAGTCTCCAGGCGGCGCTGTATTTTTTTTTACTATTTTCATGATCAGAAAGGCTGAGCGTAAAGATTTATATTCGACCAGTGGAAATCGCTTCTTATCCCATGATCAAAGTGCACATTGCCATTTGGACATTTTTCATTTTTCAAGTAGTTCAAACATTTTTTTGAGGATTTTCACACTCACACGTTTTTATTTTCATTCCATTTCAACGTGTTTCTTTTCTTCTCTCAAATGCAGCGGTGCGGCCGCGACCGGTGGTCGGACAGAGGTCATACTAACAAGTAGCGGAGGCGGTGGTACGAATACAGCTGGAGCAACAGCAAAGCCTTCAAGTGGATTGTATCCAGTGACTAGACATTCAGTCAACTCATCCGGAATGTTGATGGTTGGACCAAATTTTCGTGTGGGCAAGAAAATTGGTTGTGGCAATTTTGGTGAACTAAGACTAGGTAAGTAGAGAACAAATGAAATGCGATCGAATTTTCTCTCTCTGTTTATGTAAAATGCTACGTTTGCAACTTGTAAATTCAACTGAAATCGGGCTTTTTTATTCAACACGAAACAAAAACAAATGAACAATCGATAAAAACTGATAAATTGATCAATCGAATGACAAAAAAACAAAAGCAAATAAGCAAACAATGTACAATGAATTGGTTGATCATTGAACAACAGAAACAATAAGAATACTAAATCAGGGTACAATATTGACACTGGCTGATTGGCCAATGCAATCGATAATGGCTTGACCGGCTTTCGTTGATTGTGCTATGATAGCTGATAAGATGTCCACATTGCACTTAATGATATCCGATTGAATGGTGCTAATTGCTGCATTCGCTTCGACAACACGACGGCTCAGGTTGATCGGTAATAAAATGGCTCCACTTTTCATATTAAGCAATGCCTTCGGGGGATTGCGTGAAATGAAGAATTTTTTTTTATTTTATCCTCAAAACATATATAAACAATTACACACGCAGCACAAACATACCTTGGTCAAGCATGTGACTTTGGCAACAAGTCCAGCCACTGATGGAAATCCGACTGTAAATTGGCTGCATTCGGCTATCAATTGTGCACCACCGTTGATATCTTGAACGGCCGATCGAATATTATTTATGGCATTATCGACAATCGTTTTGCCTTCATTAAATTTATCGGTGATGCATTGGATGGCGGTATTTTTGGCCGTGCCTATCGCATCGCTAAATGAAAACTTATTCAGTTGGTAGCATTGACGTATACCAGATGATAAACTCAAACTTCGTTCGATACCGTTCAGCTGCACAAATTAACAACATTGATAGGATACACGTTTATAAATGCTGTTTACACCAAAGTTAAATGAAGAAAATGTCTTGAAAAAGGAAATGACAACGAAAAATCCAAATGAAAAATGGAGCGAATGAGGAGAGATTCTCTCGTCGCTATAAATGGATTTGATGCTGGTTGAACACTCTTCCAAGCATTACATGTTAAATGATTGCTATTTCACTGAATTCAGAAGCAATACACATATTTACATCGTTAAGTCCTTTTGATGCCAATACATTTGCAGTGAGCGTTTGTACGGTCTGTGCGATTTGCAATTGTTTCGCCGAATTTTCCACTTGATAAACACCATTTCGTGCCAATTGATTAGCTAAGTGCTGTTGCTCTCGTGAAACGGTTTGCACTTGATTTTCCAGCAAGCTTCTCCTTTGCTGTAGATTTTCCACTTCGCCAACAGCAAACTTTCAATTTCGGAAATAGAGAAGAAAACAAAAGTGCTAAACGAAAAATACATACAAACTTAAGAATATGATTCCTTTTACGTTCGCTCTTCCTTTCCCGTTGCGATTAACTCAGTTTTGCTGAGCCAATGTTTTGGGAAGTGATTTCTTTTTCTTTCTTTTCTTTTTCTGTTTGACTTTGACAAAGATTTCAGAAATAAAATACGATTTACCTGATATGATTGAAGCGAGAGAAAAATCAAGAGTACTCCGTAGAATTTCATCGTTTCGCCAGCGTTTTTAACAGCTAATGATTGCACAGAAAACCTCACAGTACAAAAGACTTGACTTTCACTTAAGGCAAAAGCGGTTTTTATAGTAAAACGTTTGAACGCAAATCCTCTATATATGCCACGGCTAACAATGAGCTTTGGCTTAGCACAGAAAAAAAAGAAAATAGTCCAATGACTAGAGAGCAAAGAAGAGCAGAAAAAAGTGAACATCAACTAAAATGATAACAATTTAACGGCAAAAACATTTTCCTATTTATTTATGGTAATTTTATATCTCATTTTTATGGAATTCATTGTGCCATTCACTTTGAATGTATCTCTCCCGTATTTATCTGCCGTTTAATGGATCCCTAAAATCGATATCGTTCCACAAAGAGATATATTTATTTATTTTGGCTAGAAGGCGATATAAATCTCCATCTCAATGCTCTCGTGTATGTGTGTATGTATGTTTGTGCCAGGGAAAAAATGAGATGAGAAAAAATCGCATTGCCAGCTCGTGCACAACCACAATAATCGATCGATATCCATACTTCGATGACGATGCATCGAAGGAAAAGAAATGTATATCGCCGCGGACAAGGTTAATTGGTTGTGCCATTTTAGATTGTCGTAAGCTCAATCTATCTTTGTGCTGTGCTGTGCTGTGCCGTGTATTTGTCAGGACGTTTTATTTTTTCTTTCCCCGAGATGAAATCCAATATCAACAGTGCTATTTCACGTCATAATCTGCGCTAGAAATTGAATTATCGCTGTGAAATATTCAATATTTTATGGTGAATAGCGATGGCAATGCGAGTCACCTGATTCGATTACGAGCTTGTGTGTCACACAATACGAATTTGCCTATAAGCATTGGCAGAGAGACGACACAGAGCGCGCGCGATATATCGTGTGCTAAAGTGAGAACAATGCAAACAGTAATTGTGTAATATGACCTGAGCACTGATAACGATTTCAACGGTGCGCATAAGCAAACGATCGTTAAATAACGTCACTTCTATTATAATAGTCATCATATCATCAGCACCACCACAAATATTATACGGTTTAGCGTTATCGCAAATTGTGATTCTCAAATGGTGAAAACTAGTGCGGCCTTATCTTGGGTCCTAATCTCGGAGCGAAAGACCGCAAAAATGTCATTGATTTTTTTTCGTTCGGGTTGATTTTTTTCTTCGATTGCATCGTTTTTTATTTCGGTTGATAGAATATATGGTTCGGCCAGATCTGTTCCAATTTCGTGTTTTGAAGCAAGGCCAAAGCAAATGGACACAAATTCAGAGAATATCCGATATCGCATATCGAAAAACTTAAACTTAAAAATCAATCGATATAATCCATGTACTAATGGTGTTTTACAATTTTATTTTCAGGCAAAAATCTCTACAACAATGAGCACGTAGCAATAAAAATGGAGCCAATGAAGTCAAAGGCTCCACAACTACATTTAGAGTATAGATTTTATAAATTATTAGGATCACACGGTAAGACAGCGTTGTGTAATTGTTTCCTAGTATTGTTGTAATATTATTGTTGTTGTTTTCCCGTTTGCGGCTCTCTCGAAACGTCAATTCAATCATCTAAAATTCTCGTTTTTTTCCGTCCCACTGGTGAACATTACATTTCTCTCGTTTGAAAGATGTTCCATGCCACAGTTCGTGCACTTATTGCGCGATGTATATTCAAACAAAAAATGTGTCTATTCCAATCAATTTCATGGCAAAAATCTCATACTAAAACTTGTACAGACGTCGAGCATTTAATTAAATTACTCTTAAGCCTAAAACTGAAATGGCATTTGTCATATGAACTTTCAATTTAATACATTTTTCTCTCTTCAAACAAAACAAAAAACCACGATGATAACACTGCAAATTGGCAATTGGCAATTGGCATAATGCAAATAATAAGCAGAGGGCATACCGCGTGTATATCATCTAGGCACATGCGGCGGACGCTACAATGCAATGGTATTAGAACTGTTGGGACCATCATTAGAAGATTTATTCAATTTATGTGGCAGAAAATTTTCACTGAAGACTGTGATAATGATAGCAAAGCAACTAGTAAGTTTTGGGTGTCGGCATCAGAACCAAACGAAATGAAAAAAAAAACATTAAATACAAAACGCAACCCCACATACACACAGAATAAAAATGTTGAAAAACAAAAACCAAAAAACATACGTAAAGCGTGAATTGCAATCACTTTGTACGTTTGTTCGCAACAAACCTATAAGGATGATTCATTTCAGAGCATCTGAATATTCTGTTTACTTGTACTTAGTCTCTTTATTTTGTTGTCTATCAAACGTTTATTTGTTTGGAATTTTTTTTTATATATCTGGTTTGGCGTGCATTCGATAGAGTTAACCGTAATGAGTTTGTGCTGTAGAACTAGTATATTTATCGAAATATTGAATGACGAATCTTCGTACGATGTTTGCTCGTATTTCTTCGAAATTGTGCAACAAACAAACAAACAAAAATGCTAACTAAGAAACAACAACACTGAAACGTATCATACTTTTGATGTTCTCCTCTGTTCCAATTATATTTTCGTTTGCCGTATTTGTTTGGCCCATTTATCTGGATTCAATGCGAAAATTTCCGGCGAAATCAATCGATCAAATTTATTTGTTTTCTGAGATAGATCCATGTGTACATTGCATATGTGCTCTTGTTTTTTCGAACTTCAGCAGATTTCAAGCCAATGATACGGATGAAGCATTGTTTTTTTAACAGTAGTTTTATACTTGCGCCGTCAAATCAACCAACGAATTTCTCATTAAACCAAACAATATTTCGATGAATTTAAAATAAATAACAAGGAAACGGAAAATTTATGTTTTAGCTAGTTGAAATGGAAGATTTTTTTCTGAAATTGATTTTTCTGTTGAACAAACCAAACAATTATGAATTGGCTGTTGTAATCGCATGATGATTATGCATCAAGTGGATTTATATTTCGATTGTATTCGTTTACGAAAATTTGGGAATGTTTTGTTCACTCCCCGGGAATACAACATAATTGTTTTTTTATGAGTTGATTTTTTTTGTATTGCTCCTGTTGATTTCTCATTTTTGACAATTGAAACTGTTTTTATATTAAATTCAATGGAAACAAAGACCAACACGAAAGCATATTGCATCAATTGCAATTTTATTTTATCAAACGGATTTTTGGCTAAATGGAATTTTTCAAAATCGATTATACATATTCGTCCGTAATCGAATCAATCAAATTTGATGGATCTAAACCGATAGCATTTAATTAATTTTTTTTTTGAAGTTGTATTGTATGTGTTTTATCCACTTTCGAATCGTTTGTCGCATTGTGATTTATGTGGAAGTTCTCACCAAAAAAAAACGAAACAAATCAAATCAAACAAACGTTGAGTGCATCGACAAAATTGATTATTTATCTGCTCATACGTACATGCGGAGAAAGAGAGATGACAATTCGTATACGACGAATTGTCACTCAAGCGCATTTGTTAAATATTCATATTCAAGTATGAAATGCGAACGTGATCGATAGGCAAATTAATTGATTGAAACGTTTGCGGTGCTTGTTACCATGCAACTAACAATTTAATTACGAACATCGTGAAATATTACACGTCACAGCATGCCTCAATGTACTCTCTCAATGTTGAAATTGCATTTTGTCATACAAATGCTGATAGATTTTGTAAACACCGATTTTGTTCTCTCTCTCTCTCTCTCTCTTTCTCTCTCATTCCCGCTGTATATTAGTATATCAAAGGGACAACTTGAAATATAAATCAAAATGTACGTCATTTTTAAATGGAAATTTTATGTGATAACACTTCTGCATGCTTCGGTTCATTAATTAGAAATAAATCCACTAAAGGTGGCAACAAATGATTATGTTAGATTATTGAGTTAGGGACACAAGTGTCCGAGATCCCAATGAAAGGAGTCAATGGAAATTTCACCAAAAAGTGTTCGTCCAATCGAGCCCAAAATCAAAGGCATTCATTAGGATATCCATCGGAATGTGGTGGTTGGAGCCGCATTATTCAAATTGGCTACATCACGTCCGGTCGAATGCGGTAATTTATTCAAAGTCTTAAGTAACCGATCGAACCAAAAAAAAAGAAAGAAGAACAAAAAGAAAAAATAAAACACGAAAACGAAACTGAAACGAAAATGCTACCGTAGGGTTTAGGTAAATTACAAAATGCAGACACGTATTCGCCAAAGTGTTAGAATTGAATGTATTTACTTTCATTTATGCTACGTGTAAATGAATAGTAAGCGAAATTGCGGTGAGCCGACCCCCATATTTGCTGTGTTGTGTTCGTAACGAAACAGTTCAGTGGCAAACCAATAATTTTCTCTGATGCTTCTTCAATACTCGTCGTTTTTTTTTATCCATCGTTGTTGTCGTCGTCGTCGTTGTTGTGCGCGCCCCTCATTTCCATAGGTTTTAACGTGGTATATCTAGTTTCGAATTTGCTTGTGTGTTCTTGACACATTTTCACGCGAAAAACCCAATTGATTCAATTCGAGCGTTTTGCCCTCCACACTTCAAAGGCCAACGTCAACTCGCTCTTTCTCAGTCTCTGAGTGCATTTAGGCAATTGCAGCAAGGGAGCGCAAAGCCAAAATGCGAGATAAACATCTCAACAATTCATTTCTTATTACGTCAAGAGCACACACACACACACCAAGGCACACTCACAAATACCCAGTCACTTGTCTTCGTTCGCCGTTTCTCGACACCCTCCATGAGACATGTGCTGTGCACAGAGAATAGACGCCACTGTTTCCATGCACAATTCTCTTTATAATATTGCATTCGTTTGTTTCTTGCAATGCGGAAAATAACAACACGTATTGTTACCGCTTTTCCGAATTACTCTTTTTTGCACTTATACACCAAAAAAAAAATACAAAACCATACAGAATATTCACTTAAACACCAACCATAATTTCTATTTTGCTATTTTATTCTTTCTTTTTATTTTATGTTGTCGAATTCGAAAAACTGTCGAACCAAATTGAAACCAAACCAAAAAACAAACAAACACAATGACAAAACACAAAAACCCAATTGAAACGAAAAAAAAAAACCAAAATCAAACCAAAATCGATCGCGCGACATCGAAAATGGGCGCCAACCGCAACAAATATAATGAATGTTTGCTCTCAATGAATCTCAAACCCGCAACGACACATATCCAAATTTGGGGCGCATGTTCTGCGTTTTGTGTGTGAATGTGTGTGTCTAGCAGAAGGCGTACCTGAAGTATATTATTTCGGGCCATGCGGAAAATACAATGCACTTGTTATGGAATTACTTGGTCCATCACTTGAAGATTTATTCGATTTGTGTGGGCGGAGGTTTTCATTGAAGACAGTTCTAATGATAGCAATACAACTTGTAAGTATACAACTGAATAACCAAATCCATCCAAAATCAAAACAAACAAAAAAAAATTTGAAAAAATTAAGAAAAAAAAAACAGAATCAAAAGTATTGAAAAAAAATATACAAAATCCACCACGAATCTTTAGTCAAATCATATAAATAAGTCAATTTAGAAACAAACAAAAAACACACATTCAATTAGAGAAAGCAAGTCAGAAAGATCATGCGTCATACAGATTGGATTCAAATGACCAATACAAACAAGATAGAAAAGAAAGACGCTTTGAACTTTTCGAGCTAAAGCTTTGACATATTCGATGAACGTTTGAACACGTGACCTCGAATACAACTGACTAACCATTTTATTTTGTCTCCATTTTGTTTTTAACCGTAAAAATAAAAAATTGTCCTATTTTTAAACATTTTTCTCCGCGCACCCATATTTCTTTCTTCTTCGTCTCTTCTCCATTCATGATTCGTCTAGTGTTCTCCATTTTTCTTTGTTATTTCTGCACTTTTTCACTATCTCTCTCACTCACTCACACAGTATTTGGATTCCATTTCAGTTTTTTTTTACTAATAATTTGCTAGTGCACTCCTCGTTTCCATTTTACCAATTGAAATTTGTATTGAAAATTCAACACACTTACGAATTAGTTTCAGTTTGTGGTTCGGTCCTAAGTTAAGTTTTGGATATTTTACTAACTAGATCAAGGTAAATCGGTTTTGGGGCTAATAGGATAGACAATCATTATTATCAAAATTATTATCATTAATTTCAATTCCATTAATTGAACCACAGCAGAAGCTTGTAATTCGAATCCCTTGAAATATGATATTCCTTTTATAAATGATTTAATCACGTAAAGCACAACAATATTGCCATAAAATATAAATCAGAAACGGTAGAAATGAACGGAATATGCAAATAAATCACACGAGAAATAAATGTGGAAATTGCATTCGCATTGCACTATCTCTTCCAAATGATCGCGCAATATTTTGCAAAATCCATTTTTATTGCCTCTAAATGCACCCCATTTCAAGCTTTCATCAATTATGCGATCGCAAGTGATTAGTGCATTATGTAGCAATTATTATTTATCCAATTAAACGATTCGTCAGTAGAATATATATAGCTTATGAAAATGAGAGCAAACCACAATTGAAAAGCAAAGTGTCGGAAGAAATTTGAAACAGAAAGCAGTAAAACCGCATGATGCATAGATATATGAAATAGTATAACGCATATATGTGTCGTTGAGAATAAAAATGGGATTAGCCGAAACCGCGTGTTTTTATACGAATCATTTTTGTGTTTCTGGTACAAGATATGGGGCAAGTATCTCAAGCAAAGATAAAGATCTTGAAATGTTCTAAAACATTGCAGCAGACATATGTCTTCTATCTCTTACCAGGAACACAAAAATGATTCAAATGTAAATGAGCGGTTTCGGCTAATCCCATTTTTATTCTCAACGACACATATGATAAACCACTATCAATTTAAATCCATTTACCTCGTCAATGTGTCAATGTGTTATTTGGATGTTTTTATGCTGTTCACATTTCTCTCGCTCATTCGCTATCTCACTCTCACACCCGCTCTTTCTCTCACTGTCTCTTTGTCTATGTATGTGTGTATGTAATGTTCAAATAGATACAACGTAGACTTTTCGTTCGATGATAATAAACATTCGTTTAACAACATGCCTTGAATTCATATCGAATTCGAACATATTTTGTAATACCGTGTAACTCGTGTTAAATGCATTCCATTTTGGTAAAAAAAAAACATTTTTTTTGTCTCTCTCTCTCTCTCTCTCGTTATTTTGTGTTTCAGTAGATTTATTCAGTGTGTGTGCGTGCGCGCGCGCGATGGACGAAATGGGCTGATAATTTTTTTTGTTGATTTGATTCATTTCATTTTTTGTTGATACGTAGAATGAATATCTGCCAGAGGCAAGCTATTTTGCAGAATGAAATGTGTGTTGGCTAATGTATACGTAGGAAAAGTTGTTCATTTTACACATCATTTAATGAGCGCAATTCATCTGCAAAATTTGCGTAAATGCCTGCTTGGCTCCAAGTGTCATGAAAATTATGTACATTTCTTATGGCTTCCCGTTCGTCTATCGCTCTCTATTTCGAAATATTTTAAAACAACTAATTAATACCATTTGAATGAGTTCTATGAATTTTGACTAATTGCAATTATAATTCTTTTGTGCCCCATCTTCACTTGTTCGCTGTTTGCCTCTCCATATTCAACACACGCAAAACCACCTACGCAATTGTCTAATTGTAGCTTCATCGGATTGAATACGTGCATAGTCGTCACTTAATTTATAGAGATGTAAAACCGGAAAATTTTCTCATCGGTCGAACATCAACCAGACGTGATAAAATTATTCACATAATTGGTAAGTGTCATTTTGGAATACAGCAAACATAATTATAAGTCAATAAAGCGGTGTAATTGAATGATGAATACGTCGAAGGACATGCTAGTCGATTGCTCGCTCGGCTCGGTTGGTGTGATGCGGAATACGCAAAGTTTCTATTGAAGGCACAATTCAATAACGAATACGATGAATCGATTGAATTGTGCCACAATATCGATTCGAAATGCTAATTTGTCGTCACATCGACCGCAGTCGACGCCTCATCAATCATTTCAACAGCACTTCAATCGATTCAACAATATCAACGACTATTATTATTATTATTATGGTACTAATATTTGTCCCTGTACTTTTCTCTCTCTCTCTCTCTCTCTGTCACCTGTTCCATTTTCCACATGTGTGTGTCGCCATAGATTTTGGGTTGGCCAAAGAATACATTGATTTAGATACTAATAAGCATATACCATATCGGGAGCATAAGTCGTTGACTGGTACAGCACGATATATGTCGATAAATACGCATATGGGCCGAGAGCAGTCGAGAAGAGACGATTTAGAAGCGCTCGGGCATATGTTTATGTATTTTCTAAGAGGTTCACTGCCGTGGCAAGGTCTCAAGGCTGATACACTTAAGGAACGATATCAAAAAATTGGTGATACTAAGCGATCAACGCCGATTGAGGTAAATTGAGCATTATGTTATATGGGATTTAGCCCAAACTACCGTGTGTGAAAAACCCGAAATTTAATGACCGTTCTTTTTGGTTTCTCGTTGTTAAAGGTTTTGTGCGAGAATCATCCCGAGGAATTTGCAACCTACCTACGCTACGTTAGACGATTAGATTTTTTTGAAACACCTGACTACGACTATTTAAGAAGACTGTTTCAAGATCTCTTTGATCGAAAAAATTATGTGGATGATGGTGAATTCGATTGGACTGGACGAACAATGGTAAATATCGATGAAATTCTAACATTTGACAGCGATGATTGCGACGATTTTAGCTCAATCAATTCTTAAACCGATCAAGTTTATATTAGTTGACTAGATGGGGAATGACAAGAGAAAAAAAACAAGACAAAGAAAAAACACATCAATGGATTTAAGTAGATTTGCATAGTAATATTCAAATGAAATTTCAACGACATTTGGATAAATATATACATATACCGGCTAATATACAAATTTTTCATTGATTTTTAATCTCGTTTCTTTTCATTTGAATCAATATATTTTTGTTTCATTTGAAAACCAATCAAACCAAAAAAAACATATCCAACATTGTTTTTATTTTTATTGCGTGACCAAAAAGCCAAGCAATTTTCACCAATTGCGACAGTTAAGGAATGCTCCACCGTCGAATATCGTAAAAAATAAATCGGATAAGGTGAATTTTCTGTTTCGTTTCGTTCGTTTTGCCAAACTGTTTCAAACATCAAACATTTAATTGTTCACATAAAAAAAAAACAAAAAAAATCGTATTGCTAGTCACACATTCGAAATCGTTCAACTCCCTTCGTAATTGATGATGATGAATAAATCATTATCTTCAGGAATATTTCACGAATACCCAATTATTTTTAGATCAATAGAAATACGCTAGTCGTTTTGAATAATCGATCTGTCACATTTCCACTCAATAATTTTTCCAAAAGATAGATGAGTATGCAAGTTTGATTTTCTTGAGCTCTCACTTTAATACAGAATGGTATGCCATGTATCCTTTGTGAATCCAACTTTCCTTCAACCCTCTATCGCTTTTATTTACGACCGCAATAACCGTAATCATTCGCCTTACACTTAGTCTCTTTTTTTTCTAACTTGCATTGACATAAAATCAGTAAATTCCGTTTGATTTAACAATTAATCTCTAACCGTCTCTTCTTTTCCACATTTCCAAACCACTTTGTTTCCACTTTCGATTGTTTCATGTGGGGACATAACCAAATTAGTCTACACCGGTGGGCTCTATACAGACTGGACATGAAGTAGTTGTTTCACCAAACCGTGATCGCCATACAACCGCTAATAAGGTAATTTTTTAATGAATTTTAAATCCGCTTTTTCTATCCGAAGGTTTCGATTTGTTCGGGGATTTTTTTTTTGTTACCGGTTGTTATATTGATAATGTTAACATATTGTTTTTAAAATTGTTTATGGTTAAAATTGCATGAGCGTGTGATATTGGATCAAAATGATAAAAAATGTGTCATCATCATTTTCTCGTGTTGAATAGGATGTCGAATTCACTGATTTTTATGAGGAATATTACGAAGATTTCTTTGCCGACCAAGATTTTTCGGTGTATTTTCAGGTCTGAGTTGATCAATCGACAGTTCGTTTTGACTAAATGCTCAATTACCCCGCCCACCTCGGCTAAAAACTCATTTTGCTGAAATCTTACAATAGAAACGCTCGAAAATTTCCCTTTAAAATTGAATCATTTGACACGCACGTGTCTGGACATAAGAAATGCTGTAGATTTCGATATTTTCGTTACAATTTCATCACTCTTGAAATACCATTCGCTTATTCCATTGCTTTCATTTTGATCCGCATTCTTAACTCATCAATCATAAGAACTTTTCTTGTTTAGTCCCATTTGATTTTCGCTCCCTTTCTCGAAAGAAATAAACTAATTGCATTTGTTTTCGTTTCAATTATGTTTTGTGGCTGATACGCTATGCTCGATTGCATATTGACTAACACACAACAAAATCGATATGTTGTTGATGTGAATGTTTGCATGTTTGATTGCCATAAATCAACAACTAATCCATATTGAACATCAAATTGCTTGTTCATCATCAACCAAAAACACCACCAATAAAAACGCCAAATTCACCAATTCCGCCAAAAAAGACAAACGCTAAGGGAGGAGTTGCTGCATGGCCAGATGTTCAAAAATCCGGAGCGACGCTTGGCAATCTGACACCAGCTGATCGACATGGTTCTGTACAGGTATGTCAGTTTGTGCGTGTTTCTATCCACTAAACAACTGATTGTAAATTGGCTCCCCATCTATGTGATCACAAAACAACTCTCGTTTATTGACTTTAGTTTTTTTTGTTCATACTGCATTTTCGAGTGTTAACTAAAATAAATAACAGTTGTTGATTGCGTTAAAGCGTTGCAACCGAGTTTTTCGTGTTTCTAGTGTTTAATTGGAATTTACAAAAAAAATACGAAATCAAATTCATTAGAATGCTCATTTCCGTCGATGAAAATTGAATTCTCGAATCAACGAATGGACGAGATTTGCACGTAATTTGAGTCTGAGTATTAATTTTACTGAGGGACGTTTCATTTAAACAATTCTATTTGGGAATGAGAGCACTTTTTATTATTTTCAAAATTGAACCGAATGCGAATTGAATGAAATAAATGACCGTAATCGTCCTAATTACAAGTTCTTGTTAGACTTAATCATTGTTAAATCAGGGCATCAACGAAATTATCCGTTAATCTGTATAAATAGACAAATTCATTTTATTCATAAGTAAAAACAACACGAACTAACGAAGATTAAAATTCAAATCGGAAGAAATCGGCTTGTGTTCTTGTACTGTTTTTTTCTCGATTTCTTTCTTTTCTTTTCTTTCTCTTTCTTCTTTTTTTCTCTCCCTGTCGCTCCTATCATTACCTATCTGCCATCTGTATGTACATATCCGTGTATCGTCTATCTACCCTACCTCTCTCTCTCTCTTTCTATCTATGTATCTCTAATAACTAATCATCTGTATTATGATAACTTTGCATTTATACCGATAAATCGATTTAATCAAATTGCCACCCCCCATACAAAATATGCATCACCCTTGACATTTATGCGCAGACTATCTTATTTTTGGCATTTTCTCTTCTATTGTTTTCACTTGACTTGTTCTACATGTATACAAGGTATTAAACTTAGACTCTTATATCGAGACCGTAATCTGTATCTTAGATACGAATTCTCTGTGTATTGAATTTGTAGCTGTATGCACCCATTTCTATCTTCTTTCCAGTATTCGCACCTCTTTTCTTCTGTTTCTTTTCACTTTGCTCATAATTATTCAATTATTAGTCTTCATTAGTGTAGTTTCGAATATGTAATTTTGTAGATAAAATGTGATTTATGAAAAACCACGTGATTTTTTGTGATTAGATTCAATTTGTGTCAGGAGTATTTCAGAGCAGCAAATCTTACACCCTCAAATAGAAAATATATGGCACCAATTTTTTTTATTCTTCTAATCGTTTCGTTCTAGAGATCTTACATCATCCAATTCAATCAACTAATTATGTGTTTTTTTTTCTTTCATTCTTTTTGCACACGAATCACACAGGTTGTGAGCTCAACGAATGGCGAGCTAAATACCGACGATCCAACCGCAGGACAATCCAATACTCCGATAACTCAACAACAAGAGGTGGATTTGGTCGACGAATCAAAGTATGTCCATTCGAATTCACTAACAAACTTTTCACGATCCTTTTTTAATTGCTTTCGAATGAAAAAATGATAAATTTCTAACCAAAAACCAAGAAAAAAAAACCAAAATTCATGTTTCTAAAATCAAAATAAGACGTTTCTTTTCGTTGCTGTTCATTATTTTTGGAATTACATAAATTTTTCCGCAATCCGGTGAACGGCGAAAAAAATTATGTAACCTGTATAGTAGTAGTATGTAAATAAAGAAGAAATTAAATGTATTTGTTTGTTTTTCTCTTCTTTCGTTCTTTTTTCTTACTCGTTTCTTTATTCTCTTTTTTCTTAACCAAAAAACCAAATCCAAATTTTTTTGCCAAAATTGTTGTGAATATACGCGAAACAAACAAACAACTTGTGACACAACACAAATCAATTTCCGTAACAAAACAAAACAAAAAAACCAAATTGTAAACCACAATTGAACTAACGTCCAAAGAAATTATTTTTCTAGATGTTGTTGCTTTTTCAAGCGAAAAAAGAAGAAATCGACACGTCAAAAATGACTAGAAGCAGTGCAATGTAGTCCAGAACGTGAAGCAGTTACGTTATTACGTGCCACGTCACATTCAAATTCGCGGGACAGTGTGGTGAATCAAAGCCAGGATTTTGTACAGGCATCGTCACAACATACATTACGTTATCCATCCGCGTCCGTATTGACGACCACACCAACCAATACACCAACACTTCCGCTGTGAAAACTAAAACAAAAAAAATCTTAACCGAAAAAAAAACACGTTAAATATTGCTGTGGTCCGACCTTTTCCACGCAAAAAGGAAAGCGGCAGTTTTGTTTAAGTGGAGGAAAAAAAAAATCTATAAAAAAAATCCATGAAAAAAATTGTCACAAAAAAAGCGAAAAATTATGTATTTAAAATCAATTGAACGTCTAAATATGAGCGCCACACCACTCATTCACAAGTGATTGGCCAAAGAAAAAGAAAAGAAAGAAAAAACACTCTGAGAGGAGAGCGAGCGATACAATAGGCTAAAGAACAATATTGTACTATACGGAAAAAAAAACAAATTAAACAAATAAATTAGTTGTATTGAGAAAACAAAAAGTATATGATAAAACAACTGAATTTGTTCAAGTTGAGAAATCCAGGTGGCAAGATAAAATGAGAGAGAGAGAGAGAAAATGGAATAAAAACATCAAATGAAATCTTTCAACTAAAACGTTACACATTTAAATATAACATTTAAAATAATTGGATTGCATGAAGTGAAGATGGAGACGTGAAAACAAAAGAAGATGATGATGAAATACATGAAAAATAATTTGTTTTTATTATTATGGAACTAAGTGTTTATATCTATTCTATATCTAATTATTGATGTAAAATTTATTAATTATCAGCCGATTTATTATTATTCCAATTGTCAGTTTTGTTTTTACCTCTATTTCCATAACCTTTTTTTTTGGTTCGTAAAACCTTTTGAATAGCAAAATTATGAGTGGCAAAATTCTAATGCAAATAAACGAGAAAAATAACGCTTTTAAAACGAAATAAGACAAATTAAAAATATAAAAAAGAGCAACTCCGGTTTGTACATGATTCCGGCAAATAACAAACGCTTTTGTTCCATACCCTCATTTGAAATTCATTTTTCAACATCCATTGCCACCAAATTTATTTATTTACTTAGTCGTCCCCCTGTCAAAATCACCACCGTTTCTAGTATTCAATCGGATGTTAAAATAGAAAACGTATTTAAAAAGCTAAAACTGTAAAGAATAAAGTGAGCAAGGTACGCGCGCATTTCGATCATTCACATTTGTGCAGTGGATTAATTAACCGTAGATACGATAGTGACTCTTTTTTCGACACATTTAAGTCGTGTGAATATTTCAATGTTTTGTTTTTATTTCTCAAAAAAATGCACAACATAACTTTCGTCCAATGTCACACCGTCAACATAAGAGTTTGAGTGAGTTTTTTTCTTTCCCCCGTTCTTCGATAGTAAAATTAGAAAGCGTTCAGTCAGCTTCCTCATAAAATAGTAGTCAAAATAAATGAACCATTTGATTTTGTCATATATTGTGGAAATTGCTTAGTAATAATAATCGACATGTCACAATTCCATTCAAGATTCATGCATTTTCCTTTTTCAATCGACTTTTTCACAAATTTATTTTCTCAGTGAGATTTTTTTTGGTTCTTGAAAAATAGGAAGCGGAAATTAATTTTCCACAATCTGTTTGGTGCTAATGATAAATCGAGTGAATACTTTTCGACCATTTTTTTTCATTTTCGTTTCATGTAGTTAAATAGCGATGTGAAAAGTTGACTCATACTTCCAAATCATTCATATAGGAAAAGAAGACGAAGAATCTTCATCAATTCTTCTTGAAAGTCATTTTTACTTGAAGATGAAGAATCAACCCTGATCAAGTGCTCCCAAACCTGTGCTTAAACGCCATTATCACGTATCCGATTTGGACTTTTTTAACATTTCCAACCATACAAAATTCAACACACGTACCGCCGCGTAAATGAATTTTATGAACTCAAACCAAAACAAAACGCAATCCAATTCCCATTGACTCGGATCATGTCGGATCAATTATGATTTTGTTTTTTTCAGTTAGAAGTTAATATTCACGCAATTCACATAAACATCGAGAAAATCAAAGAACATTCCCAGAATCACACAAATAAACACAAACACACACAAACATTTTCTATGCATGCATTTTATCATAGCGCAGTAAGTCAGCGGAATTAAACACGCAAAATAAATCAACAATGGAAATAAAAGAAGAAGCAAAAAAAACCGAAAAAAATAATCGAATGTTCCAATTTTTCATGTGTCTACCATCAACTAAACAGTAGTGTCTCGTTTTTTTATGAACAAACCAAGAAGGAAAGAAAATATACAAAACTGAAATGAAATAAAATAAAAAAAACGCAATTTAAAGAAGATGAAGACAGCAAGAAAAAAGAAAACAAAAAATACTTACAATTATAGAGAGTAGCGAACACACATCAACCAACAATGTCTCTTGGTGAAGAGAACATAACGAAATAGATAATGTGAAACAATTATATTGCCCATTTATGTGTATATACAAGCAGAAACCTTATCCTTGAACAAAAACAAATAAATTGATTTAATTGAAAAGAATGAAAAGAAAAAACAAGTAATAATTTGATGCTGATAACATAACGTAAACACTCAAAACAAAATTTATTGTGTATATTTATAATAAGCGGTGTTGTTTTTTTTTCTCGCAAAGTTGAAATCGAAGCAACAATTGAATCGAATTTCCCAAATCATCCGATTTTTGTTATGGTTGGACAAATAACACCACACATTTTCATATGGCATAAAAGTTGTAGATGATGAGAATTGAAAAAAAAGAGAGATGTTCGAGCAGGGTGGGATCCATTACGAATATTGCACCACCACCGATAATTATTGAATTGCGTTCTTCACATTACGCTCTAATTGAATAAAGCCTCACCAAAAAAAAAACAAACCCATCAACAACCAATAATTGCATCGGCATCTTTTTAAAGCACGTTGTCCAACATTGATGTGAATTTTTTATTCGATAAAGAATTCACTCCATTTTCTTTGACTGATGATGATAAAAAGAAAAATTCCAAAACATTTTAAGAGCTTTTTTAAATAAGATTTTAATCGAAACTAGTTAATTTTTGTTCGTTTTGCATTTGTACATTTTTGCTGATTCGATCTGCCAAGCCAAGCCAAGATTCACACTCACACATACACACAAAAAAATATTTATATACAAATATGAGGATGAAGAAAAACTATATCCATTTTGCTTATCAATGGAACAAGTATATGCTAACGTTCGTGTTCCAACTCGAATACAAAACCGCTAAAAACAAAGGAAGAAAGAGTGAAAAAGAAATGAACGGTCAATAGTCGAGTCTAGTTGTGTTTTTGCAAGTTTAAGTCTAAATCAAATGGTGAATTAATTATTGAAAAGAAGTGGTCCCCACCAAGTAATGGCGGAGCCATAATGGAAAATAAAACAAACAATTTAACTTAATCTTTAAAATAAAATTTTATCTATTGAATAAAAGCAACAAAAGTAATTTAAATTTAACGATTTACCAGAAGACAAATAACAACAACAACAACAACAGCAAAAAGTAAAACAATGTCACACACCGCATTGCCATCGTTCAACGCGCTTCAGATTGGACACTCTTACACACACACACACAAACACATACGATCGCTTCTAGGCCTTGAATTGATGGCCCCCAAAAAACGTATATTATAACATTTAAACAGCAACAAAAACAAGCTACTGCAATTTAGAATCTTTTGCATGGATTGGACAAATGGCCAAGGCATTGAAAATATTAATTCAAATTGTACAAAATACTGTTTTCGAAGTAAAAAAGACGAAAACAAATAGACGAAGAAGGACAATTGCAACATGATGAACATTGTTGGACTGAATGTTGAAGAGGGTGAAACAGATTTTAAAAAAAATTGTGAAAAAAATAAAAGAGAAAAAAAAGTCAAATGACAAGAAAGAAAAATTATGATACACACGATGATAATTTAAATCAATAAAAAATTAATATCAAGTAAAAAAACAGGGTTGTGTTTGCATTTTATTTTGACTCTAGCTGATCATCACTGATGATTCATCAGTCGTGTGAGAGTTAATTGTTTTGATTGCAGCCTTTAGATGGAGTTACGAAATGCCGATCATTTCCTCATTGCGGCACAAAGAAATCGAAAGTAATATAATGTGGTAAGTGCTTTTAACGTCTCGATAAAAATAAACAACATCGTACTCGACTGTGCGAACGCATCACGCGTTTTCTATTCGCAGAAAATCACAAGCGAATACGAAAACGATCGATTACGTCAGCCACTGCCCAATGATAAAAATGCCATCATATTATTGTTTATTGCTTTTCGTCATACATTTGATACTTGCACAGTGACAATCGCACGCATTCCAAAAGTGTGCGATTGCAATGTACACTGTTAAATCGGTCACGAGATTGTTTGTGTTATATATAACATTTTTAGTACACATTGAGGTTATGTTTTCTTCGTACTACTAATGGGCGGCTGTGTATGTGTATGTGAATAGGTGCAACTGATTTGGTGTACTGTCACAGTGAATTGCGTCTCATTCTCACGATGAATGTTTGTTTTGAATCGGTTGTCAAAACCTGAATTCAATTCGACATTGACAATATGAATATTTGATTAAATTGTGGTATCAACTTGGTACAAAGTCCGTACATGCGAAATTGAAATTAAAATTGAAACTAAAACACGTTTTTGCTTCGATTATGACAAATTCTTGTGAAAAAGTGTTGTTTTTTCATTGTTGTGTGGCTTGTGATTGAAACAACGTATTTGTCACATTAAACGTGTGCACCGGCCACAATTTTAGTAGTAGGTTCAAATGTCATTTGCCGTCTTAGTCATATTCCTCTTTTATGTATATCTCGTAAAAGGCGACAAGAAAGAGAAAAAAAGGAATTTTTTTCATTCACTACACGAAAAATGCAATAGGGATCGGCATTAAATATCAAAAAAACGGGAGACAAGTGAATTGCGTGAGAAAAATTCAAGAAAACAATTTCAGTTGGATTTGTCGAAAATAACTTTTATATCGAGAAAAAAAAGGTGATAAGGTGTTGTGCTGTGTGTTTATGATTTAAACTAGAAGAAAAAAAAAAACCGAGATTATACAGGAACATAACAAAGGAACACAGATAAACTCTAGTTACAATTTTCCGAATATAAATTCAGCAATTCCAAAGAATCGGCCGCAAATTTGCGAGACAACGGCGTGAAATCAAAAAAAAACAACAACACATTTTACCAATTATAAAGCCATGGCAAAGAAAACTTACGATTTATTGTTCAAATTGCTGTTGATCGGAGATTCAGGTGTGGGCAAAACCTGTATACTCTTCCGATTTTCCGATGATGCATTCACCTCAACATTCATCTCAACGATAGGCATCGATTTTAAAATCAAAACGGTGGAATTGCGTGGAAAGAAAATTAAACTACAAATATGGTAAGTGCATTTTGAATCCTCGGCGACTACGGCGAATTCGCATTGATAACAATGGAATTTCCTTTGAACTTTGTTGTGATTATTATTCTTTATTGTTATCAGCGGGTTGATTCATTCCGTCATATGATGAAAAATAGCACTAAATACAATTGTATTGTTTGCTTGTAGGGATACTGCCGGACAGGAACGATTTCACACCATAACCACATCGTATTATCGCGGTGCAATGGGCATAATGCTCGTCTATGATATAACAAATGAAAAGAGCTTCGAAAATATAGTAAAATGGCTACGAAACATCGATGAGCATGCAAATGAGGATGTTGAAAAGATGATATTGGGCAATAAATGCGATATGCAAGACAAACGAGTGGTAACCAAAGATCGAGGCGAGGCCATTGCACGTGAACATGGCATTCGATTTATGGAAACATCAGCCAAAGCAAATATCAACATCGAACGAGCATTCTCTGAATTGGCCGAAGCCATTCTGGACGCAACATCCGGCAGAGAAAATACCGAGAATCCCGAACGCGTTATCGTCGATCGTCGAGGGCAAGATAAACCGCCGGCGTACAAGAGCTGTTGCACATAAATTCATTTTTTTTGTACATCTGAAAAAGAAGAAAAGAAAAAATCAGTTTTTTTTTAAATGTTAGTAACTAAATAGTATGTAATTGTAAACATGCAATTTATTTCGAATGTGACCGACAAGAGCAAATTTGTACGGGAGATAAAAAGTAGAAGAAGAAAGAGAAACCATTTGTATGAGATAATCGCATGAAGTGGAGACAATTTAACCACAACACCGATTTATATGCAATCAGTCATTGATGCATTTTGCAATACATTGCGTTTTTTCTAACGCAACGCAAAACAAAACAATATTTAATACACAATTTTCACATCAGACTAAGATTTTTTACATGAAACATCTTTATACCGAAAGTAAAAACAAACAAACAAACAAACAAACAACAATCAAACGAAAAGCAAAGAGATAATAAACACAATCACAAATTGTCTGTGTGCATCGCTTCTTATTCTCCTTTGATTTGATAGTCCAATTTAAGGTGACAATGAACATCGCTTTTAGTAAAAAAAAAAGATAAACAAATTATTAACAATTTATGCAAAATCAACAACAACAACAACAACAAAAACATCAAGAAAACACTATGTATATGTTAAACGAACGGTGAGCGAAAAACAAAAATCCGTTTTATTTTTCTCTCACACAAAACATTGAATTGAAAATCCAAAATTCAAAATTAAGACAATTTACCCATGTAAAATATGTACGTATATGCGTTTTGCTTCGAATATATTGCTATTGGGCGTGTCTCGAAACGCAGTGAAACCTTTATTAGTGTAGGTCAAAACCATGAATTTGTTTAAGGGAATATAGATGTGATTTAGCTATCATTTAGTAACTGACAACAAATACTTTTTTTCTCACTAATTCTCGTTTTGTTCTTTCTTCATTCATGTAAATGCATACATTTGTGCAAATATTTATCAACAGTAGCAAGCAACAGCAGCAACAAAATATATACTTTATGTATTTAGTTCCATCCAGATGTCTACATATATGTCCATGAATGCAACATATTTCAACACAAGTCAATTTCAAGTTACTCATGTTATTATATTTGTTTTGTTTTCGTTCATTTGAAACAACGGAATTGGTATAATAAAGGGAAAAATGTGAACTTAGAACAAGGTTGAAGTGGTTTTTTTTTTCTTTTCTTCATTTTAGTTACGATTTCAAATCGGAGATGTTCTTTACATTGACGGTGTTCACCTCTATAGTAGCTCAGAGACAGAAACACAAATAAGAGAAAGGATTTTGATTTTTCTGAAAACGATTTTCTCGGAAACATATCAATGCATCGGTGTGGGTGAGTCTACGATAAGATTCCCCGCTAATATCATTTGCTATCTGTTTGTGACTGTGTTTGTGTTCATTCAATGTCGGCTTCCATTTCTCCGACATTGCATTCGCATCTTATTAGATCGTGTGTCGGTTTCGCATTACTTCCCACTTCGTTTGATTCTATATTTCCACCTCCTTATAGATCAATCAAATACTAATTCAATTTAAAACTCACCTAAAGCCGCTCTTGCCGTGGGTGGCAGCTTTTCTTGCGTTCAAGTGAAATCTCATCCAACTGTGTTTTCGAAATTAGGCTACCAACGGTAGTCTGAAAGCCTTTTCATTCGACGCTTGTCGATGTATTTTCAACGTTGTTTACCTGCAATGTTTCACATGCTCAAGTATCATATTTTTAACATCGTTAAAATCAGAGATCACTTTATTCGTCCGACACAACAGAACAGAAATAGCATCAAATAGGAACGCGTAAATAGATTCAATTATGTAACTAAATTCGATTTTGATTGACGTAATGTCGAAAATGTGAATTATTTTGCAGACACAACAATCATTCATGTTTATTGCTTGCAATGAAAAATCGATTTTACTTCAACCATTCATCATCGGTATGGATTTTTGTGTTACTATGATTCATTCAGTGTTTGTTTTTACCACTTTTTATCAAAATATTTAGCAAACAATTCGCAAAATAAAGTTTGAAATAATAATAAATGGAGCAATTGGAATTGGAACAAGTCGGAAACATTTTTGTTTGGATTCATAGAACTGTAATTGAACATTCCACATCTTTCATTCTGAGATTTTTGTACCATCATTTCCTTATTATTCCACGTATTTTTGTCACAATTGAAAATGTTATGGTTGGATGAGCAACTGCTGCATATTTAAAATGATTAGCTTAAAATTGATATTCTCATGGTACCATTTTAAATTGTTGGCTCGTCCTTAAAAGCACTTTACCGTTTCTTTTTTTTGCATTCGATATTCGGTGACTTTGCACAAAATTTATTCATTTTTAACATTGACGCTGTTTAATGGTAGATTTTACGCGAGTGAAAATGGCAGCCAGTTATTCAGTCGTCAGTCGTCAGCCGTTGTCGCATTTGCATCAAAGCTCTCTCCGCTTGAATACATAATTCACTGAAGAGTGCTTGCTTGTTTGGACGCCGTTGTCTTTTTTGGTGCGGTGAGAATCATAAATTTTCCCGACTGGGACATCAGTAACAAATTATCATAAAATTCATTTTGTTCGTTTCAATATTTATGCGGAAAACATTCAAATGACTGTTTTATTGCCACATTTCACAGCCGAAATATCGCATTTCAAAGTTTTGCGACAATAAATTTCGATTACAAATTTCGATAAATGCGATGCAATCACGTAACACATCCCAACCATTTTAATCATTTTTTTCGTGTATTGTACGGATAACATCCAATTAATTTTAGATAAATTGCCTACACCTGCAGATTTTGCCGAACGGTTCATTTACCCAAAATAAAACAAAACAAAACGAAAAAACCCATTCAACGGTCGATGATGTTACCAAAGTGCTCTTAATTTCGATGTCGAGTCTATTTAATTATTCACCAATTTTTCTTGTTCGAACTGTCCATTGCTTAAATGACAATATAACGAGGATGGAAAATGGATGGAAAATGAGAAGAAATTATTTTCATTTAAACCTTTCGATAATCGGGTTCCATTCGAATAAATTTTTCCAATGTTGCCGTCGATAATTCGAAACATTTATTCACACAAATTATTACAATGGCGTACGTGTTGACCAAATGTCGATAGAAAAAAAAAGGTCCGACAGATATTTCTCGTTCGGGTGGTATGGTTTTTACGAATGGAAACTCTCACAATTAGGAAAAACCCACAAAATTGGTTTCATTGTAATGTTATATGAAAGTTTCATAATGAAACCATTGATACCTTTTCAAACATTACTACATCATAGAAAAAATATAACGTGGTCGGGTTGAAATGATCATGTATTCGAATCCGTCCGAGGGATTCATTTCCGATAGACAATTTATAACAACAGCAAAAAGCAATATTGTTTTGGTACCATTTAGAGAGCAGCAATTAACCACAACAAAGCCACTCTATGGTCTGTATCTGCGATCGCAGATTTTTAACCGTGCCATTCAGTGTGTACTATCGCCTACCGAGCATTTCGATATCGTTTGATGAAATGTCGATGTAATGCTATGTACCCATGTCACAGAGTTGACCATGTAAGCATGTCACAGAGTTTTATGTACATTTCATTTACTCGATAAACATATGCAAACCATCACAAATCATTTCGTGTATTTGCAAAATTGGACGCAATGAGTATGGATGTTTACATTTACCATTCGGTATCGTAGGTATTCTTCGTATTGAACCAAATGATGCTTTTACAATTCAAATACATAAAGCTGTGCCATGCATATTCCACAAAAAAATGAGTTTAACTTCCTCCTATGCCCAAATAATTGTGCACTGAGAGCAGCATTGCAGCATGCAAAATGCACTGGAACATTCTTGCCCTTTCCAAACGAAACAATGTCGTAGGATTTCGTCAGTTTTGAATTGAGATGATTATTTTAGCAATTTTATATGCACAAGGATACAACACGAGAATAACTACGTCGTTCGGGCAACTTTTTTCCAGCGGCTTTTTTGTTCGAGCGGCTTTTACAAAGTGGAGTATTTCGAATGAAATGCAATCAGAACGGAATTTTATCTCTATTATCTGGGATTGAAATGAGTCGTTCTTTCATGCAGCTTTAAGCAGATACATTCGAAGTAAACCCTAGTACAATATGGTGATTTCTTGGTATCACATGGATTAACTAAATGGAAATATGTCAGAATTTCGAAAGCGAGAATAATGAATCATTTTCTGTTTAAAAAAAATTGGAAAAAAAACAGCGCTTTTGTAAATTCCTTTGAAAATTCCCTTGAGCGCCGATAAAGCAAGCAAAACCACCACTCAAGTACAAAATAGTGATGCCACCGACAGGTATTCGCGTGATACACGTGACTATGGGACATGTTCGTGATCAATTTGTGCGATTATAAAAAAAAAGTTCCCGTAAGCATTTAGCCAATTTGCAAAATTTTATTGAAATTTCCAAGTATAAACTAATACACGTTTAGACAGTCAATATTCCACAAAATTGTTCAAGTGTATGTGCAAATACTTGCGCTTTTTCCATAAACACTTTTACAGCATACTTATTATTCATCATTGTGCACCATTCTCTGGCTTCGCTCGCATTTTTTCGCGTGCGTTTTCCTCCTGGAATGAGTCAAATTCTTGAAAGGCGATTGACGTCTATTTTATGATGCCAATAAAACATCTTTCTAGTCATTCAAAAAACACACACACACTGTCATGATACAGTCTGTCATGGTTGTACTTAAAATTCCACTGTTTCATTTTCGGCGGGTTGTGGTTGTCTGTACACGCTTGAGAGAATTTCCAATCGAAATTACGCCATCCATAAAATCAACTTTGGGAAAAGTTCAAAAGTGTTCCCGTTTTGATAAACGATTTTTGTTCGATACGTTCTTTTCAGTCCTAAATGGTTGGGTTCCATAATTTTCTGCTATTTTTATTATCGATTTAGTACCCTTGGGATTTAAAAAATTAATTAAAACCATTATACCTGGAAAATGTTCATTTTCGATACAAACAAAAATAACTGAAAACCGAAGAAAAAACTTTGTGCGCCGTAGAAATGCATTTATTGTTGTCTAAATTAATTTCTATCAAATGAATATTTCACTCGCTAGAAAAAAAAATCATCATTCAGATGACCCAGGCCATATTTTGGTATCCTGCTGTTTTTTTTTCTCAATATTTGTTCATCCATTTCAAAAACCGTTAAATGATGAAATCGTCGATTTGCAGAATCAATACAAACACATGGTCGAATGTTCAAAAGGCCAAAGGTAGCCACATCAAAAACACCATCAACATTCTATCCAATGAATGCAAACGAAAATGTCGATAATATGACATCAGTTGAAACTTTGTTGCTGTAGTTGAACTCATAATAAAAGGAAATTAGCTTTGATACCATGTCACGGTTGTTGCAAAGCGTTTCGAGTATACATTTGCATAAGTGTGCATGTGTACGTGTGTGTGAATTTGATTACAATTTTATTCTGCTTTTATATCACATTTGCAAACACTGTTCCCACACATGCAGCAATCGTATTCATTTTTCCGATTATTTCATTCGCAAATTAGTTTTTATGATAAGAAAAAACTTCATTGAATCACTTCACTTATGTAATGGATAACGACAACCGTTGAAAAACTACGTTATTTTTATGATTATTGCAGCTATTTGGCGCAGCTCAAGCGGTTGAAGCTATAATTGATTTGCAATTATGCAAACGATGCCGTAAACGAAGAATATATTTCACTGAATTTTGCATTTATTTACAGCACACGGGTGGAACTGAATAGCGAGTAGCGTTCAGCATGTGTTTTTGTCATTTTCAACGAAAAAGTTCATGACATTTGATGATGGAAAGGACAAGTTGCTCGTAATTACTAACGATAGCTGGTGTTTTGGAGAGAATTTGGAGTGAACGATAGAACGAATATAAAAGGATTTTCAGGTGGTTAAATCACCGTGGTTTTTTCATGTTGATTCACTAGCCCTATTGACTTTCGGTGCGGAGTTGAGGCTTTGGCTTTAAGCTAATTGATATTTAACTTCACATTGAACATTTAGAACATTTCATGCAACTAGATTTCAACGTAACTCACCGGATTATTTGGAATATCGTTTAAGCTATTTCCATTCAGATCGTGATTTCTGTTTGCTGTAAATGGATTCCAGTGAATTACCATCCGACAGATATTTAATATCGTCCATTTTGGTTTCTGGATATTGTGCTTGTGTATGTGAACCTATCAGAAGTTACGACCATGTTTCGCGGTTTTGCCTTTATATTGCATTCCAACGTACAAATTCAAACCATCCGATCCCATTCAACAGCTAACCAATTCTGAAAACATCATATTGATTCGCCGTATTGATATCAAATGTGGAATTTCCAACCGAAGAGCAAACAACAGAAAATGAGGTATTTTACTCTTGAGCTTAGTAATCGAAACAGTTTTTAGGTTAATTAAAATTTTTTGCGGTTTGAACGTTTACTTTTTTTTTTTAACACTGAATTTCATTTGTGCTACATAATCACCATGATTTCCTCAAGCATTATTTTTCATTATTAGATCTATGATTTTTTTTTCAAATGCATCCGGCACGTGTAAAATCCATTTAAGCTTGCTGACTTTAAAACAAATTGCATGTTTTGAATACGTTCAGCCCCAAAAGCAATAATGCATACCTTGATTCCCATGAATTTTAAATAAGATCGTAACGAGCAAAAATCAAAATGTAATCGGATTAAATTTTTAATGAAAATCTCTTGACATCCATTAAAATTTGTTACACAATCAGTTACTATTGGAAAATTGGCAACGATGTCGAAGAAGAATCAGAAGAAAGTGACTTAACTTGGCTGTCAGTACGGAATGATTTTGTAAAAAATCGGGGAAATTATACCCAAAGCTTGAATGGATCATCCTATTCTCGAAATGAAATATAGACATCATTATTTACGTGACATTTCTGCTCTCTTCATCCAAATTTCTAAGCAAATTCATCAGAACCTTCTTCAAAATTAGGATGCACATGTCGCACATGCGAAAAGTAATTCTGAATATTGTTTACATTCTTCCACTAACCGAACAATGTATGTTCGTAAATGACAAATGAAACAGCTGAGGATCCAGAGGACAGTAAATGTGAAATCGTTTCCACAGAAATGCATATTGGATAATGTGGACACTATACAGTGTACACTGTACAGCTTACAAACATGTACTGTATGTCAGCAAATGTTCGACCTGGATCAATGTTGACACGCTTTCGGTTGCATAATTTTATGCTTTTGTACTTTCTAGCACCCAGCCATGCGGAAGTAACATGGAGTCACGAAACTACGGCGCAGTGTTTCATTGGAATTTGCTTTGTCTGCCTCATCGCCATTGTTTAAGCACGAAATGATTTCAAAAGTGATAAATAATAAAAGTGCACCGTTACCTTGAACTGAGTTTTCAAATAAATTACCTCGTTTATGGAAGCTCTTTTATCCGACTTAAGCAGAGAAAAAACAGCGGTGCTTCCCGTAAACCTTATGGTTCACTGCAAACGAACACGGACCAAATACGGGCACAGTTCTATCGGGCTTTTTAAATTGGTTTCGATTTCAAATGAAAAGCGGTGCCAATTCGGTTTCGTATTGTAAAATTTTATTGCGAGTTACAATGAAAGAGCAACAACAGAATGGTACGTTGTGTCGATTGATTACGGATAAAACAGCGGAGTATTTTACGAATTGTCAGCGCTTTTCTCATTTAATCAAAGAGAAAGCATGACAACGAATCAGTTTAAACAGAGCGATGAGTTTACAAAATGGCAGTCGCTTTGTGATTACCATAAACAATTTTTCATTTGTGAATAAATTGAAAAGAGAAAATAACGGAAATTCGAAGTTAAAATGAAACAAAGGAAACTATTGTAGGTTTGCTTTGAGTTGTCTTTGTGATCAAAATCAAGCATTTATTACAGATTCTTTGGACAAGCGATGCTTTGTGGAAACGAATGTAGTATTTTCAACGGAAATTTGCGACACAAACAAATAAACAAAGAAAAAAAACATTTGTTGAATTATGTATTTTTTTTGGATCCGATCGCTGCCAATTGCTATACTATCATTTGCCAAAAAAAATCGCCAGCTAAAAATAAAAGCTCGCTGTCTTTTGGGGGTATTTTCTTCTCTGACATTCTTTCAACGACACACAAAATCGAACCTGAAAAAAACTGTAAATTCTGCTTGTTTCTGGCTGTCGACGGCTCAACTATTGTTGAAAAGTTGAAAATTACTCGGATTTCAGTCTCGCTTTTACTTTGGATTGTCTTTTTTTCTCTCCTCCATTTGTATGGCTGGTATTTCCGAATCGATTTTCCCATGACTCAGCCATCGCATTGTGATTGCTTATTGAAACAGAAGTGAATAACGAACATTGATACACCCACATTTCGCCAGCTGTCGATGTATGCGTGTGTGGTGTGTAGTGGCTTCATAAGGGATTTTAATGAGTTTTTCTCGTCTCAATGAAATCGATATCTGTCAAGAAGGATTTTTCCATTACTCTGCAGAGAAGCATTTCTTCGAATTTTGGGAATTTCATTTGAAAAATAAGAATTACAAACATCGGCTTGAAATGCTGTGACCTATGAGATTTCAATTCCATTTTCACCTACTGCTGATCATTGTCTATCAACTGTTTTGTTTTCGATCTCAGGCATCATGTAGCTTGTTCTGATACCAATCAAATCAAATATTCTAATCCAGTCCAATGGAAATCTGCTGTTTATTTATATTAAGCAAAATTACCGATGATGCTGCAGGATATTTTGATGTTTAATATCACTCTGTTGGCTGATATATACACTTCTAAACAGCTTGCTAATGAGATAGAATTTAATAATTTTGTCATTTGACGATGTGAAGCATAGCAAGTTTGACCACATTCCCCAATAAACACTCACTTCATTCTATCCGCTTTATCATATGTAGTGCTGCTATACATTTGCATCCGTTGCCCTGGATGCAACCATATTTCAAACATGAAATTTTGTTTAAGACTTTTGTGAAATAAATTATTACCAGCGAACTATTTGGTTTGAGATATTGGTTTCAATTTTGTTAAATATTATTTGCATGGACAACATTATATGTAAAATTTTGAAATTTCCCCCAATAAAATAGCACAGCTTGGAAGTCTGTAAACCATCAGAGTTGTGATTTGATTTCGGTGTGTTATTGTTATTTTGCGTCTAACTCAAAAATAAATGTGAAACATTTCCCAAGTGTGTTCAGTGTGTTCCTATCAAACTGCAGTTGATTTTATTCAAGCTATACATAGCAGCACCTGTGCTCACCAATCATTGTTCAGCATGATTTTAATATAGCAAACGTTTTGGGAATACAATTTAGCGTCCAACAACCGTTTCAAGTCAGTGGAAAAAACATAAACCCGCAAAAAGTTTAAAACAACATATAAAGTCTTAAATCGCAATCCACTAATTTTACGTCCATTTCATTTGAAATGGTAATGAATAATTCCATGGAAGGAGATTTTATGGTTTATGTGCTGAAAACATTGCAATGTTGATATTTAACAACGAACTCGCAATGCGCATCTCTCAAGTAAATTCCCATTCCCTTCGTTCTAACAATGAATTGAAATGTGAATCGTTATTGGCACGCGTAAGCCGTTAATTTTGAGATTTCTATTTTGCCTAGATGGCGCTAAAATACTGCTAAGTGTAAACGAAATCACAATACAAACACAGTCCAGTACAGTATCTGATTTTGACAGTGTGCATACATCGCAAACACGTGTTGCTCCGAATATTTTGTGTAAATGGCATGTTCGTCACAAACCTGAGCATGTGTTTATGTGTTTTGCCGGTCGAATTGTGTACAACGCTCGGTCTGCATGTGTAACAATTCTGTTGTATGAGCATAGGGACTGGAATCCAGTAGGAATGTCTTCCGATTTATTCGGCAGTGTATTTTAACTCTATTGTTCACCAAATAAAACGTCACAGGTCACACTTTATCCACGAGATCTATTGACATTGTGCTACTGATGAAAACAAACCTCAAAAGTGTTTGCAACGAAACACAGATTTTGGTAAATTTTCCCTCTCACATTTTATGGTTTAACACCAAATCATCCACACGGTACATCTGTGCAAATAAAATCGTTTGTGCTTCATAAACATTGATAACCTTTGTGCGCCCTGACATCTCACATCACGGATTTTATCTCTAGCGGAGAGCAGCTGAATCGATTGAAAACAAGTAATTTATTTGTGACTCCATTAATTATCGTCACTAAAGAAAAGAATTCAGTTCGATTAACGATAGAAATAAATACGTCGAAGTGCTTAATCGTAAGTTTATTGTTTCCTTCGCCCAAGAACATTGTTTGAACAAACAAAAACCCAAAAGGCAAATATTCCAAACGCACGTTCCAAACCCATAAGCCAAAGCAAATTTACAAACAAATTTATTTTCCTATAACTTTATCTGACTTTGGCTGTTTTCGGTCCTGTTTGGTCGTCGTCGTTGTCGTCGTTGGGGTCTTGTGTAGACAACAAAACATAATAATAAGAATAAGCAATGAAACGAACGAGCGATAACATGATCCAGTAAACAGTGTGCTATTTGGATTTGTTCTTTGCAGCATATGAACAGACGAAACGTTTGAAATTCATTGATACACGAGACCTTGTGTGAATGTATTCAGAATGAACAAATCACAGTAGTGTTGGAACGCGTGACGTTTATGCTGACCACAATCATTTGCGTACACTCGTATTTGTGTTGCTTAATATGTGTGTAACGAGCCTTTGGAATGCTTGCCTTTGATTTAATTCCATCAGTCTGATTGATATTATTATCCCGATCGGTAGTGTGTAATTCATTTTATTCGTTTTTTTAAATATTTCATTAAAAAAAAATGAAAAAAAAATTCAATCAATTTGATTTTATTATTAATAAATTCATTTCGATTTCATTTAATTTACGTATTTGGTTTTTTTTGCGCACAGAAAAAAATAAAACGTTCACAAAAATGTCAAGCAAATCGATTTTAGTGATTGGATCTGGCGGTCGTGAGGATGCAATTTGCTGGAAACTTGCACAGAGCAACAAAATCGACAAGTTGTTTGTGTTGCCAGGCAGTTTTCACATTGGTAATCGGCCAAAAGTTGAACTGGTGAAAGATATTTCGGTCAAAGATCATGCGGCAATTGTTAAATTCTGTCAAGATCAAGGAATCAATTTGGTTTTTGTTGGACCCGAAGATCCATTGGCCGATGGCGTTGCTGATTCACTATTGGCAGCTAAAATCAAATGCTTCGGACCAACAATGAATGGTGCACGCATCGAATCAGACAAATCATGGTCCAAAGAGTTCATGGTTGCAGCACAAATCCCAACCGCACGTTACGAGAGTTTCGACAATGTCGATGCGGCCAAAGTATTCATTAAAAGGTATACATACACTTTTAATTAAATCATAATTAACGAAGGTACATATTACGAAACGATTTTTTAATACCATGACTACAAAAAATCTGCACAATAATCGTATTTTGTTACTAAAAAGACTTACTACTTATCAGCTCAATTTTTTGTGTGCATGCAAACAGAACGAAAAAAAAAACGCAGACAAATGCATGGATTATTATGTGAACGTGTTGTCTCCACCGAGGCAAAATTTCATTTAACAAATCAATGCTGTTTTTTTCCCTCACCCATTTTTAATCTGGTTGACTTTTGTTGCTGTTGATTTCATTATCATTTTTGTGATTGATTTTCCATGGTTGTTCAGCGCTTCGTATGACGCACTTGTTGTCAAAGCCAGTGGTTTAGCAGCGGGAAAAGGCGTTGTTGTTGCCAATAACAGAGAAGAGGCTTGTGCGGCTGTTGATGAAATCTTGGGCGATTTGAAATATGGTGCAGCCGGTAGCAAAATTGTTGTCGAAGAAAAACTTAATGGCGAAGAAGTTTCGGTGAGATTGTTTGTTTTTGTTAACGGCGATTGATTGTTGTTGAGTTATTGGGTGGAGGGGGGTTTGTGGAAAAATACGAACACAATTGATAAAAAATAATATTGTTTGTGTTTGTGTTTTAATCAATCAAGCTGCTGGCCTTTGTCGATGGTAGTACGGTGAAGACGATGTTGCCGGCACAAGATCACAAGCGGCTGAGTGATGGTGATAATGGACCGAATACGGGTGGAATGGGCGCCTATTGCCCGTGTCCATTAATCAATGATGCCGACCTTGAGTTTGCGCGGAAGGAAATCATCGAAAAAGCATTGACCGAATTCAAGAAGCGTGGAATCAATTACTGTGGTGTCTTATATGCTGGCCTTATGCTAACGGAAAACGGACCACGCACATTGGAATTTAATTGTCGATTTGGTGATCCAGAAACTCAAGTAATTCTACCACTTCTTGAAACGGATCTGTATGAAATCGTTGAAGCCTGTTGCAATGGTCAATTAAGCAGCTGCAATTTGAAGTGGAAACAAGGGAAATCAGCTGTTGGTGTTGTTATGGCCAGTGAACGCTATCCAGAGGCTCCAATCAATGGACGCAAAATTCTCGGTAAATTTCAATGGAAAATGAATATTTAAATCAATTTTCAATATTTTCCATTTTCATATTCAATGTCCGATCTATTCTACCATAGGGCTACCTGAGAAGGATACGGAAAAACGTATAGTTTTTCACAGTGGAACAACAAACGATGGTAACAACCAGTACGTCACCAAGGGTGGTCGAGTTTTAATCAACGTCGCCATTGAGGGCAATCTGTACAATGCTGCTGCCGAAGCAACGAAAGGTGTACAGGAAATTCAATTCACCGGTCGTCAATACCGTACCGATATCGCTCACAAAGCATTCAAAAAGTGAGTCAATCACAAATCATATCCATCATACTTGGATATAACGAAAACTCATCAAAACCAAATCATACCTACTTGTTCTGCCATTCGGAAACAAATAAAACACAATTTTTTTTCTCGATAAAAAAAAATCTAAATCATTTCCTATTTTTTTCATATTCGAATTGATAGGGGCTCATTATCGTACAAAGACAGTGGGGTCGACATTGTTGCTGGCGACGATTTAGTGCAGTTGATCAAGCCAATGTCGCGTGCCACACTGAGAAAAGGTGTAGTTGGTGGCATCGGTGGGTTCGGTGGCCTATTTCGTGTTAATGAATTGCAATATCCCGTATTGGATGGCCAACCACTAAATTACAATGATCCCGTTCTCGTTGAACGAACATCGGGAGTGGGCGCCAAAATGGCTTTGGCTATCGATTGCAACATTTTCAATACAATCGGTTACGATTTGGTAGCAACATGCGCAAATCAAGTGGCATGTACGGGTGCACAACCATTTGCATTCCTCGATTATGTTGCCTGCGGCAAATTGTTCGTTCCTGTGGTTGCTGGAATGGTTAAAGGTGTTTCGGAAGCATGCCAAGCAGCTAATTGCTCACTTTTGGGTGGTGAAACCGCTGAAATGCCATCGCTGTTCAAAGTCGGCACTTACGATTTAGTCGGCTATTCAATCGGTTGTGTTGAATTCGGAAAAGAGCTACCACGTTTCGATCTCATCAACGAAGGCGATTCAATTATTGGAATAAAAGCCAACGGGTTGCATTGCACCGGCATCGATGTTGTGTATGATATTATCAACGATTTGCATATCGACTACTTTACAAAGGCACCATTTTCAAGCGATAATAAAACATACGGTAAAATAAACTTTATTCTGGAAATCGGAGAGCCTGAAATAAAATTTTATTCGATGAACATTTGTAAATTGAAGCAATTTTTTTATATAATTTTTCTTTTATTTTTTCAATATTTGTTTGTTCAATAGCCGAAGAATTCCTAAAGCCATCTCGTGTGTATGTTCAACAAATTTTGCCATTGGCTACCAGCGGAGCTATTAAATCAGCGTCCTACATTACAAACTCGGGTTTGCAAGGCAGTTTAGAAGCCATCCTTCCAACTCAATATGGAACCGAAATAAATGTAGCAACTTGGGAAATTCCATCCGTGTTTGGCTGGATTCAAGCCAAAGCCAGCAAAATTACGGCTGTTGAATTTGCAAGCAAATTCAATTTGGGCATCGGTCTCGTTGCTGTTGTTCCAAAAGGCAGTACTGCTTGGAAATCAATTGATGGAGCTGTTGAAATCGGTAAGCCTGCATTGTTTGTTGTAAAAGAAATGTGATGAACAAATAATAACTTCAAACCTCTTATCCACGTAGGCAAGGTTGTTTCATCTAAATCACAAAGCAACCGTGTCAATTTCACTGGTTTGCAAGAGAGCCTCAAAAAATTATCGACAAAATTCATGGATTCAGCTGAAGTACACAATCTAAAATTGCAAGTGGGATCGCTGAAAAGTAAATTAAAAGGAAGTTTCGAAAAACTCTTGAGTGGAACAAACACTGAACATGTTTATGAGCGCTTCGGCCAAAAGTTTGTACGCTTGAATCCCGATGGTAGGCGACTGTACAGTGATCCAATTTTGGTAATTGGAGCAGATGGAGTTGGAACTAAGTTGAAAATTGCTCAATACATCGAAAAACATGATACGGTTGGCATTGATTTGGTTGCGATGAGCGTGAATGACATTTTGTGCAACGGAGCAAAGCCATTGACATTCCTCAACTATTATGCATGCGATCGTTTCAATGATGATAAATCGGTGGATATTATAAAGGGTATTGCTGATGGTAGCTTGTCCGGTGAATGTGCTCTGGTCGGTGGTGATCCGATTGAATTGCCCCAAATATACACAAAAGACGAATATGATTTGGCTGGTTTTGCGATGGGTGTAGTTGAAAATGGTAAATTATTGCCACGCGTCGATGAGATTGCCGATGGCGACTACGTAATCGCTTTGCCATCAAGTGGTGTGCACAGCAACGGTTTTAGTTTAGTACATAAAGTATTGGAAAAAGCAAATGCAACATACAAGGACCCAGCACCGTTCAGTCATAGTGGGAAATCGTTTGGAGAGGAATTCTTAACGCCCACCAAAATTTATGTTGCTCCAATGATTCCATTGTTAGAAGAAGGTAAAATTAAAGCCGTCGCTCACATCACTGGTGGCGGTCTACTTGAAAATATTCCAAGAGTGTTACCAGATCATTTGGCTGTTCACCTTGATGCCGACAAAATGTTTATACCGCCGATTTTCGCGTGGCTCGCAAGCGAAGGTAACATTGAAAATGCCGAACTTCAGCGCACGTATAACTGTGGCATTGGACTGATACTGGTTGTTAGCAAACAACATGCACTCGAACTTGAATCTCGCCTCAGGTTCGTGCTCAAAGCGAAGATTATTGGTGTGGTGAAGCAGCGTAAAGCCAATGAACCACGCGTTGCGATTGACGATACCAAATTCACGGCTACTTTAAAAAGAACACAACAGATTTTGACAAACCCAAAGAAACGTGTCGGTGTTTTGATATCAGGCAATGGAAGCAATTTACAAGCCCTCATCGATGCCACACGCGATACAAATTTCGGAATCAATGCGGAAATCGTTTTGGTATTATCGAATAAATCCGAAGCATTTGGTTTGAAACGGGCTGAAAGTGCAAAAATTCCAAGCAAAACAATTTCACATTTGAGCTATCGTTCGTGTGCAAAACCGAGAGAAGAATTTGACAAAGCTTTAACGGCTGAATTGGAAAAACACAAAGTGGATATTGTATGTTTGGCGGGATTCATGCGAATTTTGTCCGAAGGATTCGTTCGCCACTGGAAAGGACGATTGATCAACATTCATCCATCACTTTTGCCAAAATACCCAGGTTTGGATGCACAGAAACAAGCATTCGAGGATAGTCCACGCGACACCGTCAGCGGTTGCACCGTTCATTTTGTCGACGAAGGCGTTGATACTGGAAATGTAATTTTGCAAGAAACTGTACCAATTCACAATAATGACACACTCGATGCGCTAACCGAACGCATTCACAAAGCTGAACACCATGCATTCCCTCATGCACTTCGATTAATCGCCAATGATTTGATTAAATTCTGAAATTCCACCACAATATATAAGTAATTTCTCTTCTTTTTTTTCTTCAAATATTGTTACTTAGAAATTGTCACATTCAAAAATATTCTGTTATATTGTTTTTATCGAATAAAATCAAAGTTGAACCGAAATATAGCACCGAAATTACATTCAATTTTACTGCTGGGGAATGAAAAATTCTCACATCACAACAACCAAAAGAAAAACATTGTTCCTGTTCGAGCGTTCTAAATAGATTAAATACGGATCAGTAGCGGCAATGCATTTAAACGTAATCAAAAAAGACCCTCCTGCTGTACTCTATTGTGGTTACTATACAAACTAGTTCCCACACACTGTGTCACACAGTCATTGTGTTTACCATTCACACGGAGAGCACTGATTCACTTAACCGCTATTGCATGCAAACCACACTAGACACGTATTTGAATACAAAATTACGGTAACTGTTTCATCATATTTTTTTTTGTTTACGTTTAGGAAGGACCTGACACATTGAATCTATTTTGGCTTAAAAAGTATCGAGTTCAAGGATATTTTGTGATGTATTTTAGTCAACGGGATTTTTTTTATTCATTTTCTCTCTTTTTTCTGAAAGGATTAACACATCGGTCAATAAGTCCCGAGCCTAACCACCAAGTGGCAACACTAATGTCAAACCCATATCATTTTCGAAAACTACAACCTTTTTTAGGAATCCAGTCAAAATTTGAGCCAAATCCGACCATCAGTTCGCTAATTACAGCACTTTAAATGAAGCAATTTTCCAATTTTCCAAAATCATGGAAAAACTGCATTTCTCCTCTCGATTTGACACATGTATTCCAGAAGAAAAACGAGCAGGAGTACCAAACCCATACTATGATTAGTTTATGGCATCCTTAGGCTTTCGAAATCAATCATTAGATATGGAAGAATTGAATTTATGCATAGCCATAAGAGCGATTTTGTCGATAAGCCTCCAAATTGTTCAAAATATGTGGTTTTGGAAGAAATCATTGCCAAAATCCGTTAAGTGATATCGGAATTCTCAAATGTGATAGTTCATAGATTTGCTAAGGCCATAGGGCAACTAACTCAAGCTATAGTTACAACTTTGCATGGATATATGCATATGAAATACTCAATCGAAAAAGCCTTGCCGCGTTTTTGGATATGGAGTAGATAGAACAGTTTTTTGGGGATTCGAAGCCCGTTTGGAGCTGTATAAGTAAAATTTGAATAGGGTTTTGCCTTTATATATTAGAATTAATGTATTTTGAGTTCATTTGAATAGATTCGATCTATAAATTGCGGGTAGAAATCGCCAAAAACGGTTTGTAGCGACCAAGGTCGCAAAATATGAGTTCGGGCATTATTAGTGGATTTAGGTATAGAAAAATATTCGCGAACCAGTGGGAAAGATATAAAACAACATGAAAAGTCACTTATGCATCATTTTAGACCTATCCGAATGTCAAATCTTGATAAAACATAGCAAATTTGGCGAAGAAAACTATGTTGTTCAAATGCGAGTTTCATCCAGGTCAAAGAACTGTTTATATGGTGATATAATTGAACGAAATTGGTTTCAAACTGCTTCACTAACCATTGTATTTTTTAGGTCTGGTCATTCTCTGAACTCTCCACATGAATATACTTGAATACAATGCATCAGAAGAAAGTTATACCGTTTTAACGGCAAAATTGAAGCATTTTCGGGAGTCTTTCTCTCGTATAGCTGTAACTAGCAAACTGATGGTCGGATTTGGCTCAAATTTTGACTGGATTCCTAAAAAAGGTTGTAGTTTTCGAAAATGATATGGGTTTGACATTAGTGTTGCCACTTGGTGGTTAGGCTCGGGACTTATTGACCGATGTGTTATTGTTTAGAAAAGAGTTCTTTTTTATCGATTTTTTTCACACAATTTTTTTTTGTTTATTATGAAAGAAATGTTTGCTTTTTTGGAATGCACAAATGAAAAAAACAAAGTAGTATTTTTGCACTAATTTATCAGACTTAATAACTCCAAAATTTATGTTCCCAAGGATTCGAATGTGTTTTCACAGGAGAAATACGGAAAGAATGATCCTTGTCAACTTGTTTTATTGCGAATCCCACGCTTTTTTGTTCAACCGGTTCATTATTATTTATTTTTTGTCGAGTAATAATATGATAATCACTTCATTCACCGAACAAAGTGCATATATGAGAAACGTTGGTGATCTCAAAAATCATTGTGGGAGCGGGGCTGAAGAGCGTATATAGTTCGCGTGGTTGTTCCGTAGCACGAATAACAGCAATTAACCGAAGCGCTACGAAATATAAAGCCGAACGAATAAATCGAAAGGGAAAACAAGAATTGGTTCTGCCTCTTTGAAACATTTCAGATTCATTCCTTTTGCTCTTTTTTTGTCCTGCAATAAATACGAGCATAGTCAAGGCTGTGCCTCACAAACTTCATAGGAATTGCATTTAGACGAAGAAAAAGGAAAAAAAAATACACTGAAATAGGTATTAGCGTAGCTCTTACGCTAGCTATCTGCACTCAACTATCGTGCTAAATGCTCACCCTACCAAAAATGAATACGCGTGTCGTTCGTGTGTATGAGAACCGAGGCTAAAATCGTTCCCACGAACTGAACGCTATCGAAGCTGCGCCCCTATTTTTAGTGCATGGTGAATGTATGTTTTGTTTACAAGTCAATATGCTTACGATTACGAAGGGCATTTATGTGCTCGCTTTGCGTTCGATTGAAATTTTGTTGCCATAGAGCCTATTTTAGTCGGTCGATTCAGTCGGAGTGCCACATTCCACATTGAATCGTATTGAATTGTATGAGAGATTCGAGGGTAGTATTTTTGTGAGTAGTTTAGTCACTGTTTGAATGTTTCTTCATTCATGGTACTGTAAAACTATTCATTCGTCGATTTTAACGCGATTTTAGGTAATTAAACAGTCTTCCGTTTCATTCTCGCTCGCCAAAAAAAGCAATTTCGGTCTGCATTTATATTGACATTGCTGTGAATAATGGGTGTGTATTTCGATGGTTCAGTTGTGAGAGCCAATGTGACTTGTAAGTTGTGGCTCACATTGTTACCCTCCTTTTGATGCATCGGTCGCATGATTTTTCCCACGAATATTCCTGTGAACACTCCGTCCATGGGCTGAGAATGTGGTACTCTGTGTGCATTCGATTATTTGATAAAATAATATTTGTTATTGTTGAATCGGCGCGTGCGAAATAAATGAATACTTGTTTCATCGAAAGCAATTTTCTTCACTTCTTCGTCAAGTTTTTTTACTGCTGTTGTTGTTGTTGATGGACGTTTTTCTTTCAATTTGTTTATTACAACGCATGCAGACGTCCACTCTTCGCAGGATTATGATAGCAACAGCAGCATGGAAAAACAAACCCTGATGCAAATATGTATGGCAAATTGTTAAGAATTCACTTGATGCTCGTTCAGCGATCAACCGATAATTATCCACAATTGTATACTTGATACACGAACGGCGGCAAAGAATTTGTTCATGAGATCTATTTTAATATCGGAAAGCCTTTCGAGAAAGATAAAATGAGACTCATGAATTATTTTTACGTAAGCAATCAAATGCTATGGAACAACAAGAACAATCAATATGAACTGAAATGATTATTTTTAGCTTCTGTACAGAACGTTTATAAGAAGATTTGGTTCAAATTGAAAAAAGATGAACGCTATACCGTTCTAAAAAAAAAAATAATGAACTGATTATGGCTCAATGCGATTTGCAAAAAATATTTTTGGACGCATTTTATTGTCTGATTGTCAGTCACAACAAACAGAGAAAGAGAAAACGAAGAGAGTCGAATAAGCCGATTTAATAACGAAAATAAGAACGACCGTATTCGAAAATATTATTTTTGAAAACCAAAAGAAAATTGAAAAAATCCGATACATGGAAAATGATCTTGTCCCCCAATATTTATGTAACAAAATTAGATATGCGAATGGATTCCACAATAGAAACACAAGAAGCAGAAATGAATTTAGGCTTCCTGATATAAGAACTGAGAACGCAAGAAAATGTATATTGTACAACGGAGTAAAATTACTTAACGATTTGCCAAATGAACTAAAGAATATAAATAGTATTAACATATTTAAAAAGAGACTTGCCTTGCACATAAAAGAATAGGATTTAGGGATTTTATTAAATGTACAACCAAAAAAAAAGCGAAAGCTAATCACAAATAAAATAAAAATACATTCCCGTCTCAGTCCGTCTGAAAGATATATTTTCTATGATCGTAGAAATTCTTTTTAAGATTCGATCTTTAAATCAAAAATGTGCATTAAAAGGATTATTTTCCAAGTGCGTCAACCTGCCAAATAGAAACCGAAATAAAAAGCATCTTTCAATATATATTTTTTTTCTTAAGTTATAATGAGCAATTTCAGCCGCAACTTCAATGAAATATAAAAAAGTGCCAAAAATTCATGCACACGGACAAAGGAGTACACGTGACTCAAACAATAAAAATCATCATAGATTCAAGCAATAAAAACTACATGCAGAGTTATCGAATAAAATACCACAAAAAATCACATGAAATGGTGAAATGATTGGACGAAGATCAGAACGGAACAGCATTTCCTCAATGTTGGTGTTATGCTCTCTCACTCGTGTCCTTTGTAGGCATTGAAGAGACGAGTAAACAATTAATATGAACAAATAGACGGCGACGTTGACGACAACAAGGTGTTGTGTGTATTGGTCTGTGCGTGTACTCTTTGTTTGTGTGTATGTGTGTGTGTGTGAGTGCTGTTGATCAACGATATGATTTCGATAGTTTTTAAATGGTGCTAGACGACAGTGGTAGGGATGACGTCACGCACTGCATGCGTTTGGCGTACTCACTATTGCAGCCGAACGTCGTTCACACACGTGTATCAGTTCCTTTTCAGCATTTGCACTCGTAACACACATTTTTCGGTGCACTCCGTACTCGTCGCACAAATAAAGACTTAGAAAATTTAATTTTGAAAATTTGTTCTATTCCAACAAAGATAACACAATTTTTCGAAGTTCAACCAAAAGTGAAAATAACTGACCGAACCAAGGAAATTCAATTAGTTTTTGTATTGAGTCAAAAGTGAAGAGACATTCATGCATAACTTTGCCGGTTTTTTGTGATAAATTGAATTTTTTTTAAATTGAAATTTCGTAATTTGTGTGGGCAGTTGCAAAGAAATCATACAAGTGTGAAGATCGGAGATAAAGCAAGTATCTGGTATTGAAGAACGGAAATTAAATAAAAGACAGACATGGAACATCATCGCATTTACAATAATCCGCCTTTGCACTGGGGCTATTCGTCAACGTCGCACGCGATGCATAATACTTGGGTTCCGCCTCCAAGTCGTGGCACTAAACGATCTATCTCCGAAAGTGATTGCGAAGATAACTACTCGGAAACATCGTCCAAAGAGTAAGTATTGACATGGTGTTTGGTTTTTTTTAAAAATCAATAAAGACCGTTTCTGATTCAAGAATTAAAATTCATTTTATTTTTTTTTCCTTGTTCAAAGATTTTTCAATTATAAATTTGGATTTGATTGATATTTTGATGCATTATTTTTACTTCGGAATTAAAAAGAAGCGAAAATATTCAAGCATCAGCAAAAAAAAAAGTTGAAATAAAAAAGTCTAACGGTTTTTTCCTATGTTTTATTTTACAGTACATCGCCAAAAGGTGATGCAGACAGTTGCCAGCAATTGACCCGTAAGAAGCGACGTGGTGTGATTGAGAAGAAGCGTCGTGACCGGATCAATTCGTCATTGTCTGAGCTCAAGCGCTTAGTCCCATCGGCTTACGAAAAGCAAGGCTCATCGAAATTGGAGAAGGCTGAAATTTTACAATTAACTGTTGATCACTTGAAAAATCTCCACTCAAAAGGTAATCTCTACTCAACCAGTTTGAATTTAAAACGAGAATTTAAAAAACAACAAATCGGAACGTATCTCTCCTAAATATTCATCCATGACACAGGGCTAAATTATATTTTGCAATTTTTTTTCTATTATTTCTAGGAATAGATTCGATGACATTTGATCCGCAGCGATACGCGATGGATTATCACGTAATTGGTTTTCAAGAGTGTGTTTCTGAAGTGGCTCGATATTTGATTGCCCACGAAGGCATGGATATTCAAAATCCATTGCGGATGCGTCTGTTGTCTCATCTCCGGTGCTTTGCCGCCCAACGTGAGCTGTCAATAAAGTCAGCGACTCCGTCTGCCAATCAGAATTGGACAGCAACCACCCCAGCATATCCATTGCCACAGAATAATTACGCATCAACAACGACCAGTGCATTGGCACCACCGCCACCGCCACCACTCTTAGCTCCACGATCGTTACAAACACCCACCACATCAACAGTCACTTCATCGATATTGGCATCATCGGTTCCATCCAGCCCAGCGACAGCAATGTATTCCAGTAGCTACGCATCATCCTCCAATTATCCATACGTTCCAAATTTGGCGCCGACAGGATCCAGCGACATTTTCGCCGAACCACACACACCAACAAGCACCGCTGGAGCTGTGCCGTCAAACGAATCACTTTCAGCCCATGCACAAATGCAGACACATCAACAGCAACAGCAGCAACAGCAGCAACAAAATCATTATGTGCAACATCAAGATCAGAATGGGTCCACGTACACAGATCTGTCATCGACTCAGCGCAACGCTGTGGTTAGCATTGGATACACCAATCAGTATAATCCAATGTCGGGTTTCAGTCACACGGCTACTGAACACAGCCATCATGAAGACTCATTGTCTGGAACATACAATAACAAACCATATCGTCCATGGGGCGGCCCAGAAATGGCCTATTGAACCAACCAATTTTATGAATGCATTTCATTTTTTGTAGAGACAAAAATGATGACGATCTCCATTTTTATGTATAAAAATCCTTTTGAACTTTCGAAGAAAAACAAATTTTTCTAACAAAACGCACAACGTAAACGAAAATCACATAATTTATTAATAATTTTTACAACGAAATTCTAAAGCGGAAAGAAATACAATTTTCTCTCGCATATATATTTTTTGTAACGACAAGCGCCTAGTCATAGCATTGTAAGGATTGTATATATTTATATCAAATTATTTTATTTTTCTGAATTGAATGAAAAAGAACGTATTTTGCTCAACATAACTTAATGTTACAATTCAAATGTAACCAAGTCTAAGTCATTCCATTGAGGAAATGAGAACGAAAAAAAATTGTAGCTTTAAAATGGCAGGAACAACCATATATAATATAACAAACATATGAATTATTTATTTTTCCATACTTATTAAGACAAAAAAACAATATTTAATTTAAGAGAGAAAAGATTTTTTTGAGGAATGTTTATATGAATCTATTTATTTTTTTTGTATTAAAAATTGTAAACAAAAAGAACAATAAAAATTGTGCAAACTCAACAAGTATTGTTGTACAATGTACATGTATTGTGACGTCGAAATGAAATGACTTTTATTCGTATGTTTGTGAACAAACATCATATAGTCAAGTTTGGCACTGACACTCATTCCAGCGATTAAGAACTTTGCAGGCTGACTTTTCTCTCACGTATGAATATTATCACGTTAGTTTGGCACAGAATAAATCACATAATCCCATCTACTGGTGGCGCATGTTGACTGTTGAGTGATTGTTGAATGTCGTTGATTTCCACAGAGTGAATAATTGATAGTCCCAAAATAAGCAATTTGGAAACTCACAAAGAATCGAAGTTGGTGGAATTATTCCTTTTTTTTCGGTAAATAACAAGGCTTATGAGTGCGTGATTCGCATGTAGATCACGTTCGTAGGTGAACCTTTCGAATCAAGTGGCATTGTATCACATAAGCATCTAATGGATTTTCGGGAGCAAAAACGGATGGCAACAAATCGTTATCTACGTCTGTCGTACGGTTTTACATAATTCCCCAACTTACACCGAACAAAAATGGAAACGAGTATAAAGAATGCAAATTGCTGAGCGTATTTTCATGGGAAAACCGAATATTATGGTTATAATCACTTAAAGCACTTTATGGTATTTTCTTTCATTTCTTTTTTTTTGCTATCTGTTTTGCTTGTTAAACGCTGGGGAATTAGTCGGTTTTGGACGACCTTCAACTTCGACATTGTGCTGCTTTAAAATATGGAGAGCACATTTGAATGCACCTTCGTTAAACGTCGAACAGATGATTAAATAATAAATAAGCGGGATATTATTTTATCTTCTCAACCAAATTGATTGCCTGTGTGCGTGCGTATGTATATGTGTTGAGAGCGAGAAAGGACTGCAACCGGATCGGATAATTCTGACAATAATAGACGTTTCATTGCAAATTGATAACAAAAGAGCCCGAGAAGAAGGAGCAAAAAAAAGCGACCGAATTGAAATAGATATTTGAAAATGCTGCACACGAAATGGCTGACACATCGAAACAACGCAATTGGAACGAATGAACGAACGCAGCGCGCGTCTCAAAGTCATGCTCTCTCTCATCACGAACACACATTATGCATTGAATGAAAAAGTCTTCGTAAATATTGGAGAAGGAACCATGTTCGTCTAGACCTTTTGGCTTGAGCATGTAACGCTTATGCTACGTTGCAAATGCAATCAAATGTACACGGCGTGCGTTCACTCTGACAGTGTGTGGCTGTACAGCCATTGTTTGCCCCGTCGTCAACATCGTTCTATCAAAACCGAAATGGCTGCACATTTGTTTTTTCTTTTCCTTCTCATTCCAAAGTCAGAAGTGAACAAAAGTCTCTGTTTGTGCGGCTTGCTGACATCAATGACGTTGCTGCTATTGAGTAGTGGACATTTATTTGTGTCACAGCGAAAATACTTTCTCGGAATTATTGGTGGAAAAGTTTAATCAAACCAAAAACTTCGATGAAAAAGAAAACGAGGGAAAAAACCATCTCAAAGCCAAGCAATTTATTGCTAATTTTTCCTATTTGTTGCTCTATTCGGTGAACAGTGTTCACTGTGATTCTTTCATCTTCTGTCATTCTTTAGTTGTCCAATATATGTGATGCAGCCAACGTAAAGAATGTTATGACATTTTTCATTCTTTGTAGCATGATGGTGGTGGTGGTGCAGCAAATGGAACGACCTTTCACTTGATTGCTGACGTCCAAAAAGGACGAAATAAATTCATACCGTTCAAATTCATACATGGATGCTGCGAATATGGCGACAGCTTGAGTGCATTCATTCATTATATGTCTGTTTTTGTAATGCCTTCTGAACTTTGTTTTTTATGCGTTTTCATCCCAGCACATTCATACTATTCGGTGTATCAGCTCAAATGATACAAAGAAAAGTGGACAGTTTGATGTGTCGGGAGTATTTTTCACAAAGAAATCATCATCATGTCAATAAAATGACCATTCTAATGGTTTGTTTTTCTCTTCTATTCTCTTCTTTCAAATATTAGACGCTTTGAGTGGAATGCCCTGTGACAGACACGGAATGCAAATTATCACGAAATTCACGTCGAATCCACATATTAAAACGGTCAACTGTGTTAAATAGTAAGAATTTCATTGCAAAAAATCTCATGAATTGAATCCACTGTGCATTCGTTTTCATAGCACACACTTCATTTGAATAATTTCTCAATGTCCATTGGTCAGCAAATTCAGCTATAAATGAGGAAAAAGTAATTTGCAACGAGACAAAGAAAAACAATTTAGTGTGGTCAAAACCCTTGCGGTAAAGTGTCACGGACCACAGCACGCCAATTGGTAGTCAAACAATAACACCAAAGCTACAAAGAGTTGCTTGCTTTTCTTTGCTTCGTATTTTTTTTTTTCGCCGGGAAATTGTGTATTGTTCGATCGATTGAGAAATTTCCGTTGAAAAATATTTTCCATTCAGAAGAAAAACTACAGTGAGCCAATTTCAAATTGAAGCGTTCAATTTGCCCCGGAGGTGTTGCTCTGCTTGGTGTGGTGTGAAAATGCATCGATTGAGTATTCATGAGCAGCAAGCGTATAATAGCATTCCAACAAATTGCTGACCAAATGGAAAGATATGGTAGGGCAACGGCAATCGGCCACGGCCAGTTGCCAATGCCACAGTAACCGACACCAACTCAAATATGACATAGATAAACAAAGCAAAATGGAATATCCTTTCGCATTGTACAACTTAATGAAAATTGAATGCTTTGTAATAAAGGAACACTGTCATCGTGCGTTTGCTGTGAATGAAGCATGCATTTCCATTTTCAATAGGAGGTTTTTTGTGTGTCTCATTTCTTCATTTCAAGCGTATTGTTCGTATAGTGTGTGTGCATCTGTGGCTGGAATATCATCCGATAGTTGTTTTTGTAAGAGTTTATTGCCTTGCTACCATCAAGCCACGCTTCCACAAAGTGGAAAACTTTCATCAAAACCCTGGAGCCAATGCAATTTGTTTCGGCGAAAATGAATGTTGAGACAAACCGACAAACGGCCACCAGAAGCGATTGTAATCTTTCCTCATTATTTGGCATTTGTCTCTTTTGCAACCTAATCCCATATCGTTATCATTTTTTGTCGGTGGATTTCATTTTGGAGGAGTTAAATCAACCATAAGCGGACATACTTGCTTATCCGGTTAAAGAGGTTTTTCGACGACACAGTTTTCTCGTTATTTATTTTCACGTGGGCCACGTTTGAATGCTATCTGGTGAATAGCGTTGCAATCAACGGCTTCCGGTGGTCAATTTAGAAACCAACGTACCATCGATTATGGTTCGCTCCTTAACTATTAAATTTCCTGAATTTAGGCATATATTTCCGTTATCGTAGAGAGTATTTGCCATGTGCTCCATGGTATCCCATTCAAAGTTCATTAAACCAAATGTGAGTGGTTTTTTGGCCGCGTTAATCTGCAATCAAACATTGTCAAAGGAAGTTGGTTTTTGTTTGCCACGGTAAATGTTTTGATATCAACAGCTCATTTAAAATATGGGTTGAATGGCCAAACCATGCCATTGGGGCAAAACCGATAACAAAATAGATGCTCGAAAAATGGTGACCCGGATGGAATGAAACATTATGTGTTTAGCTTTTGGTCAAATGCGATAATCCCATGATTGAATCTCCAAAACTATTGACAACACTTAACACACAAATGGCCTTTTGATTGTTTATTCTTCTTGATAAATATTGCCAAAAGTTGTTCCATTCAACTAATTCAATGAAATGTGGGGCAAATGGATGGGACGAAATCCTCTTAACCACGCTTTGGCTGAAATAATGGCATCGTGAGACACATCACATCGTTGCAGTGTTATTTGTGCGACGCTTTGTTGTCCATAGATCACAGACGATTCGTATAAGCGGGAGAGAGAGAGAGAGAACTCGAAATAGCGTCTGATATATCTTCCGGATGGAAATTCGGTCAAACAATAACAATTTCCCGTGGCCGTGTTGAGCATTCGTTTTCTTATTTTATTCCTTATCAAACTTTCGCCCGTTGATTGTGTTCATGGTTTGCTCGGGTATTTCACACAATGTGATAATAGATTTGTCGCATAAAAGCCGCCCGTGATTTATTGTGTACAATGAAGAATCACACACAGCGAAGCAGCAACGACATTGAGCAGGAAGTCATTAAGATACAGTTTTCGTATTGTTTTCCGATTGTTTTCGCTTGAGCACCCGCCGCCAAGTGTCTGTTTTGTGCATTGAAATTAGAAAGCGTTGCATATCGTGCGCGATTGTGAAGCATATTCAAATATCGCAAACGCTTCGCCTGGTTTTTGTTTTGTTTCGGAGTTCATGTATTGGAAGAGCATTCGGTATAAGTGGCTTGTCTGTAACTTCTACTTAATGCTACATTTTGTGGGGCTAATTATGTCACGTGCTTACAATACCAAAATGAGGATTCGTATTTGAAAAGCCCAGTGTGTCTATATTTTCCCTTCGTTCAGCCTCTTTTCGCATCGTTTGGACAGATCTAGGTTTAAAGCGAACAAAATGCCAGCATATTTCAAGTTATATTAAATGATAAACACATTCATTCAACAAAAGCCGAACTCTGCGAATCGTTTGCGTTGCTCCACTTCATCTGTTTCATTACGGGATGTCGAGCGATGGAACAGCCATGGTTTGGATGCGAGGCTGAATTGAGGAGACAGAGGTGGAGATTTATAGTTGAAATATATGTAATCGGACATAGATTAAGGCGCAACTTCTCGTTGTCAAACTGCTGAAATTTTCTTAAGTCCACACACGAAAAAAACCTTCGAATTGTATAAAGAAATACGTCTAATATATGCCGTTAATAGGTTTCCTTCCAATATTCCCATG